CCAGGGGAGACATCATAGAGGTCCACCTGACGAGGTGTCCATTACCAACAATCTGGCCCAGCTATAGCATATTACAGTAGAATAGGTGGTATCAGTGAACGATAAGCTGTGAATGAAAGTTGGCAGATAACGCGTGCAGACCAACAGTGTCAAGGTCACACCGCACGCGTTGTGTACACAATGAAGTGCCAACTATGTTGTGTCGCCACGATTTAATGCGTATGAGCATTTCACATTACACGGAATTATATGTGAATGAATCTAATACATGCCTTCGATACATAGCATTCTGGATAGCGCTATATTACATGACTCAATGAAAAGATATAAACATTCCACATTATTTCAATCGTGCGTAATCTAATGGTGCATTCATTCAAATTCTTCTCCTACTATTAATACTTTTTTGTAGTGTAAACAAAGCTACTAAGATATTATATTTGGTGCCTCTATATTAGTTATATTATTTTAGAGTATTTTTATTGAATGCAATTTATCTGATTCTATGATCGAGCTCCTATACTATGTACTTTGTTATTGTAACTTCACCGTTAAATACTTAGATCAAAAGAGTGGATGCTCAACTTTCCTTATTCCTTAACTCTTTATTAAATATGAATGGCTTAAAACGATTCTGAATGATCATTGCTCATCAAAGACGCAAGTGTTGTTTATATGTTGATTTAACTAGTTCCATATTTTAGCTCTTATTATATATCCAACTCGTGTTTTAGTGTTAATTAAATTCCGTTGCTTGAAATAAAAAATATTATTAATCTTCACATCTTTCAAATCTTTTATCAAAATTATTCATTTTAACTTATATAAGTTAGCTATATTATTATTATCAGATTATATATTCGTGCTGCTTACATTCAAAATTCAAGTTTATGGTCCACGCGTATCGCTCTTACTCTATTATTAATCACTATATCTCTATTGATGTCATCGAATCAAATTCCTGTGTTGCGCGTCGTGCAGACAGCGTGGGGCCAACAAAAGCCATGAGGCAATCAGCTTCAATAATCTGTGCCCCATGGCCTTTGTATTTTACCGTGGAATGTCACGGTAGTGCGACTAGAAGCTATTTAAATGATAATTTGACATCAATTTACATTGATGTAATTACGATAAGTACATTAATGTAATACTTCCGTGGAGGTCTGGTATAGGAAATTAGAGTCCAAATAAAAATTACAAAGGTTACCTACTTTCATAAGAGTCTACTAGCGAAGTGGCCTTAAAAGAGTTTTCATTTTCAACATATTTTCAAAACGCGGAGAATTTTCATTTGCCCGTTTTCGCCAATTTGCTTAGTTGCGTTGCATTTATGTCGTGCAGAAACTGTTTTTGTTTTTTGTGTTGTTGTTTATTTATGTTGTACAGACTGTATTCGTAAATGTCCATACATAAGACGCTATTTGTATACGACCGAACCTATTTCTAATAATTATATCTATTATTAAATATATCTATTATAATAATCTCACAAAGTTATAATAATGTCTGTCGGTTAAATTGGACTGCACTCGGGCGAAGCCGATATGAAGCCACCAGTAATTAAAAAGTAAGTAGTAAAATTATTAAACTAATTGATAAACCTACGACCACTATATTTAGGGTAATATTTGCAGTAGTCGTAAAACTACAATTTTATTACGCTTAACACTACCTATTGGTTACAATTAACATCATAATTATAGAGGAACTTATTCTATTATAATGTTTAATATTACCATATGGTACTGAGGTAGAAAATATTAAAGGATAGTAAACATGCCAAGGTTACCTGAAACTGTATGACAGTTTAAAATAAGCTTTAAAGAGCTAAATACAAGAACTAAATTAAATGAATGAAAGGCCCCTCCTTTATAGTAATCCCGAATAGCCCCTGTCCGCATTAGTGCCGGCTGTCCACCCTTGTTCGAATACAAAGCTCGCGACAATTTAAACTAGTAAATCGCTTAATCCAATAAAAACCCATTCTGCATTAGAGCGTGAAGAGCAAGTGGGCACTGAAATGATTATTAACTATGTCAATATTTTATTTACTCTCGTCATGAGATCATAGTAACTGGGTGGTTTGCTATTGCGATTTTACTTTATGCCGTGAATTTGAACCTAGTAGACACCAAAAAGCTTTGTTCTTTTATATATATATATATATATATATTAATATGCGTCTTGATAGTAGGTACGTGATCAAAAAGATATAGACTTATTTTTTTATAATATAGGATCGTGAAAAGTACACATAAAATAATCATACATCATGTTTCCCAAATTTAGCGCGAGCAAAGCCTAGCCAGTTAGACAATGAAACAAGTAAAAAACGAAATTAAACAAACACACATACGTCCTATGAACAAAGTAACAATTAGAAAGGCTTCGGTACAAGCGGGGGGTGGGGATGAAGCCGACGGCACCGGCATTGCAATAGGGGACAAAACAAAGTATCCAATTTCTCCACTTCCCCACTTCCGACACAATTACGACACAATATTGTGGGGCTGTGGCGGCGCGCTCCGACCGCAGCCTGCCTGAAATCTAGGCACCGCTGCAATCTCGTTACGGAACATAAAATACACTCTCATTGTTCGCCATAGATTTTTTCGCAAGACCTATTCAAACAAAGAAACCTGTGTACCACCACTTAAATGCCATCATAAAATCTACAGGTGGTTTCATTTCCGCTCGCCACTCATATTGTTTGTTGTGCATTGCTGCGTAAAACATGAATTTATCATCGTCACGTCGCGTTATGTAGATAAATCAGACATCATCAAATTGAGAGGAACTTTATGTTGAAAATTTATTTAGTTATTATGTCATATATTAAAATTATTATTAACAGTAGTTGAGATAGTCATGTGAAGCGTCAAAATGTGAAATTAATACATAGGCACTTAGTAACAGGGAAAACTAAGTTTTCAACAGCAATGTGCATTGATAACCCTTAAGATTTTTTTTTTCATATAAATGCATTTAAGTCGTACCATCTTCAAATTAGATGTTACATAAATGATTAATTAAATCATATTATTAATATTATAAACGCATTTTGTGAGTATGGGTGGATGTTTGTTACTCGTTCAAACAAAAACTACGGAACGGATTTTGGTGAAATTTTACAGTGGTATACCTTATTGTCTATATGTATTACCTAATTTCACATAAGGTATATCCTTATGTGAAATTTTTAGCGTATATGTATACCTTAAATATTTCACGCGGGTGAAACCGCGGGTACAGCTAGTATTACTATAATTTAATGTTTTAAGACTATATGTATATTGTGATCAGAATTTAACTAACTCTGCTATGTCATTTGCTAATAATTTGTACGTAAACGTAATTTGCAAATTATTTCATCTAAATATTGAAATATGCTCTCGTATCTCCTAATAATGATGATCATAAGCTAATAACTCATAGCTCTAAAGTACGAGAGTAAATACAACAATAAAAGGCACAAATATTTACAAAACAAGAAAAGTACTGTTGAGTAATACAAAAGCTCTTATCGCCCGAAGCGTTGCGATCCATTAAAGACACTTTACAAAGATTTGAGAGCGCAACTGTTACTGCGATCACCAGAATTTGAGGACCTCCCCTGACGTTAACGTGTTTTTACCAAGCAGACAAAATAAGCAACATGTACAGTCTCTTATAGATCATGTTAAATTGGTCAAACAAGGGCACTCAGCTTTCAAACCAAACACTCGTCGCGTCATAATCATGTGACCCTGTCGATAAAGAACATACAAACACTTGATACGTGCCAATCATTCAGTCGCCAAAACACAGTAAAACATTGTCATTAGACCATGATGAGATAAAATTTAGAATGCAATACCTTGCAGTTAGCAATTAAAAATACATCGGATACAATATATAAGTGGTATATTTTTGCATAACACAGTTTAGGTTATTACAACACCAAAAACAAAAACTATTAATTTTAATAATATCTGTATTGTCTCGTGGCGAGTCTGCAGTTAATGACACATCAGTTTGCTGGGTTCCCCCATTTGTCAAGTCAATTTAATGGTTCATTTCAAGATGGGTGTTTCACGAAGCTCAAATAAACAAACTTATTCTCGTGACTAAGGTACGCAACACCAGTTTGTTAATGTTAGTAACAGACATGGCTATACCAAGCTGCAAATCCTTAAAACTAAATGTTAACCTTGTGATATTTTATCCTGTCTGCTTACTTGTGACTCACGATCTTATTGTCTACCCAAAACATATTGTAATCAAGGCCAAAGCCACAAGCAGCGGAAACTTAAATATTATATGTACAGTGACCTGCATTATATTGCTTTTTAATCATTATTGCATGTAACTACGCCAATATTCTTATTTAACAGTGATAGAAGATGCAGGTATTATTACTTTAATTTCTATCACACAGATAGAAATATTTTACTAAGTGTTTTTTCATATAGTTTTCAATGCAAACAGGACAGGTGTGTCTGTGATATTGCTATACAACGTAAGATTATTTACTTAGAAAATAACACCGTTGAAAGTGGCTGAGTAGTAAACAACCATCTTTTTCTAATAATTAATATTCTTAGAAAAAGACGGTATGAATATTCTTCTAAATATTGGGTTCATACTTACAAATCAATAAATAGTGCTGGGAACTTGTTCTACGGATATAATGAATACATAACCAGTAAAAAGTCGTCTGCGTGAGTACCACACGTACGCCTATTTCAGTCGCCAAGTATCTTGCTTTGTAGATTAGCGTATTTCAGTTATAGGATACACATTAGATAATAAAATTACAGAATAAGAGGCATATCATCTAGGTCTTCCCAAATGGAAAGGCATGACTTGTATCACGGGTCACACAATATCGTGATGTCTATAGTGCTGTTCATGTATATGGACGACGGTTACCGTTTATTACACTAGATAGATAATCAACTTTATTGCCATTCCAATTACATACAAAAAAATTCTAAAATCCAGCTTAGAACTTCACTTACCTGGATCGACTGCCAGTTGTCTGTAAACCGCTAGTGCGACATCATCTTCGCTAACAAAGTCCCATAGTCCGTCGCATGCCACCACTACAAAGTCTTCATCACCGTCCAAGTCAACAGTTGCGATTTCTGGTCGAGCCGTCACGTATGGTTTGTACTGAGCGTCACCTGTTATAATCATAATTAGAATAGTAGTAGTGTATAGTACGTGAAAGTTCTATACGGCTTTTGCTGTAGTTATGCACTGTAAATTCTTCAAGATTTTGATAACAATCACGTTGTATTTTATTTTGAACTAGCCGTTCCTGCGACTTCGTCTGCGTGGAATTTAACTTATTTTTTCTAAAATAAAAGTAGTCTAAGTTATTCCTTATTACATCAGCTACCTGATCCCAAAAATCATCTAATAAAAAAAGTCCCGTCAACTCGGTCCAACCATTTGGGAGATTAGCCGGAACAAACAGACAGACAAAAATTCAATATTACAAACAGACACTCCAATTTTATTTATATGTATAGATGTATAGATTACGTCTATGCGGAAATGAGGAACTAATGGCTTTTTGAGTCATTAGACAACTAAATATGGCATCGATGCGCAGGGTAGTGAAAACAATATTGTTTCAAGTAATAAGTACATACAGGCAGAGAATATACTACAAACAGACTCCAATCGTGTTCACCAGCGGATTATTCAAAAGCTACTTGTCATATTATTAACCCATTACTTCCCAAGCATCGATGTAATAGGATTAAGGTCTTAATACATTAAAAAAGTTATAATATGTATTAAACGTACAATAAATGTAGTGTCCTAAAAATAGGACAGTGGGAAGGAATGGGTTAAACTAATTTATACGAGACACGAGTAACGCTCAAATAAAAAACAATCATCAAAATTGCTACAGGCAGCAAAAAGTTCAGAGATAACTAGCATAAAAAATAAACATATGAACTGAGAACCTCCGCAATCGTATATCACGTAGGTTTTAGGAAACTTCTTATACAAGTAAAGGAGCTGTGTAGGTTTTGTCGGTAAGATTAATTTGTATATCAATATTAATACTATATAATCAAATTATTAATACCTACAATACAACACTTTTACAAACTCCTATAGAATAACCAATCACTACTACAAAATCTATGTACCTCGATATATAGATAATTTATAAACAAAATGTCAATCAGGGGATTGTAAAATGAGAGAATGAAAAATTCAGACCCTCAGTAGTCTACTCAGCGATTGCAAATCTAAAAACGTACTAGTATAAATATCTAACCAATATTATTTATTGTTGGTGAAGATTATAGAATAACAGAAGATTATCTTCTTAAAATAAACATTTTTTCTCAATCAAGATACTACCATTTCTAATACGCTAATACTTTCTACACAAAACCTTGTTGAAGTAAACTATACCTGCGTAATATTTCCGTACAACAGTATCAGTCTAATCTTGCATGAAAGCTTGAGTGTAAACCCTGAGATTGTAGGGGAGTTTGAGCAAACATTTCCGAACTTAATCTCCCGTGGAACGCAAAATCGATGAATTTTGTTCTCAATACGTGAGGGATAAACGACAGTCTTGCCTACGGAAAGCTGTGAAGAAAATGTCAACATTATTTTGTAACTAAGCCGTCACCGTCCATCTATCTATTGAAATAGTGCTGTGTAGGTAACTGTCGATTAATTTATCGAACAAAATAATAACAATTAATTAGATTTAAATATGCGAGTGATAAATATAATCTGGTATACTGATATGAATTAAGTTATTGGGGTGTATCTGATAAGGTTAAACTAACAAAAGCGAAATAGCATCAATACATTGATACCTGAGGCATATTACCTGACCTTTACATTTACATAATTAAATAAAAATCTACATAGTTTCTTTATAGTCAGTAAAATTCTGACACAATAGATTTGTTTTATGTTTAGTTTTTTAATTAAATGGACTTGAAATAAGTAAATGTAATAACTAAATGCTCTATATATAGCTAAAATTTAATAGAAGTCAAAAAATAGAAAATAAAATTTCGATAATCGGTCACCTTGCCCGTTTCTACGGACGACAATGCATCGCCTATCCAAGTGATCGATAAAGGTGCGTGCAATGGGGCTATGTTATGGCGCTGCAGGGGCGCGAGGGCGCAAGGGCGGCATGCGACTCACCGGCGCCCGGCCGGCCGCCCGTCCGACCGACAGACAGACATGCACCAACATTCATTTATACGTATATGTCTATAAAGACTTCACCACATTGTCAGCGAGAACGCATTAGCATGCTATACTTTTACAGTGATAAATACCTAGATATCTACTATCATAACGTTATTTTAGATGTTTGATGTTTTTATTAGTGATATTTGCCATTCCAGAGTACTAAGATGTTATATGCATATATATTGTTTAGTGAATAAGGCTTTGCTGAGTAAAAAGGTTTTAATAAAAAAATTTAATTTATTTATAGTAAATGGACTGGAACTTACTGGAATAAAACATATTTTAAGTGAAGCCTAAAAGTCAAAATAATTTAGGTAGGTAGAACACTTTTGGCTACTTATTTAAGTCCTATGTTCATTTTTACTATCACTATTGTGCAATACGGCTAACCATTACAGTTGCGTAAAATAATCACAATACATAAGTGAAAAACGTACACAAATCAGCTAAGCCGTTTCTGTGATTAGCGTCCATAAGCGGACAGAAATACAAAAAAAATCACATTTTTTTACATGCCGTTGTGGTGATAAAGTTTCACAATAATGCTTTTTGTCACATATGTATTTTTCAATACAGACAGCCATCACTTACCTACAGGATATTATCAAATATAGGTAATCTGAGAAATTAATCACTTTTAAGTTTTGGATGATATGCTTGATTGAGGTATCACATCTTAAAAAAGATTTCAAATATTAAAGCGTCAGCGTCGTCCCGCTCCGCCACCGACAATGTGGTAAAGCCTTTAAATTGAACCCTGCGGTAGCCCCTAGATTCGAAACTGTGATATACTTAATAAAAAATCGATAATGTATCTGTATGTACCGGTCAATTTAACGGAATTGCAATTATAATTGTATTAGTTGAGTAACTTAATCAACAGTATTAAAATAGTCATCTCTTAATACATTTATTCTTAATGCAAATTGGAGGAAACAGAACAAGTGTAGTTGTACACATTAATTATATTCCATTTTTAAAAAATATTTCTTGGTATGAGATAAAACAAATGAAATCTATTCAATAACCTATTTCCTTCATTTCATACATTTATAATAATCGAGATAGTATCCATTCTCCATTAATATACCTTTTAGTAATAATGTATTTATTTTTAGATAAGTCATGTTAGATCACCAATTACAGCAAATGACGATTAATTTTTACAAGCGACTGCATGTCTATATAACATTACGCGATATCCTAGGCACTAAATGGGTTTCAATTGATATGGTAATTATTTTTTTACGGATCAAAATATACTTGTAATTGTGAATCTTCATTTCATAATTTGACAATACTACACATAGACACCAGATACCCAGACACGTCAAACTTAAATCTCTCATTTTAAATCGCGCTTTAGTAATAGATTTTTTTCTATCCTGTTTATTATAAAACTATATATATATATAATATAGATACTATAACTTTTATAAAGTACTTCCACATACATTAGTAATAAACTAAGTAGTACTTATCCTGTATCTATGAATTTACAATACACATTACCCAACTATGACACGTAACCAAAACAAAGTACTGTATGCGGTAATCCCGAACATGGAATATCTGTGTAGTAACAAACACGGAAATATCTTCACATTCTCAATGTAAGCATATGAGAATGTGATATTTCCGTTTAGCAGTCATTGCCAGAACCACCGGCTATACTTTTCTTCTCGTCAATTAGGATATTGTATCTACTTCCCAATGACAATGTAACTAATCGTAACTAAATGTGAGTTAATAAAACTATCACTCATCATCAAATTTGCATATTTGATATATGCAAATTACAGTTACAGAAATATTTCATTAGTACGATGTAATATTATGAACGGGTTATAAGTTAAAAAAAAACATTTATAGTGCTACAGAGGCCATTCTCAAATAACAACCCAAAAACATTGTTTTTACGTTTTTTTTGTACCTTACAAATTGATGACAGAAGTATGACATTGCAGTTCATCTTCCCTAACGCAACAAGGCAGCACAGTTAAGGTTGCCAGCGTTCCCGAATTAAAGAGGATAATCCGAAATTTGTATTTATTATTTCCCTGTGTAAAAATATTATTCAGCTTCTGTAATTATCAAATTCATTATTATGAATACAAAAGTTATTGTTATGTTTTAAAACTGATACTACTATATACTTAATCATCGAGAAGTATCAATGTAATTCATATACTCCTAGATAAGTATGATTTGTTAAAATTAAACAAGTGTATATTCTTGAACCTTCTCACTAAATCGTGTTAATTCTCCCAATTTTTCTTTTATACATTAAATCTAATAAAGTCAGATTAATATAGTTACCATTGAAGAGGTGATGAGATGAAATATAGAATTACAATGTACTTAATCCAAAATGAAAACCCATACACAATTTCTAGCAAAATTTATTACGCTTAAAAATATTTGTGGAATATGCAAAAGTGTGCAGGGGATGAGAAATAATACAGTCTGTATTACTGCTTTTAAGCTTCGTTTGGCTTGGTCTCTCGTTTTTTACGTAACAATCTGTATATACATATACTGTTGGTAGTCTGAGCTGCCATTATTTTATTAGGATAAAGTTGTTCAGCTTCATGAATACCCATTATTCACTGGTCTTCAGCTAAATATAGTCATAATAACCACAACCGTTGTATAATAAAAATATTATTTTGAAAGCCTTGTTTTATTCATTCACGATTATTTAAAAAACCTCGTGTTCTCTACTTATATTTAGAACAGTTGGCAGCCTTATGCAGGGCTTCAGCTAACAGCTTAATGATTGGCACGCGCGCGTAATGATCACGCCCATTGTGATCCGCGCCCGCTCCGCTCAGCGCTCGCGACTGTACCGCAATAACAATAAAACGAGCGATTAACTACACGTTAGCACCCGCAGACTCCACCTTACGTACCCCAAATTGAGTTATGATTTTAGCACCCTATTAACATAAATGTCACGAATTCTGTTTCCGATTAATCATTAACACTAAATTGAAGCATTTTTATTAAACTAGGTTACTTTTGCATAATCCTCTATCAGTGCTCGTAAATTTCATGGGATCCGGAGAATCGTTTAATTGTAAAAATGTAACAAATAGGTGAACAGCATTTTTTCGTATTTATAATATTATTATGAATTTATAACGTACACCAACTAGTCAATTAAGAATTCCCTTAATACACGGAGAGAGTATAAATTCCTATTATTTTTCAAATCCCAATAAAATACTTATAAATATGACATCTATCTACAATATAAATATGACATCTGTACTGTGAGAGCTTCTAGTTATATGTATAGTAAAAGTACCTACATAAGTGGAATAAAAATATTTAATAATTTGCCTGATTGCATCAAATCACTGGATACTGGACAATTTAAAAGAACCTTAAAACAATGGTTATTGTGTAAGTGCTTTTACAACTTAGATGAATATTACCTTGGTGGAGAGGAGAGACAAATTGTTTTGATCTAAGTTGTGTTGTAGATAGTTTTTTTTTTTTTGTTGTAATTTGGTTATTTGATGTAATTGTATATTCTAATTTCATATTGTACGTCCGAAATGGATAAACTGGTCGTCTCCATATATGATGTAACACAGTTATAGACAATAAATGCTTATCTTATTATTATTAGCTTCTCAATATATTTATGAAAATATCATGTATGCCAGGAAGAATATAGACAGTTTCAAAAGAGTTAGTGATTGCACTAATAAAAGCTTACGTAACAATAACAAACAGATTTTACTTAAATGTCGTTTGGCTAAAGTTAGTAATTCGTTTTATGGCAATTGCGTAAGGTTTTACAATAAAATACCAGAGTCTGTTATAAATCTGCCAGAAAAAAGATTTAAATGTCAAATAAAACACTTCCTTTGCAAAAAAGCTTACTATAAAATTGAAGAATTCGTTAACGATAATAATGTTTTTGTAGAAAAATTTTAAATACATAGCACTGACAATATTATCTGATTACACTAATAATGAGTGCGTAGCGATTTCTATGTTGATTGTCGCATGCCTCTTACTTGTTACACTGTAATTATTTATATAAAAAAAAACATCTATTAAAAAGAGCAACACACAAGTTTCTTGCTCATTCTTCTTGTGATGAATCTGCATTCCGAATGAGTGGTAGAATCAAAATATGACTATTCAAAAGTGCTTGTAATGAGTTTATTTGAATAAAGATTATTTCTACGTCTATTTCTATTTCTTGATAGTCCCAAGTATGGCTTTATCTTATATCAAGACTAGATATAACAACGGTGTTTTTATAGAAAATTCTATGTATTTAAATTATATATACCAGCGGAAAACTTTTGGGTACAGCAAATTGCTATACAATGTAGATAACTATTCGTTCATATAATTTTGGATTTAAATAGCTAATAAATACACACTAACAAGCTACTATTTATTTTTAATAGTTGCCTATTGTTTGCTTGACGTAGTGTTTTACTGGCTTGTAATGTAATAAAAATGCTAGAATAACGATCACACTCGTTGATTGTTCATGTGTGATAAAAATGAGAAAGATCTTTTTAAAATTTTCTAAAAGACTCACTTGCTCACTTTGTCAAGATTCTGATCAAGCTAACTATCTGCATGATGGCATACAGATATCGCAGGCTATGACCGTTATTTTCTATAGTATAGACATAATGACTTAATAGTAATTTGATGATAAACTACATCAGAAACATCACTGATTCTCGACATTTGTGATCGTCACATTAACAGCTTAAGTGAAATTACAAGGTATGACACGGCAGATCACCTTAATCATAATAATGGCAAATTATAGGAGATGTCATTTTATGATATGTGATGAACTATGTTGGGAAACACCACATGGGAACAACTAAGAAGCGTTAATAAATGACTCAGAGGTAGTTTAATAAAACACCCAGCAGATAAATTTGTAGTCATAAGCAGTGATAAGAATAATTAATAAAATATAATCATGATAAGTAATATTGTTTGTATTGGTCTGGATGTTTTCTACGTATATTAGGTATGTTTTTACTAAAAATATATTTAGGTATTTCTATCAGTTGTCTAGTAAGATCTGCTTAGCTTGAAACTAAATGGCGTGAATTGTCCAAGGTTATTATTATTATTATTTATATACCTTGACACAATCTAAAATTAAATTACTGCACTTATCTTTTAATAATTATGATGTATGGTACAATATTTAACTATTATTATTTATGCACGACTGTACAACGTGTCATGTCCCCGGAAAACTAATATAATTAATTGTAACTCTAGACAAGTTTATTCATTGTGGTTTTAATATCAAACGATTATATTATATGGTAAGTGACGTATCAAATTATTATTATGCTTGTACAATGTGTACAATGTTTATAAGACAAAGTCAAAAATTTCCTTACAAAAGAACAATAAATCTGTCATTTTTTTATACTACGACGATGGCGGCAAACACGCATACAGCCCATCTGTTAGTAAACCTATGAAACACCAGGAGTGCCACGTGCGACGTAGTCTACGAAAGCGTTAAATAAGATAAGAAGAATAGATTCCCATTTGATAATTTTTATTCACTTACTTTACATTTATGTACATCTGTATATATTACCTGGTGAGAGACTATGAGGAAGGTAAATCTAAGTCTGTCTGAGTACTTAGTTTTCACAACTGAAATTTCGTAGAGGCTTGACTTGGTCTAATCCTAAATAAAGGTATTGACTACATTTTTTAAATGACTATAAAGTAGACATTACTTATAAGAAATGTTGCGGATAAAATGTTAGTTATATACATTATAATTTTTATTAAGATATAAAGAAAGCTTTGGTTATTCTTACCAATGGCACGTGAGACCGCTAGCTGTCCGTTGACTCTCCAAGTACCCCAGAACATGACCGTGCCTCCTGAAGACTCTATTCGTTCTCTCTCGTCCTGTAAATATTATACTTGTTTATCAACTGATTTTTGAAAATCGCAATACTAAAATGACATTATATATATTCACGTTACGTTTAGGTTAGGTTAGGTTAGGTTACGATATAGAAGTTTAATAAAATGGTTAATTTGACATGATTTTGGGTATGGTTACTATACGGTATATACATATACGGCCAATACGGTACTATACGGTATTGGCGTCTCTTAAATGGTTATGGTTACGTCCCTTATAATTCTATCACAATCAAGACCTGTCCAGTAGTTTGTTAATTATATATTTAAATAAAGTTTGGCCGATTGAAGTCGGTTTTATCCTGGAATAAAAATTAATGGAGGGATTCATAATATTAATTATATGTATATATAAATTTACTTATATACCTTATTTTAAGCTCATCCTATCATATTCAACTGGTGCACTGCTTACGTATACCATTAGGGTAGGCACACTATTCCATACTCATTCCTAAAAAATACTCGTATATACTTTTGTCAACACTACTCATTATCACAATGGCTATATTATGGAGATCATGTATGATTATTAGTTTATTTTGTAACAAATTATTTAATAATAGAAAAATAAACTAACTTTAAGCGTTCGCAGTCATGGACATAATCCAGTTGATCTAAGACGCTCCTTATAAAGTTCTTTAATCAGATCGATCGCACAACAATGGATCGTTATCAAAATATATAGTCTATCAATAGAAGCAATGATTATGACAAAACAACGAGAGCAGGTTAACGATAATATCTATATTATGAAAAGGTGTACCAGAAGCCATTGAACTCTCCTTGAAAGTGTACAACTAATCACTCATACTAATTAATAATAAGTTTATTACATAACGAATATTTACGATAGGCTCTCTCCTATCAATAATAATATTAATAAAACTTTATTTGCTCAAAACCACAGTACAAAAGGTGTCAATTAAAGTAAAATAAGATCATGTGTTTTGCCAAATTCGGAATTAGTTCACCACGTTTTAAAAAACTAACCCCTTCATCTACATGATTATTTCGTGTATATAGTTATTATAATGTTGTATAAAGTAATTACTTCTCATCAATAGGATAACTAAAAATAACACTCTACCAGTATACTTTATTGTATTTACTTATTGTATAAGTTATTATATAAATTAATTATGTTTAAAATAAACTGGTATTTATAGCATAAATAGTTGTGATTATTATAATAAGAAGGTGCTTTTTACTGTCAAACAGTAATAAAATGTAAGCTATTATCATGGAGTACTTAAGTATCTGTATATTTACGATCAGTTGTTACCTAAGTATCACAAAATAAATGTTTGATTGACTGAATGAAGGAAACAATTGATTTGGAATGCATTTTAGTAATTATAAGACTACTTGCTATTTTAGTTACAAACTCAAAATCAAATGTACCTAGGGTTACCCTACTGTGACAGTACATTATTATTAATTATTATAATAATAATGGACAAAATACACAGCGTCTTATAATCCCAAGCTAATCAATTTCTTTATTTACTCTCTTGCTCCGCAAAAAGTACTGTGTTAAGTGTGTGTGTAGCAGTGTTCTGAAGCTTTGGCACACATATCTATCCGGAATTGCGGCCATATACCAACCCTCATAGCGTGAATTCTTATGATACTTAGCTTAGGACCGGGGATGTCGCGAATCTACATCCGCAAATGCGGAACTTCCGAATCAATTTAGACATCTGCAATCACTTACGCATCCACAATAATCGATGCGGAGTTGCATGCGGACGCGAATGTTGCACAAGCTGCAACAAGAAAGAAATAGCGTGGGGACGGCGCGTATTGATCAATAGGAGCGAATTTCCGTTCGATAACAAGATTCGACGCATTTGTCATTGTTTATTTGTTTACCTTAAATTAAATATTACGTATCAAGTATGAAAAACCATTCTATTCTTGTTACTTTATCCGCATCTGCATCTGCAGATGTGAACGCAAAATAATCCGCATCCGCATTCACATCCACGGACGTGAAAAAAATTCCATCCGCAACATCCCAGCCTAGGAACCTACAGTGTAACATGTTTAAAAGAAATTTAGTTAGTCACCTGTCGGCCAGGTTTATGCGGTCGCACGAGCTGCATAAGTCGCATGCGTTTCGCAAGCAATGCTTGCGAGTCGCCTGCCCACGCCGCCAGCAGTTGCCGCGCTCGCACAGCCACCGCCACAGCAGTGCTGCCGCCGCATGCACGCTGTAAACCAAAACCAGTTGGATAGATTCAGGGTAATACAATAACCATAGGCCACCATAGAAAACTTTAAAAAGAATTTAATAAGGTGTCTAATTTCCATAAAACTTATACTGATATAAGGTAATTTTAATTGGTTTGATTTATACACATTGCATTGCAGTAAATTAAATTATTTGTAATGAAAAATGACAATTACTATATCGTCATTAGGTTATATTATATACGAAATAAAATTACGTATATTTAAAAACTTGTCAATCAAAAATCAAAAAATTATTTCCGACAGTGTCAATTATGTTGTTAGTTTATAAGAACTTTTTCATAATACAATAATAATACTCGAAATTAATTTTGAATATATTTTCAAGAAATCAAGGGTCTTTCAACAAGGTGTTTCTTTTGTTAATTAAAATAATATAATGAATTTAGTTGCCAAAAGTTAAATAGGTTACTATTTCCTTACTTATGTCAACTTTGCTACTTGGTAGTAAAATTCTAAAAAATGTAATTTCGAGCAAGATCTAAAAGAATACCCAAGTTTCTTGCAATTAGTCTGCAATCAAAATGAGCAGTAGAATAATAATATTAAGTGCTTATATCGTACCTCTTGATTACTTTTCCTAATGAACTCCGCGTCCGTCCTGAGGAAAGCATCTCGCATGGCACGGCCTAAATCTCCAGAGAAATGAGGGCTCTCTACCAGGTACTGGTGCAGGTGGGCCGCGCAGTAAGTGGCTGCGGCCGACCCCGCGTGGCCGTCATACACCGCATAGAAACTCGTCTTCTCAGTCGTCTGCAACAAACATGTAGATTTTTTTAAACTTGTATTAAATTATATGATTGTCAGGGGGAATGGGATTGATAGTAATGTGGGCTAATAACTCTATTGGTAGCAATGACCATGTCACTTTGACTCGGTTACCCTTGGAAACCATCATGATAAATTCGTGGTAAATTTACCACTAAGCTAGAGCTAGAGAGCTAACTGACCTGACCTCATGTTCTTTTTATCATCCACTGGTCCCCCGCTAGCGTAAACCTAGTGCACTATTCCATTATTATCCATAAGAAAAAAATATGATTGTCAATCAAGCTGACAGCCCACCTAATGGTAACCGTCGCCTACATACCATAATATTGACTGACCCACCGACACCAACCATAAGGCTACCTCACCTAATTGTCTCTGTTTGCAAACCGTAAGAGAACGTATCATAAATAGAATTGACTACGGCTCCCAACAATAACATAAACGTTTTTCAATCTAACACCGATCGAGGTAAGAATAATCTACAATTAGTCACTCGTTCCCACTTAGCTGGGAATTACCAAATTGCTTTGTTGTGTTAACTGTACGGTGGCTACTGCAATGGGGTGAAATCAGCGCATGGACTATTTTTTTTTCAATTCCTCAGAGTAGCATTGTCTAGGCATGTATACTGTTCAATAATTTAGCGGTAAAATTATTAGAATTTTTTTACACCACAAGAAACAAACGAGCTTGTGGCTCACTTGATGGTGTGATTATCGCACTCGAAATAATAGGGGAATTGCAAGTGCGTTACCGGCTTTTTAAAAAGGACTAAGCTAATTTCTAGAAGGATTCAATATCGTATCGGTTCGGAAATAGCATTGCTGGAAGGTGATTCAACAATGTGGTTGCGTGTGGTAAAAAGATTGCTCAATATTCCACTTCCAATATGTCCTCAAACAGCCGAACATGTGGTTCGGATCATAAGGATCATCATCACAAGACACTGGTGATCTTAATTTATATTAAGCCAAATAACGATGACCATGTAACTCTGGATGCATTTTAGTACTCTCTTAGATTATACTCCAACGAAAATATTATTGTTGGTGTTGACTTTTATGGCAGGCGTCTAATTTGGGGCAGTACTAATGTTAACATTCGTGCAAATCTAGTTTCTGAATTGACGGACGCTAACAATCTGTACCGCTGTAAAGTTGATTAAGATAAGGGTCTGTAAATGTTCTTGTATATATATATATAATAGTTATTCATATACAAGACTTAATTCCATACAATTTCCTAGATTTAACATCACCGGACATCTAAGATACGAAAATTTATTTTTAACAACAGAGTATAGTCAAGATGGAAAACCAATAGGAAGGTTTCCAGTTAAAATGTAATCTATATAAACAAAACAAAGACAGATTAGTCAGTCTATTTATATCTCAAGAACGGCTGGACCTATTTTTATGATCTCTAATTTAATGGATTCATCGTCGCTACAAATAGTAAAATAACAATTAAAACGTAGGACAAACGAACAAAAAAAAATTAAGACAATTAATTTCCTTTTATATGTATGGAACAACTTTTTCTATGATATCTGGATAACTATTATAACTATATCATGATAGAGATCTGAATCACTTACATCAATTCCAAACAACGCTTCCAAGTTGCCTATTTCAACATGTCGGTCTTCCATGACTCTGCGCGAGTTCTTGGTGGCACAGGACACAGTCTTCATATCACGCTGCGTAATCGGCGGGGGCGGTGGCAAAGAGTCCAATTTGGAGTTGTCCAGGTACCGTAGGCACACGCCGATTACGCGAGCTGTGACCGCTTGCATGAGCCGTAACGCAATGTACACTGAAATTAAGATGAACAACTATTGTAGTAAAATATACCATATACCTGTATAGCTATATTAGTATTTATATCTTTAGTACTAGTAGTTTTATAGAATTGTACAACATTAAAATGAAGAGAAAAATATTTTTGATAAGGCTTCATTTTCTGTATGGTAATTCTATATGGTAATAAAAACAGTAATGCATTTTTGTTTCGTCTACCTAAATGTAGACTTTATATTATATTTTTATAAAAACCAAATGAGGTCTTAAGATGAAAATAATAAAAATTGACATTTCACTGTTTTTTATCACAAAAATCAATGAATGATGAAAAACAATCAAATACCGCCTAGGTAAATAGCATATATAAGTCCCTTTAACAAATTTCATGCAGTCGTTATTTGGCTTTCATACAAATAAAATATCAACATAATATTTTGTAAATATAATTTATAAGAAAGGTCATTCTAGAATTTTAATTAGTGATTATCTTAAATTGACGCTAATTTGAACTTGATACGCATATTGACACCTACCTTACCTACTCCACGATAAGATACTTTATACCTACCCAATTATTTTATTTACATTATATATTTATATATAATATTACTACCCAAATTACCCAAATAGCTTCCAAGTGTATAAGAACAGATTCATTATTATATTTACTAAAAAATGTATTATAGTGAATCATACTGTGACAGACGTCACTGATAGAGGGGTTTATTTTTATATCATTGTTATGATGTTCTAATAGCTATATTAAAAATAATGTGTCAGCAATATTATTTTACAGCACAGGCAGGTCTTTTTGGTATACAATTTATGTAAATTCCAACTTGTAAATCAAGATGATTTTGTACATTTCAGATAGTGTGCTATCTCGCATATGTATCCTGACAACTAAAGCCTACTTACTACGGTTGATAAAAATCGAGATTGATACCACAACATAACACATAAGAATTTGAACAATTTGGGTGGTACAATTTAAATTTAGAAAAAGCGGAAACTATTAATGTGATATAATAAACCCGTATAATAAATGAAATGTTAGAGTAGGATTGTAATATATAATAATTATAATATTGAAGGCGGATAGATATTGACTATATCATTATTAAAAAAAATATATTTTCAAATCCTACAAATAAGCAAGTGCAACACATACAAATAACTAATTTAATGATAATGAAAAACATCATTTCATAAATAAAAAAAGATCATTTCATGATCATTTTTTATTTTATTTATCTTTTTATTAAAAAGTTATTTCTAATATTGTTGGAAATATAATTTAATATAATGACTATTGTATGATTAATTTTCCTCCCATCACATTTTTAATTAATTTATTTTTATATATATGTCATACAAATTATTTTATATACCCCGCCATCACTACAACAAAGATAACATTTATAAATCCACCAGTACAATTTCCATACGGATCGGATATAAAGTGTATGACTCAATGCGGTCGAGATCGAGTTCCATCACGGAAAATGACAACAATAACTTATAATTTATGTGACGTCAACAAACAGAAAGACCTACATTAGATTTCATTTTTCCTCACTCATTGAAAACGATGTATGTACCAGTACCAACTATTGATTTGAAGTTACTATAAGTTACAGATTTCTAAACATATCAATACATAATGTAGTTAATATACATTTATATGTAATTGCTATGGGAATTCTTGAGAAGAAATTTACAAAAACATTTATTATATTGGTTAGATACTAATTTGTGTCAATTTCTTATAACTTCTAATTAAATTTATGAACTTGTGTGACATGCTGTAATATTATAAATTTAATATATCATTTAGAAATAATAATTTTTTCATGTATCTTTACAATAAATGAACAAAAAAATATTGTTTCAGTAATATTACGTGTGGTGATTATACTACAGTATCTACTGCAAAAAAGTATAAATATCTAATTACACTATTTGTACATCTCGAAAGGTGCCAAGGTAAAAATGTGAAGGATAAAAAGAGACAAATGTTAATTTAATAAAAATAAACATACAATAGTTTAAGGATCATGCTGTCTGTGAAATACAGTGAACAAAAATAAACTGAAATATGTTATGTACAATATAAGAAACAATCAAATATAAGTAATCTATTCAATTTCGATTCGATTCAATGCTGAGCACGTCCAATGATAAGAGACATATGATAGAAACACATCAAGATGATACACAACAAGAGAGAGGGAACGATTATCGATCTGGCTCGCATTAACACACGGCAGACACGGCCATTCGACATCTCTATGTACCTACATAGTGGTCAATGGTGACGTAATATATACTCCAGGCTATTTATGATGTCATATTAATTATACTCTCAATAGTGTTAAACAATAGCAACTATTGTAAAACTAGCGATATATGTATAGTACGCGAATTACGCAAGATAATGAAGAAGCCAACAATAGAAGTGTACATTGCCAATTTGCACATCTATTGACTGTAAATAAACAACACATACTATAAAAGATATTATAAAAAAAATCACACACACATCACGATTAGGTATGTGAAATATATAAAGGGCCAAGTACTTTCCTACATATTATATGTATATACGTGTCTATAAATCTGTATCTATATCTGCATTTTTAATACCCAGGCGACATGCAAAAAGATAATGGTTTTGTGAGTATTTGAAATTCAATGTTAGTACTTTATTTTAAAGTACACGATATATTCACCAATTCACAACCAATATTGATGATTCATTTTGTTGGATTAGGATTATCTTTGAGTTCATTCTACACAAGTTTTGTTAACATTGACCTTGATTTTTATATGGCAGGAATTTTTTATTTATTTTGTCAAAACAATGGTCTAACGCTGTATATGCCTATATTTGCTTTTGTACTCATCTCATACGGTCTTATCAATAGATAACGATAACTAAAGATAACGATTATATACTTGAGGCATGTGTTATAGACGTACCTGAATCATCGGATTTGTATCCAAAATCATTAGGCTGTTTTTTCGATGCAACTTGCACCTCGTCAAGTATGATACGCCGCAGCGGCGTCATCAGTGTCTGTGGACATTGTCTGTAAACAAAATTGTAACAACCATTAATTCTGGTGATATATATTTGGACAATTAACACAACGCCATATAGTCTCACGGTAATATGTTATGGATACTAAACAACTGATATAAATATTTAGTTTAGTTAGTGTCCAGAGAACAGTGTCTCACTACAGTGAGATGAGGCAGTTACATTACACAAAAGGCAGGCAGGATACCCTGTTCCTCAATAAAATATTATATGTTAACTCATATAAAGGATACCAAGGGGTTCATATAATGACGTGTCCTTCACATGCAGATAGGTTTATAGTCAATTTTCCATGTTGTAATTAAGAAATCAAAGTAAATCCTCTCCGTTAGTAATGTATTCACACGAAAAACAGTCTGCAAAATGCAAACTGTATGCAGCTATTTTTTTCACATAAACAAATATAGACATTCTTTTCTACGACAATATTAAATATATAGAATAACTGATAACCGACGATAACAATGAATAAACAAGATAGCAAAGAAAATCAACAATAAAGATACTATTTATTGATATTATCAGTGTCTTACATCATAAAAGTATTATATGAACATTACATTAAACAATGAATTCTTTACAGGTAATAGAGTTTTCAGTGATTGGCTGCGGCACTAGGCAAGTAGTAGGCAGTATCAGTTTATCCATTCATTTTTTTGTTATGAAGCACCATTGAGTGCTATAGTCTGAATGAATGAACACAATATGATAGAAAGTATACCTAGAGTGATAAATAAACAAAAAACGTCATTAATGAAAATACCATACGCCGGCGCCGGGCGGCAACAATATTCCATTACACATACATAAAATTTTATACCATCGTATATCCTATACTTTTTTATTTTGAATACACCTTTCAATTCAATAAATTCCGGACCAGATCATAAACTTAGGCTACTATGTCACGCAATAGTAAGTTATCCACCAAACTTGTCTTTCATTAAGTAGCAGTCAATCTGTGTGTAATCAAATATTCTAAGAAAAATAAATATTTTTGCGTCGTCAATTTTACTATTTTCTAATAGGTACTGTGTTAAAAGCATAGAGAAAAAGTTTATGGGTTATTTTCCGCTTGTTATTTGATGAACTTTACTCCTTGGATGACCTTTCGAGTATCCTATGAGTCCATATGAGTGAGGCTGTATAATATATCCTACATTGCGGTACAGCCATAAAGTAGCATTGCTATAGACGTAATGTACGGATCAACAAATACAGCAGAATAAACAAACTAAAGGTATGCATGCATTCGTTCTTCTGGCGTGGTAATGGCGGTATACTTTAATCCCCTCCGGTCTGAGAGTCAACGTAGTTACAAAATAAAATACAGACGTGTACGTCTGTCTGTACGATACATAAAGAGGTCAGTGCTCCTGCTACTACTGCTACGACGAAAACATACACTGTTTAAACAATCTGAAACTACCTACCACATGTTATCTGTTAATCGCGTAATCAATAAATAGCTTTGTTGTATCTTCCATTCCATACTCCAAATAGTAGACATAGGCATTAACTTAAAAAATATACGACTGCTCACAAGTGTTCATAAAATAATTTATACAGGGGTCGTATACCTACATACTCGTTTCTCTCTATAAATCATGTAACGGTCAAAGCGAAGTACCTAAGTTGGTTTATTTCCTCTGGGCCTCGAGACCGTATTACGTATTCTCATCTCACCTCGGTGGCTCACTACTGTCACCACCTTAATAAACTTACGCATATTCCCATAGTTAAGGCGAATTTACACACGTCAATGTTCCGGCTAATCGAATCCCTTCAAACATTGATAATTTGGTATTGAATGACGACAAGCACTTCATTTTGTATATATATATATATATATATATTAAATATGTCACTCACTCACTATACTACTTGCATCAACTTACCTATAACCTGTAATACTGTTTTTTGACGATAGGATTCTCTAAAACTTTTAAACACTTCAATTCAATAAAACCAAAAATTTTCATCCAGTGCACATAATTAAGACTTGCATGGACTTTATGGACCTCGCATCAGTTCACCAAAAGGCGAGGAAAAATTTTAAAAACCTGTACATTTATTTTGAAAATCGTACTAAGTTACAACATCGTACCAGAAAGAGGTAAAACATCATGAAGCCATATAAAAAAATGCCTACAAACGGCGCGCAAAAAAAAATGGTTGGTTTTTTGTTACTTTAGAGCTATAATTTCCTGAGACGCAGTAATCTTTTTATTTTCATGGAAACTGGCCTATGTAAACACTCCTTTACTAGTGTCATAGATTAACTACTTCACAAGCAAATTAGGCATTGTGCTGCCATAAAAAATATTCCGTGCACTCCTCAATAAGCATAGCCATTCTTGGTTTCTAATTACAACTGTAATTCTAATTTACATAAAGTCTTATATAAAACATAGATAAAACTATGACAAAATACAGAATTGTTACATTTACATCTTCATACCAATTTACACTTTTTCAACTCATAATTTAATGTTTCTCACGATTGGAAAAGTCGACCAACAACACATCGGCCTTAGACCAACGACAATAAATGTATTCAATCAGGATAGAGTAATTTACAAGCTCTTTAATACGGATTATTTTAATGTTTGATAACGGAATGGTGCTCCCGCCTTGCGGCACATCAGTGGTGAATTACGAGATGAGCATGAGGTGTGGTTTTTTTTTTATGGATGATAATGGAATCGAGCACCCGCCTGCGCTAACGGTTTACGCTGGCGGGGCACCAGTGGAGGATGGTAAGATGAACATAAGGTCAGGTCAGTTAGCCCATCATGACAATTTCACCAGAATTTATTACGATGGTTTCCAAGGGAACCGCGTGGAGGTCAACCTGACGTGGTACATTGCTAGTAATGGGGTCATGAGTCCACCATTATGTGTGGTTATTTTTATGGATCATAATGGAATGTGCACCCGCCGGCTAACGGTTTACGCTGGCGGGGCACCAGTGGTGGATGATAAGATGAACATGAGGTCAGGTTAGTTAGCCCATCGTGACAACCTTACCAGGAAATTATCACGATGGTTTAATCCACGCGGGTCAACCTGACGTGGTACATTGCTAGTAATGGGGTCATGAGTCCACCATTATGTGTCTTTAATTATTCCATCGTGACAAATTCACTAGGAATTATTCATGAAAAATTCCAGAGTCAACCGCTTGGATATCAACAGGACAGGGCTAGTGCGCGTTACTAACAATTCCCTTCCCCGCTTTGATATAAATTATATTTTTGTTTAAGTAACTACTTTGAAATTTATTAAAAAAATTGAAAAAAATACCTTTATATCCTTTGAAAGATTACATCGTGATGTCTATCACAAAAGGGCCAGTAGAGTCTGGATTCAGTACGTTGACACCACTCGCGATCCGGATAGCCGGTACTATCACCAGCATCCGTGTCGTCCCACGCACCGTGTCGTGCCAATTTGCGCGAGGGCATCAAATAACCTCAGCACACAAACCCAAGAGAAATGCACCTTGTCGTATTATAGGATACTACATAAAATTATTATCTACACTAATGGTTCATCGCGGCTTTCTAGGTGCATGTGTTTAAGGTTTCTTATCTTAGTTACATAGCTTACTTTCGGTAATAAAATTGATGTACAAATCGTATCCATTTTCGACGACTGACTGACAAAAAACTATTTCCTAAATAAAAATGGACTGCTTATTGAACTGAGGACATATGCTTTCCTAAGTATATTCTCATAGTATAATCTATTTTTTAAATGTGTTCACTAATGAAACAACCTTATTATATGTGCTTATATACGTATGAGTGCACGTGACTATGGGTGAACTAGATAGCCACCTGAACATCCATGATACCTAGTAGGTATAGTTCTGTGTTCTATTATCAATCACATAACAAGGACGTTCCAATTGAATATCAACTCACAGAAAATAACTCCATAGGATATAGGATACTGTTTTGTTTACGATAATAAATATGTAAATAACAAAATCTGTAGCGTTCGTGCGCAAATAACCACCTAAAATTTATTATTAACTAGAATTAATCATCACTATAGACTACACTATATAGGATTAATATGCGATACAAAAAAGGATTACTGAATTTCTTATGGGATCAGACCACAAAAGGGTAGCAAGACCAAAATGATATACGATAACAACTTAGCAAGGATACCTATATACAAAACAAATAAACATACATATATATAACATTCGCACCATAGTAAACTGCACACTGCATTTGAAATAGGTATACATATTGATTGATGTACAATGTAGGTATTTATTATGCAACAAGTATAAACATCGACATCGTAACACACAATTTACGCTCTCTTACGATATGAGTACAAATAAATAGAGCGTCTACAGAATTACACGACTATAAAAGATAATTTGGACAATTATTTCGAATTTGTCCAGTACTAACTGTATAAAATAAATAAAATATCAACGTATTGTATTACACACATTGTGCTTGCACTACCTACATATAATTGTAATGGCTAAAGTTGTTTAAAAGTCTTTCTGAAGTATATTCTTTTGTCCCTACTATTTTCCAAATGTCTTAAAGATCCTAAAGATTAGGTTTTACTCAACTTTTATCGGAGTTTTTTCCTCATCGTAATGGATCCGAGCACAAAGTTCGGGGATGAAAAAGAGACACAATTAACTCCTATGCTACACGAAAGTTAAGATGTAAGAAAGAAAACAAGTGCGAGAAGATTATCACTAATACCTTCACCTGCGTAAGGAAGATAATATTTATACATATACGGGGATATTTATTGATTGACAGGTTAACCTAATGCTATTATACATACTAAACATAGTACATACCTATATAATATATAAAACAGACAATTCATTCAGTGTTTGTCATTTAACAAAACTTTTAGATGTGTTAAAAAGTATTTCCATAGTTTTCTTAAATATTTCATTGTTAATAAGTACCTACAATAAAGCCGTATTGACTTAACGAATATTTTAGAAATAATAATTTGGAGAAACTGGCGCTAACATAATTACTTTTTTTTTATTAATTTTTATTTTTATAGTAAGATTGTTTCATATAACACTCGTGGTAAATATGTGCAAATGTCATACATAGGTATTCGAATAATAGCCAAGCCCTAGTTTTAGTACAGATTTTATGAAAATGATTCAACGTTGTATCGTATCATGTTGGTTTTGTCTGACTCTTTGTTTATGTCACTTTAAGTTTATCAGAATAGGCATAATAAAATAATCGTAGAAACCCTTTAAACAGCACCATAATCATATAATGCAGTAACTTTAACATAATATGTTATGTCGAAATTAGAAAAAAATAAAATATTAATTAATACAGTGTATAATATACTTAATATAATAAATAAAAAAATAAAAAAAATATATTTATCTTTTTAAATTAGCATGCGAAGCCAGAATTAATCCATGGAACACCAATCAGAAGGTTTTCAATTAACTCTTTTTGTTTTCACTTGATGGCCGAATGGGAATTGATTTTATGAAACTTCAATAGATATTAGTCTATTTTAAAAACTAACGGTGTATCTTTCGATAATTATAATCTGTGCATGAATATACAGTCTATTAGCAGGTATATAGATATCGCTGTCTCTTTTTAATTTAAAGTCCTCATAGAGACGGACTGCTGAACTCTTATTGGTAACACCGTATGAAATGCAAAAGCGGTCCTTTCGCATTCGCCTAAGGCAGATGAAAATAAAACCTTGATTACGACATTTATTCATCTCTTTACATAGATACATCTTTGCGTTTGTTTGATGATGTGAAGTATAATAATATCAGATAATGACAATCAATAGACGTCACAAATAATCAAATATATAACATTTTCGTAAAATAGAGATAAATTATTACTGAACTTATAAAAGTCCGTAATTTTAATTGTACATATTATCATATCGTTTCTAATACTCTCTTGGCCGAGCTGCCGAGTAACGGTTATTTTTCCATATTGGTAATTATTATTAAAATAATTAAAAGTACGTCGGTACTTTTAATTATTTTAATAATAATTACGAATAGTAAACGCAGTTTTGAATGCCCACAAACGGACGGTCGTATAAAATCTTTATGGTCTAGTTAACTCGAAAGCGATTAGATCAGTAACGAACGTGTTCCTTCCGTTCCGTGATGGTTCCTAGTTACAATTCGCGTAAGCAAATTAATTAACTATTTACATAGGTTTCATATATGAGGGTGATAGAAGATAGAGCTATCTGTCCTTTGTCATCACATCTGTTTCTGTCTAGTTAATAATGATGCTCGCATGAACAGCTTTCTATTACGGACTTTATATAATTTTCAGCAAATTAAATATTTTATATATTATTATTGAAATGATAAATGAAGCACTTTCACCTAATGTCACTTACATCGCCTATGTACACGATTACCGTCTCGGATATTCTTTTTTTTTATCAGGTTATCATGTGATGCCCACGATGCCACGCATTACCTTTTCGTAGAACTAAGGTCTTATGCCTCCACAGGTTGTAATTTCACTGTGTTATCTTAATTTGAAGAGTGGACCTTCAAATTTACTATAGTTGAAACCGAGGTGGACCCATGAAGACGGCCTTTCATAAAATCTCCGGCAAAAAATATTACGCACATTCTTATATAACAATAATTGGGTATAGCCGTATATAAACTACCTAGACAACATAAAGGTTCTAGGAATACCAGCTAGTACGAAGTTCTAAATACTAAAATAGTTCATTGCATTGGAGGTGTCAAATACGAACAGTTGCAGCACTGTTTGCTGACTGGAAGAAAGGAGCATTTAAGTCAGAGCGACATTACAAAACGTGACCGGCTGGCGAGAACAGATACAGGTTGTTGATGATTAAATGGTAACGGAAGATCGAGCGAAGGAAGAAACTAAGGTGATAGAGATCTTGCTACCACCAAGTGTGACGATATATTGCACAATAATATTTATTTGATAAGCCACTGTGAATAGCCGCGACGCAAGCATTAAGGTGTTACAATGAGTCAGGGAATGGGCTCTCCATGGATTGAGTTTAATAGCATAGTATAACTTTGAATTTATGCCGCTTAGTAGCCGCTTATATAACGCACATTCTTAAATAGAGCTAGACTTCTTAGAATTATTTAGTGGTCAATATTATAAATTATTATTACGATTATAAATCAGGCTGGAGAGTAAAAGGTTAAGTGAATAGCGAGTTTGAGTAGGTAGGGAGGTCGCGGGCTTGGTTTGAGCTTGCAACCGTATTAGTGGCCTTGACTCTCGCGAGTTTATTGAACGCTATTAGATGACCGACGCTTACTTCATTGTATAGGGTCAAATGGTCGTTATTTTAAATTTTTTGGAATATCAGATTTACTAACTATTTCTAGCCTGAAATTATTTACACTTTTTCATTTTCAAATTATTCTAAGATTGTTAACAGATGGCCTTTACAATATACTGATAAAAAGGTGAGCGTAGAGGGTACTCGTAACCTGCAAAGGAAGTATGAAAGAAGACCAACTCCTGCCTGACAGATTTAATTTACACTGAGGAAATAATTTGGGGACATGTTCTCGATTGTTAGAATTAATAATTCGAGTAACTCATCCCACAAAATATAATCAATTTAAGGATGTCTACACCAATGCACTCTACACTCATTATCAGCCACTTCTATTTTGTAATCATACAGAATGTGATTCCTAAAATCATTAGAAAACCACATTAACAGTTATTGAACCAGGGTTATGTTGAGGTTGATAGTGACAATATCCTCGATAGCAAAAATGGTAATGCCATTTACACAGATATTTTAATTTACATTTTTATAATAGATAAATATACAATAATAATGTACCTGAACATATTTCAGCACTAGCTAGACCTAAACAAAGCCGTTTCTGCTATGCATACTATATATACATACTGAAAAATTTTACCTAGGAGGACATTCAAAGTAAATTAGTTAAGAGGTAATATAATTATAAATTTTTACTTATATGTTTAGATAAATAATAATATATTTAAAAATAATATGAATATGAATATTAAATATTCATATTATTTTTAAATATATTTTCTTTTATACCATATAAAAGAATAGAATAAAACAGAATTATATAACTCAGGACAACTCACACAGCATCAGTCCCAGCTTGTGTTGTGGGTACAGTATGACTGATATAGTATTTTTTATTGTGTAAATGCATATATAATATACACACAAAACATCCAGTACAAGCATACTCATGAATACAAATGTTTGTACTGGGTGAGAAATCAAACCTACAACCATTGGAAATAGGGAGGTATGGCATACACAAGACTATCTATAAAATATAATAATAGAGATTTTAAATATGAGTGTACAGAGTAAATGGAAAAAGTTTAACAGACACTTCATACCTACTCTATGTTTTCACAATAAGGAATATCACTCAAATTAAATATAATTTTAACCATTTAGCGTATAAATGCATTTAACATTGAATTAACTAATGCCAAATAAGCAAGAAAACATTACAGGTGGCAATGTTCAAGATTTCATTAGTAACTACCTGCAAAATCTATGTGAAAAACATAATAAAAAGAACACTCACTTTTCAATTAAATATTGGGTGGTCCAATAGAGGACTTCACCCGGCAATTCAGCTTCGGTGATAGTGTATCCAGCTATGTGAACTGGTAACTGATCTTCAGGATTTACAGTAGCCGCAAAATTTTCAAAAAACACTCGATATGACGTCAAATAATCCTCTTTATCACCCATTGTTTATTCGTTTAATTAGGTCAATAGAATATAAGTAAAATCACAATCGATCAACAGACCCTTGCCAGGGCACAACTGGGAATTGAGCTAAACTGGGGTTTATACGTTTGGTAAAAATTATTCACAATTTCACTTAATAATAGTTAATGAACATCACATTGTTTGATAGTATACGGCTAAATGTACACCGTTTTGTGTTACGTTTGATTAAATTCAAAACATTAAATTCACATATCGCTTAAACAAACATGTCACTTCATAATCAGATTTGTAATTTGTTCACACCCGACTGTTCGAAAGTGTAATACAGACCAACAATTCTTGCAAAGATAAGATTATTATTTCATTAGATTGTATGCGAACAGAAATTATTGTTTAATCATTACATGACATACTAGATGGAACATTGTAAGATTCTGTTATTTAATTTAAATAAAAAATGTCGCTCTTAAATAATTTATAAATAGCAAAACTGTTATTTGGTTTTCGAACAGATATTACTACATTTTGGACAGATCAGGTCAAGAATACTGTTAAACCTATATTTAGGCAGAAATCAACAACTATAAAGCTAACCTTCTTGCACTATAGTACCGCTAACGACGAGAGAAAAAGATGGCAATATATTGTCTATACAACTATTTCAAGATCACTACAAACTCAGACAAAATCATTACTCTGAATCAAACGAACAGAAATGACATATGAATGTTCAACTGTCACAGGACGAATATTAGGGATGGCTGTTAATAGTTTAATCGATTTCAACATAGTTATAAAAACTGATGGATAGCTATTATTTCGTATTTCTTTTATATTATAAACGCAAAAATTTCAGTATGTTTATTACTCTTTTACACAAAATTACTAAACGGATTTTGATAAAACAATATAGTAATATACCATATACGTCAAAATAACAGCCTATGAATTGCATACGGGTGAACTCGCGGGCACAGCATATTGCAAACTAAACTACAACAGCACACGATCGTAATATTCACTACTGATTATGGTGATGATTAGGTGCTCAAGGATATAAGAAAAGGATGAAGAATAAATTAGTTTGGTTAGTGGTCATAGTAATTAAACAAAATGTTCATCTCCAGGAACAATCACAGGCATGGAAGAATCCTTATATTGCTAGCAATAGAGTCAATTTTATACCTGCTAGTCAATTTCTTGTTACAAACAATCCTTTTCCTCTTCTTATAACAGAAGTGTAGGTTTTCTTTTACTTGAAATATTTAACTTAGTATAGAAATAACAGTGGTAATTTTTGCAAATAGTAGAAATATATTTATTATTCATAAATTATTAAATTTTTTAACAAATTAAAATCAGTCTGATCGTAATTACTTTTAAGCATTGTCTTTTCCAGATTTGGAATGTAAATATTGAATGAGTTTTGAAATAGTATACTCATACATATGTAACAAATACAGAAAGATGAAGTATACACTCCTTATAGCTTAATTAACCCTTCTAAAATATCTTTTGCCTGGTGTTGCTGCCTTATCATGTGTGAGTGTCTGAAATGATATAAATAAATTCAATTTATAAAACATACTATGATATTGTAATTACTGGCTACATGTAATCTAGAAAAGTATAATATCATATATCTAATTTATATTAGATGATAAAAACAAACCAGTGAATGGTATGCTATAATTTTGAATAGATCCAAATGTAAATTTTAACTGTTTCCAAAAGGCAGCACATAGAAATTTGGCATGTTTAAATAAATATAAATCTTAGATTTAAATATAATATGAATTTAAAATGTACACTTACAATGACACATCCTTCATCAGAGAATTTATAGTGTCTACCACATTTCGCTCCTGTTTGAGGAATAACTGACTCTGTTACCATTTCACTCTCATTGACTATGATGGTTTTACTCTGAAAAATACTGCAATTAAATTATACTATATTAATGGATATTTGATAATAAAATACTAACTTCAAAAGTAGCTAGTTTGAAAACGGTCTCCATAACAAATATAATGAAAATACCCGTCAATCCAGAAAGTAAAATATGTATTATGATTATAATTGTAGCATTAATGAACAGCAGATCTTACTATGTTATACCAGAAAAACAATAATGGCATTATTATATTTTCATAATTACATTTGCAAAATTAGAATCAATTTGACGAAGACATCTAAGAAATGCAATTAAAAAAAATACATGTATAAAATAGATACTCGATTGCTTGGATTGAATCTCAGATGTCTTCAAGCTTTTAAAGATATACCGAATATGAAATATGAGTGAAGTATGTACATTTTTACTTCCTGGTAATTATTTGTGGATATAATATAATGGATGTGTAATATTTAATCAAAATGTATACTTTTATCTTAGTGTTGGGCATGTTTTCTTCATATTCCTCATTAAGTTTAAAAGAATGTTCAGCAGTTCTGAATAATGAAGAATTTTTGATAGTCATTTTATCACCGTCTAATGTGATTTCCATCAATGGTGATGACACTGACATCATTTTCCTTCCCATATATGGTACACCTAAAATTATGTAAAATGCACAATTAAATGACATATTTTAATAATACATGCAGTGTGTACTTTACCTATTATTAAAAGTTGTGTTTTTATTGTGAATGCAATTTGTATATTACTGCAATATATTTTAATAATCATATATTAATTAGATTAGTTTTAAAAATATAATTAACAAGTAAGAACAAAAAACTTACCAATAGCTAAGAAATACTCTTCAACATTATCATTTTTGTAATGCTGATATTTGCCTACAATTGATGGCATATTTCTTACTTATGGATAACCAATTAATATGTACTGAAAGTATTAAATAAATATATTATTGATTTATAAAGTGTGGCTAAAGCTTATTTGTATATTTTCAAACAACTATAGTAATAAATATAGTAGACATTAAAGTGCCTTATCATAACACTTCAAAAGCCTTGAATAATAATAATTTGACAATTAGTATCAATCACGTATTCTGATAAGATTTTATGTAAATATTTATCTATGAAATCATGTTGTTTTGTCATTATCACGGTATCCGTACAAGAAATATATAACTTATACACGCCAACTCGAATTTATTATTTTTATATAAGCATTTAAATTAAACAACTTTTGTTGTCATTTTTTATTTATTGCAAGTTACATGGAGAACTTACATTTTGATTCCACTTTAATAATAATAATAATAATTTCTTAAATATAATAATAAACTAATTGAAAAAAAAAAAACAAATGTCACACAAGTGATGACAGGTGTCAGATATGGATATATAGATACCATAGACTACTACGGTTGCAGTATTCTCCATTCCAAACTGTCTATAAAATGGAGATGTTAGGTGACCTAAATAGTATACGAGCAATTATTGTTTTTTGGATTATTTTTTTCAATTTTTTCTAGGTATATCATAGAAATATTGCTTTATTAACTCTGTGCTGCACCAATAAACGCTAATAAACTAATGCCGTCGCAGCACTTTTACAAAGGTGTCGCGGCGCTTATAACGATGTTACATTTTTTATAAACGTTGCGCCACTTCTTAATGTATAGTGTAGTATGCTTAGAAAAACAATGTCACTCATGTGTTACCTTTCCTGCCAGAAACATAACTGCAACTATGATTGGGATTTTCTTACAAGTAAATCTAAAAAATCAATCTCTAAAAGTATTCATATAAAATACAAAGTGATTTTTAAAAAAAGTATCAATTTAATAACAAAATGGAAATAAATAATTAGTATTTCAAAAACTTTTTTTTTAAATGGTGTATTGAATCTCTGGGTGCTTGGGTCGTAGCCCTATTTATCCGGGAACGCTGCGGAATAAACTTTAATTATTATATACTACCTTTAATTTCGTTCTCAAATAAACACCTAACAAACAACCTAACCAAATAACCTACAAAGACAACTCAAAACAAAATAAGGGCCAACTAAATTTTGTTGTATTTTGGTAACATAAGCCTCGTAATTCAATAAATTTTGATTCAAAATATTTGAAATGGGTTGTTGGAAATCTAATTAAAGAAAAATAATGTTCAATTGGATTTTTTTTTTGGGAAAGAATAAGAAAATAAAGAAAAAAGCAACGGATTTATAAATGCGATATTTTCTTAATGAACGTTTAAAGAGCAATTTTTTTGTTGCTTAATATATTTTGTGATAATATTAAGCAACAAAAAAATTTACATTATTTGGTCGCACTCACGAGTGCCTGTAGCTCGGAATAACGCATTTTGTATGGTCCGTGCCATGCACGTCCGCTCTCTTAGTGCGGTTAAACGGGTATACTGGTCTTCTTGAGCTGTTATAACCCGAACACTTCCTGAATCATGACATCTGGCGACAGTATCCATATCCTGGTGCCGGTTCCAATCATTTAAAACTGCCCGCCGTGAAAACCCAATCATTAAATCTACAGCGCGCTGCCTGTGACCCTTCTGGATTAATGTTACGATCCTAGTCGTTGTAAGTGTATCCCATATGTCTCCTAAAACGAGGCATTTGGAAATCAAAGATACCTGACCTGAGACCTGTTAGCGGCAAAAACAGTAATCAAAAGTTATAAAATTAAATGTCACAAAAACACAATTTTCAAGTTCAAGTTAAGCGTTAAATAAAATAAAAAAAATGTACCCACCAAATTGATTTGTCACTATAAACATTAGTGACACTTTAAAGAACCCATAATTTAACATTTACAGACTATTAGAAACTTGAAACAATAGTAATGTTTGTTTATAGTATTATTTTATTAGTGGCCCTTATTTTGTTTTGAGTAGTACCTATATAATTTGGCTTAAAAGTATTGACACAAAGCCATAAATCTACATAAAAAAAAATATAAATGTTCATCTGTGATCTTCATTCAGATATCATTCATTCAATCATTTCATTGTTTTATTTTGAATTGAATTTGAAAGAAAGGAAACTCCTTGTAATTGTTATTTCTATAGATTTTGTATTACATATTTATTACTTTATAATGACGGATAAAATTCCTCAGGAACAGGTAAAAATAATTTATTCTTTTTCTTTTTAGCGCCACTCGTCTTTCTATCTAATCGTATATCTTCTTTTTTGTAGTTCATAGTTTCAAAATTTTGAATCATATTGTAATTGTAATACAGATTTTTATAATTAAATATACATTATTTCTGATAAATAAAATTAAAATGTTTTAAACTGCCGACTCAATGAGGATGTGTTAAAAGGTGAACTATTTGGTCCAAATAATATTTTTTTTTCTAATATATTGTTTTTCGTCCATAAACCAATTTCGATTTACCTGCTCATATTAAATAATATTTTAGGAACAGCAAGTCAAGAAGGTGAAACGACTGTTAGAGGGTTGGCGTATGGCTCTCTTGCCACTTAAGTCTGTAATGTTGTGGGAACAACAATGGTACCCTTGTGCTATAGTTGGTTCTGTTTCTATACTGTATCTGATAATTTGGATTTTGGATCTTAATACTCTTGCAACATTTGCTATATTTGGCCTGTTTCTTAATTTTATCGACTTCATTGTCCCATTTATATGTAACTCATTATATGGGCCTAGTTCCTGGACTGGTCAAAATGAGAAAATGTTTGAGGAAATTTGTCGGAACATTGTTATAAATTATAACCAGTCACTATATCAAATCCGTTCCTTCTATTCTCTTAGAGAAACAAGCCCATGTATGGTAAGTTTATTTATAAGTTCTATTGAAATCTAGCTTAAATGAAAATTTTGGTCTGAGTAATGACTAGATAGTACTAGTCGTCTTTTACTTGATGGTTATTTTTTTCTGTTAAATAATTATGTCTATCATTTTGAAATAGAGCTAGGGTAACGATGATAAGTGTTGTCAATAGATTATAATATATTGTAAACCTTTTCACTTAATTTAATAGCATCAAACTGATGTTATGTAGACAGAATCTGCTGTGGTAGTACCAAAGAACAGAATACCAATGTTTGAAACACTGTTTATCATCAATAGAAATTAAGATTATTTGGAACAAAGCATACTAGATATACTTAGTATACTACTTACTATATGTCAATCCTTTATGACTAAATTGTTTTTATTTTGTTGTGTTTTTTTTTTGTTAGCCATAATCAAATTCTCATTTACTGACCTATATTAAAATTCCTTTGTGTAAAAAGACCTCTACTGAGTGTTAACATTGAAATATTGTTTTTTCCAGTACTACATAATTTCTATCAGTATGTTGTGTACAATGGCATGGCTGGCATCATCGATCAACAATGTGTTTCTGCTATACATATTATCCATTATTGTTTTGCTGTGGCCAGGAATTCAACACAGAGGGATCTTCAAGTCTTTGCTTTATATGCTCAATGTATCTCCAAAGACTATTAAGGCAGAGTAATATTATTACAAAGATGTAGCTTATATAAAAATATATAGTTGTTATGGTAATGTGTGATGTATCTGGTCATTAAGATTTTATGTTTAAGTTTAGCTTATCAAATATTGAGCTTTAAATTAAAATGTATCTCAATAATAGCATTAAATAAAAAATACTTATAAAACATTTTCATTGTTTTTTTTGCACATCTTTGCATATTATGCTTCCTTATACTTTTATTATATTTCATGATATAGCACCAATTACAACAATCACTATCGTCAGGTACTGTACATACCCATTTATACATCACAAGAAGCATACTGTGGGTATCAAGGTAACCTTTGGAATTGAACTAAACCATAAGATTATTTATTACAGAATTGTAATCATTAATTCATCTTATACATACATTTGATACAGTCACCTCATTATCAACATTTGACAATGTCTCAAATTCAAATTCTCCCATATGTAACTACAGTTTAAAGGTATATCATTTTTTTATTGTTTGTATAAGTTCTAATTACTATGCATCATTAATAATGAGTCTCATATCTACTTCTTCCATTGAATATTACACAAGACTGCTTGAAATATGTCTTCTACATGTTTGTGTTGAAAGCCTACTGGGAGTTTACTAAGCATGTAAAGCTAGCATAAAACTTTGAAATAATAAAACAATAAAATTTCAATTAATTTAATTAATCCATTATTATTGTGTATTTTATACATAATTTCTTATACACTAAGTCATTTGATTTCTCTGAAATATTCTGTAGTGATTCGCATGATATATAAGCAAATTAATACATATTTTGCATTATAAAGCTTTTGTTGATTCATGATGATGTTCACAATCTGAAAATTTTATTTAGTAATTAGATTTATTAAACCTTGATCTTTTGCCATCCCATCAGCACTAGCACAGAAAATAGAATACTACATATCTTATAATACAACAAATAGAACCATTGTTTTTGTTATTACAAAATAAAATGCAATAAATAATGACATTTTAATAAGCTAAGGATGAAATCCTTCTGTATGTTGACTGCAAATGGACTCACACATTCTTCATTGGCATTGTCTTGATATCCGGAAAGCCACAATGAAAATAATATGTAGTACCTATTAACTAGTCTACAGTAAAATAATTATGAATATAAAAAAATAAATAAAAATACATGAAATGCAACAACAACATTCATAACATCACAGATTTATATAATATTAAGAACTACATAAGCAATCACCTATGATTTACATAAAATAATTTATGAAGAACCACCCAAATACATCACCTTTGATTTCATTTATATTAAATATGAATTGATATTGGTTGAAAATTTTTGTAAAAACAGATCATTGTATATTTATATATTAAGAGTCGGGAATAGTAAACCCAGCTTTCACTACGATATTCTTGGCCTTAGTGATAGTTGGCTTTCCAGTAGACAAATTAGGCAAATTAATATTTGACTTACTATCGCTAGATGTGCTTGGTCTCAACAAATCTTCGTTAACTAATGTTGTAGTAAATCTAGTTCCTGAAATATTCTGTGTATTAATATTACTTTTTTGTGCACTGCTGTCACTATATCTTCTACTTTCATTATTTAACATATGGCTCTTCTTCTTTTTACTTTTACTACTTGTTTTGTTTTGCAAGTTAATAGAATCAAAGTTGTTTATGTATTGGGGTGCATCACATTTTGTATACTCGTTTATTATATCTGATTCTATGTAGAAGTTTTTGCTGCTCGAAGGAATTTCCTTAGAAAATGTATCTTTAGTTTTCTGTAAATTTAGTCCATAGAAATCCACGGTAGCAGTACTGGTAGAAGCTTGGCTGAATTCTGATTGCAATTGCAATGCGGTCCCACTAGCAGATTGTGGACTAAGATCATTTTTTATTAATTTCATTGGTGAAGCGGATCTATCAACAGAAAGTGTTTCTTCATCATCCTCGCCTTCGGTACTCTATTAAATAAAAATTAACAGACTTAATTTCTATATACGATAAGTAAGTGTGCAAATATCATATAGAAAACGGACTGGACTACATTGGACTGTGAATAAATCATACATACCAATAATTCATGGTCAGTGATGGAGCCGGCGGTCGCCTCGTTGCTATTAAACTCCTGTTCGGAGGCAATAGACACCGGGGTGATGTCGCCGCTAATAGATGAACCTAATAAAGACATTACACATTATTTATCTTTACAATAATCTTTTTAAAACAACATTATTATTTATTTCATAGAAATTGAATTTTTGTCACCACCCACTTATCTAATTTTAAGAACTATACATCTGTACATTTACATATAACTGTACATCATATACATATTAGTAGTACTGTACATCTAACTAGTAGATTTAAAGAATTATCATAGATTTAAAAACAGTATCATAGTTAGAATAAGTTTTAATTATAGCGTAATTTTATTTATGTGCCATATATACGGCATATTATGCAGAATATCCATGAATATCTACGAATATATACACAAAATTTCAATAAATAAGATTAATTTAAATAATTTAGTACATTTATAAATTCTGTATGTATAGTATATATAGTATAACACATATTCTATGATATATCCTTTTTTAAACTTGTGTTCTTTTACAATGAAATATAATAGTTTAAATTAAGTATTGTACACACTATATAAACGGGATATTTACTATAATAATATGACCGAATTATACAAACATAATATTATTAGAAATCTTATCATAGTAACTGTCTTGTTTATATAGTTTATATAACATGTACAATTGTGAACATTCGTGAAAACTTTAAAACAGTGTTAATTAAATATTGTTTTAATGTATGTCTTTTGACATGCAAAGGTATAAACTAGCTGTTAATTATGATTTATACTTAACAGAATTATTATCTTAAACGAGTGCGTGTTTACGTGCGGTCTAGGTCACAAATAGCATTGTTTATAGCGGCCCTGCGTGCAAATATGATTTGAAACACATGCGATTTATGAACTGAGATAGCTGTTATACGTCTTTTTATTATGATTTATACTATTCGCGAGATCAGTCATATACATAAAAAAAACAGAATTATTATCTTAAACGAGTGCGTGTTTACGTGCGGTCTAGGTCACAAATAGCATTGTTTATAGCGGCCCTGCGTGCAAATATGATTTGAAACACATGCGATTTATGAACTGAGATCATATGATCAGACATCGTTAGTTATACGTCTTTTTAATGATAGTGTTGAAAAGACAAGAGCAAATGTATTCGCGAGATCAGTCATATACATAAAAAAAATCTTACTATCTATGACGTAGGTATTGAATGAATTATTTATGTGTAATATTTTTCTATGAATAATTTTATAACAAAAATAGCTTATTAATGGAATAGATACTATTTTTTATTTACACGATGAAAGAATAGTATAACTAGTGCTCTATCACATAAAGTGATTGGATATCAGACCTTTACTATACGATTGTCCATGTCTTGGCTTCATTTTAAATAAGACGTATCTAAATAAAAATTTAGGTTTAACGTATACTTATTATTATATTTTACTTAACTGAAAACGCCGAAATTGTGCAACTAAATACTACCTACACGTAAACATATTCACGCTCTTCATTTCGCATTCTTTACATATAATATAAAAGTGGCATACAACACTACAAATTAATGTTGTACAGACTAAAATTAATGTTATTAACTCTGATTAGCTTGAAAATACACCGTACTATCTGCTATGTCCAGGGTTTAAAACTATAGATTATGAGAAAGCGAAATAAAAAGTTGCTGAATAACTAAATGTAGAGCCGACACAATTTAACGGTGTTTACAAACAAGGGTGGTGCTGTGTATACCTGCTACACTGGAGTGCGGCATGAATGAGCGCAGGCTCGAGTCGAACGCGCACAAAGTGGCCGCCTCGCCGTCCCACTGGGGGAGCTTGGTCGGCACAATTTTACTCCAATTGCTACTGGAATCCACAATTTTTCTATTTACCAGTACCTACACCCGTTATTGCCAATTCGACACCACAAAGCGGACATCGCGAATGAATTGTGATTATATTACTTTCACATAAGATTTTCATTAATGTTTTTTCGATATTGTACTGTGTATGTGTACAGTTCAGACTAGACAGTAAATAATTATAGATTATAGTACAGTATATATTATACACGTTTGAAAACAGCGGTGAATTATATATTAAGAAAATAAAAAATATACTATTCAAAATGACTTTATATAGGACCTAATATTTTTTTATCCGTTAATATTATAGAATGTAAATCCTGTATGAAAGCAAACAAATAATGAATGATATAAAACACGTGTGATAAATTGTACAGTGTTTTGCAATGAAGAGTTACATAAATGAAAAATAACAATTATAGCTAAATAAGCGCCCGCCCGAATATTCCCATATGAATTTTATAGACCCCACCAATCCAATGTCAATCTTGTTGAATACATAATAATCCTGTAAAATTCATAGGGCAACCCTACAATTTAATTATTGGATCTAGCCGTCTATGAACACTATACATGCAAAAAAAATATTCTACCAGTAAAGTACATAAAATTCGTTAATTGCTCCACTCTGTTATACCACTAGATGAGGTGGATACGTGAGCTAAGACAATGGCTGTGACACGTCCATAATGTCCTTTGGTAAGGTAACAAAACAAAGTAATAAACTCACGTGAAGCAACAAAATTAGATAATGAAAAAACAAGAAAATTGATGAGTATTCCGACTCTGAACACGCATCTAAGTTTCTGTGTAAATCATTAAACATCGATTTATAACTGTCAGGAATGAACTACGGTAGTCTCATTCAGAAAAGCTCATTTCATTTGCCAAAGCACATGGATCAAAGTTTGCTATAAAATAATCCACACAAAACAGAAATGACACAACTTTGTTTTGGAAATTCATGAAACACATACAATGATTATAGGCAGAACGGTCTTTTTCTAATAGAAATACGAAGTACATAGTCCTGCCATTACTAAATCGATGCAACTAATTTAAAAAATAACCACAAATAAATGAATAATATAGCATCTATACCAGTCTAGGGAGCTCTTGAGGTTTTCCGAATTGGAGGCATAGTAGGAGTTAGGAGAGGATGGTCCGGCTGATGAAAGGCCACTGGGCAGCTCGCCTGATGACGATATCAACGAGGATGGACCACTCCAACCCACGCCTGTTTGAAAATGTTATATTTACTTGCATGCTCATAAATACAAACAGAAAAGACAGCATCTGTCTGAAATGATAGTGGGTCAATTACCTTTATGAGTATCGAAATAATTTATCTTCGATATGTAGAAAAAAAAATGTTGGTAGAAAAACCTGTCTCAAGTGTCTCAAGTGTCAATAGCAATAATGAGATATACCTATACACTATCTTCAGTTCTCACAAAAACATCAAAATCATTTTTATACAACAAAATATATAAATAAACAATACTTTATACAGAGCGTTATTATCGGGCACGTATACAATAATTTATACAGAGCGTTATCATCGGGCACGTATACAAATGTGGAGGTACGTACTGTTGGTAGGCGAGGGCGGCTTGTGGTGCGCGGCAGAGGCGGCAGCGGAGGCGGAGGCGGGCGCGGAGTCGGCGGCGGGCGGCGAGCCCAGCACCACGGGCGCCGCCGACACGCGCTCCAGGAACGCGTCCAGCTGTCGCAGCGACAGCGCGTTGTGCAGCGTCTCCAGCGGACGGATGGCCGGCACGCTGCCGAACTCCTCCAGGGCCGCTACTGTTATACACCATTCTTCATATCTCCACTCTTGATGTCACATTATTGCACAGTATCAATTTATAAAGGTATTCGTTATTAGTAAGTCTATTAATTAAATTTACTTTACATGTCAAAATCAAATTAGTCAAAACGTTAATTACATTCAAAGATTTATATGGTTCCCAGGATTAGACATCATTTGAAGGAGATAAACCAAAATTAAGTTTCTTTCACATAGTAGCGATTATGTCGAGGCAGACGATTACGAATTTGTAAATATATAAAAAATTTATTTCAGTCGATCTTTTCATTAATTTCGAATAGAATTTCAAACAGAACTTTATTGCAGTCGAAAAAATTAAAATGAAAAAATGTTTATTTCTTTAAGTCAAACATCAAATCAAATAATAAGTACAGAAGGTTGCTATTACACTGATGTTATAGTCGATCTACAACAGAAGCTACCGTAACGAAATATACTGACTGTTGGTGGAGGCGGAGGGCGGTATCATGACGCGAAGGTTAGGCGCGGAACTAGAGCCGGAGATGACCGCGGTGCTGAAGAGTCCCGCGGCGCCGGACAACTTGCTGCGGCCGCCCAGCCCCAGCATCTTGAGGTAGCTCATCTGGCCGGCGATGCTGTGCCGCTGGCGGCGGACGGCCGCGTCCGCGCCCGCTCCCGCGCCCGCGCCCGCGTCCGCGTCCGCGCCCGCGCCTGCGCCGCGCCACACGCTACAGCCGGCGGCCAGCCGCGGCCACGACCCCCCGCGGGACCCGAACGTGATCGCGGACAGCGGCAGCTCGTTAGTGGACGACTCGACGCCGTCCACGTTAATGAGGGGCGTTAGGGGCTCGGCGCTCGGGCTCGGGCTCGGGCTCGGGCTCGGGCTCGGGCTCGCGCTCGGGCGCAGGCCGCACGCGGGCGGCGGCGGCGCGCGGCCCGGCCCGGGGGGCGCCGCTAGTGAAGCGACAGCGAGGAGCGCGACGGGCGCGAGTGCGGTTACGGGAGGGGGTGCGAACGACAGACGTTAGAAGAAAGGGTGGTGAGGAAACAGAGAAAATAAATTAATAAATTATATGAGAAGAAAATATAAGTAAACCTAAGTAAGACTGCACTGTGCGACGAAGCATGCGGCGGTATGCGATAGAAGTAAGATTCGCGATCACATCGAGAGTCCCGTAGCCCGGAATGTGGTGTGGTTTGACGATTGTTCATCGACCTTCGGCATGACTCTCGCTATCGATAATTTCCTCCTATGTTCACATAGCCGCATGTGATCACGGGAGAAAATTGCGACCTGACAGTGATGCTCGCTGCCACATGCGACTGTACCCTTCTATCTTATATACTAACTAAAACTAGTACTAGAATTCGTAGCGTCGAAGAGTATTAGTAAACGCATGCAGGTACAAAACAATAGTCAAACGTACACACACAGACGCGTGGAGCGAGAATGCAATCCAAACACACACAAGATCGCCGGCCAGAATGAGCTCAACCAGCAGCGGGCGGCGGGGCGGCCGACCGTTTCTACGAACTCCAAAGGAACACAAGTCAAATAACATAATGAACAAAGTAAGTCAAGGAAACAGTGCACCAAAACCACTCACAAAAGAATTCAACATATTATAAGTAGTCAATGTAAATCACTATCGGCTTGTAAATAGACCGATTCGCAAACATTTCAGCGCGCGATTCTGTTTACGCAATGCCTCTCCCAGTTCTCTGGTTTGGAAGCATCACAATAATTAGCCAAAGACACTTTACATAGCACGTTACAGTATGATACCCATTTCCATCAGTAAATATTTCCCATGTGAAAAAATAATGCCTTTACACCTTAATATTAAATTTAGATTTCTTTAGATAAATGTCGTTGATCTTTTTGATTATCCACGGTACTCTTGAAACACAAACAACAGGTTTTTTTTCATACAGTTCCATCTAAGAGTATATGATATGAAATATTTGTTTTGTAACGTTAAACAGAATGTGGATTAATAGTAACATTATTAATAATAATAATAATAATAATACCTGCGGTTCATCAATACACGTATAAACTTTACCCATTCAGAAAGAAATATTCTGAAAAATATCGTAAATATTTTGTAAAGAACTATTTAAAATAATAAAGAATTATAGTTCAACAGTGGCAGTTAAAGTCTCTAACTACGTAAGCAGTATATTTTTTCTGTGAAACTAATACCAATCAAGCAAATAGTAGTTAAAATATACGTACATAGAAATTATCTGTATAAATAATTCGTATTAAGCCAAAATACCCTGAATATTCCAGTGAGAGATTCGTATCGTATACCGACTGGCACAGGTAGCACAAGTTTTGCAATTGCTGCCTTTACACGACACATTCTTTCAAGCGCGATTAGCTACACGAAGCGATTTAGCACACGCAATCACGTGCGCGCGTAAATGCGCGAAAAAGTTGTAATTTCAATTTCTTTTAAAATTTCTATGCCATAGCTTTTTTTCCAAATTCACGTTTAAAATTTTATAAATTATTAATAAATATATAACTTTGCTCTATAGTCAGATATCCAACAACTAGCAATACTAAATAATTATTAAAAAGGCGCTAAAGCACTCAGTATTGAAGAAAGCGAGATTGCACGAACTGTCGCGCGTCGTCTTTCCCGTTCTATTTGTCTATATTTACGTAAAAATCTTTTCTGCGTGAAAGCCGATTCCCGCGTGAAAGAGCGCAGGTGTAAAGGCAGGTAATGGGCAATGTACAGGACACACGGGGCCAGGCTGTTAATGCAGGCGTTGCAGAGGTGGGGCTCCAGTGCGGGCGGGCGCGGCGCTACCTACCGCTGTGCTGCGCGTGCTGCTCGTACGAGCGGGCGCGCGGCGGCGGCTCCGATGCTTCTTTCGACACGTTCTCTTCGATCCCACTCAGGAAACGAAATATCTCCTTTGGAAAGCTTTCACATAAAAATCTTCGATCTACCGGCGGTTTCAAACACTTATTTCAACGCAAATTTGAATATGGTATACACTAAACCTTCCATGTGATGACTGATAAAGAAGCATCTTACTATTTTTATAAAAGCGGAAGTTTATGAGTGTGGATGGATATTTGTGAATCTTCCAAACAAAAACTACTTAAGGGGTTTTAATAAAACTTTACAATAATATAGCGTTTATCATCATTACATATTATAAATTAAAGTCGCTGACGCTGTCTGACCCTATGTATGCTTAAATCTACGCAACGAAGCGGTTTTTTTAAATAGATAGTATGGTAATAAATAGCAAGGGATAATGCCCAAGGTTATGCATTTATTATAGTTTTTCAACATATGACTATTTGAGCAAATTTTAGCAGATTAAAGTGTACTTGCCAGAGAAGTACAAATGCTGTTTTAAACTTTAATTAATGCTCAAATTCAACTACCCGTTATATACCGCAATTTTGTAAGCATTTATAAATTTGAAATTATATCTATAGGGTTCAGAAACATGATATGAACTAACCCGATGATCATCTCCGGCGCGGAGTTCATGCAGCCTGGCTGCCAACGACGACGCCTCGTGTCCGCTTACCGTGTAGTGTAGATTGCTGTAGCGTTCAATCACATAAATAAAATCATTTATAACTGGAAAGTCAAACTAGCTGACTGATGTAAAGTAGCAAATATAGCCTGCATACGTGTGTGCCTACACTTCTAATATTTCTGTCAAACTCGATATCCTTCCATTAGTTTCCGTCTCCGCATAACATAGGTTTAAGTTCAGTGTAAAACCAGTCCACGTTACACTCCGCGTCGAATGTACGCGTTACTAATAAACCACGTAGCACACTACCAAATAAACGTACTAGTGTACAATAAATAACACAATTATTCCACCTGTATACTTACAACCCATATATGTAATAAACAATATATTAAGTAGCGACACCTCATCACATATATAACACTACAGTGATGAGATAACCACGTGACTACACGTGAATAGGCCACCCATTTAGCACGGTGGTACGTCTCAGTAGTCCAGCGGATTAGCATATCGCCTTATTTCCAATGGTCGCGGGTTCGATACCTCGCATGGCACAAACATTTGCATTCATGAGTATTATTGTTTATATTGCTCTGTTTTCTATGTATACTATGTATGTATTTACAAAAAATATAGACAGACTAGGGCCTGTCTATAAAGGTCTACCAAAACTACTAGGTTTGTTATTCAAATCTTACCATATTGGAATGGGGTCAGATGATGTCATTTTTGATTTAGATGACTTCTTCGGTGAAAATGTACTATCTAATTCATCAAGGTCCTGTAACATAAAACGATTGCTTCTATAAATATTGTGAAGTTGCTCCATATATTTATACTGTATAAAAAATGAGAAGAGTAATTGAAAACGGAAACAAAATATTTAGTTATTATAACAATTTTTGACAAGATTTTATAATTTCAAAAAATACATATTACTAACATTGTTGCATAGTGTTAAAGTATTGAAAATTATCTTATTGTATCTATTAATTACACGCTTAGCAACACGTAAGTTTCTTGTTCATTCTTCATGTGATTAGTCTGCATTCCGAATGATTGGTAGAATAAAAAATTACTTATATGAATAGTATTTGAATAAAAACTATTTCAATTTCTACTTCTGTTTTATATTTTTTGTAATAAGGACATGCTTAATTTTTTTAGTTTTCTTTTAAGTACTACACATTCGTGATTTACTGATCACCTAAAAGTTTGCCTTTTGTACCATTCTATTTGAGTCATTAAAGTTATTTAAAAAAATTCTTTACCGGTTGCAAAGTCTCCTGACTGGCCATTTGATCATCTTCACTTTCTTCTTCAATACATTTCACTTCATCTGATGAGCTTTGCTGATAATCAAAATACAGTTATATCATAATTTCAAATTATAGAAGTTCTTTTGTTACTAATATCAAATTCATATATATGAACTTGCAGCAGCAACCTGACTCTTTTCCTACGTAAATTAGATTAATAGTACTACATGTACTTTTTAAACGTGTTTAATCCACAAAAATAGTATGAAATATATCTATATAGAAATCTGGCCATCGCTATTGGAAGCGAGTTTGGACGTCGAACAGTCAACACTAGGCTATCAAGGCTACGACGACGACTACGCCTAGGCATTAAATCTGAACTCATTACCAGTTGATATCTCGTTCAAAAGCGAGTATAGTCGAGTAGCTATAGTAAAGGAGTAAAAGGAGATAGAAAGATACAAGACACTAGATAAAATAAAACAGAGGACGTGCGACGTAACAACTAATGTCATGATAAAAACAGACACGAAGAGATGCTGTACAGGTAGAGCTGAATAGAATCTTTACCGAGTTGTTAGCTGTGGAATGATTCCGGCTGTGTGGACGGAACCCGGGGCCGGGCGGCAAGTTCTTCTGGACGCAACAGTTCACTCCGGGACTGAAGTGCAGCTCCACGTGGAACCTGAGACGGATATTATCATAAGTATTAGTATCACATCACACTAGGTCGAGACGTATTCCTAGTAAAATGCCAGTCAAACTGGCATATAAGTAAGAAGTAGATGCTAAAATAGAATGTGATTTTTTGAATGTGGTGAAATATTATTTGTGAGTTTACATTTATTGTATTTAATAAATGTAAATTCACAAATTACATTTACATTTAGTAATTACTTGACAACATTACTTTGTATTTAGATCAAGTATTATAAAAAACATGAACCACTCCATTTTTTTTATTTTCTTTAAGCCATGGAAAGTTTTCATAGATGTTAAGTGTAATTACGTCAGATTGTCCCTCCCCCCTAACCTCCTCTTAATTCCTTATAATATAAGCCTAGTCAAAAACTATGTTCCCACATAGTTTTTGACTAGGCTTATATTATAAAAGTTCAGTTCTTTTTTCTTATTACATGACAATATACAATACTTACTACATTTAATTAAGAGGAGGTTAGGGGGGAGGGACAATCTGACGTAATCCCTAACAACGAACAAAATAACCATAATACGTATTAATTAGATTGCACACTGACCTTTCTTCAGAACATGGATCCTTAGTAGGATCCTCATACAGCATTACCACAATCTGCGACATGTAGTTGAGTTCGGAGACCATGGATACGTATTCCATGGCACGACGCCACTGCTCGTCTTTTAAGACCTAAAATGTCGGTCATAAAAAATATATTTTCATTCTTATACATTGAGTCATATTTAATAACATATTCTGTAAAAATGTCATTCTAATTCATCCTCAGAAATCTAAGCTAAGCTTGTGTTATGGATACTAGACAATTGATAGAAACATTATACAATGTTAATATTATTATTTTGTAAACACATGCATAATATACATAGAGAATACACTGAACAATATAAATCAATCATACTCTTTAATATATATATGTGTATATTGAGTTATAGTACGATGCGAGGAAGCTAACCTGCGACTTTCGGAAGTAAGGCGGTGTGACATCGAGACAGTCAATATGTCGGAGGGTTTTCATATGGTCATATATATATAAAGATAAGAGTATATTGCGCTTATAGTAGAACAATACTAAAAAAATGTGTACATATTATAGTTAAGCGATATACAACAAAGGAAACAACGTTCCGAGCCGCAGATTATTCTCTCTGGGAATAAATAATATAAAATTAAGGAAAGTGTACACTTACATCGAGCAATCCACCAAAACGTAGAACTGTGAGTAGCGAGTGCACGTGGCTCTCGCTGGTGAAGTACAGACGTGTACGCACGTGTCGCCCCGGACTTGACACGCCGTGACTGTACCTGCAACGACCCAATCATTGGCATGTTTTTTACTATCATAGTGGTGAAAATACATAATAATAACCCTGGACAATTTATACAGCGCCATCTAGCCCCAAGAATAGAATAGAATAGAAAATCATTTGAATAAATGATTTAACAATAAACTTAATTTAAGCATAATAGATATATTAACCATCAATTGTAATTAATTCGTAATAAATATTTACCTGGTAGTAAAGATATTGTGGATAATAATTACCTGGGATTAAGTCTGTTAACAGTCTCCTCACCAGTTTCTTCTATGTTCCTTTGCAAGTCTGCTCTGATCTTTTTAAGAAGAGGTGTGCATATACCTTGACCTATTGTTAACTTCTCTTGCATTGTTAGTCCATATTCCTGTGAAAAATAAATATGATAATAAATAAGAAGTGTAACAAAATTAACAGATTAATTAAATAAATGGTAACACTGAATTTCCGATACGCAATATACTATATTCCAGACGCCCAGTTTTTTTTTAATTTAATCCATTAAAAAACATAAAATGACTCATACTTTTTTGTTATCTATAATTAACTCTTTATTTGCACTCTATATATATCTTGCGAATTATATACATTTGTATTTTAACTGATTGTGTAACCAGAAAATATACCTTACAATTATAGCACTTACAATTACAAGTTATTTAGAGTTCATTATTGAATGCAATAATTTCAGTTTTTCTTACTTGCGGTATCACGATGTCGGCCAGGTACTTAGCGTACATATACAACTCCTCAGCGAGGTCAAACTGCAGTGTGTGCTGGTTATGCTGCAGGTCGTACTTGATGCAGTCGTATATGTCTGGAATTTTCGATATGTCATACGTTTTGTTCTTCGTACAGAAATCCTTTTCTATTTTGCCCCATCTACGGCCCATCAGCTCCCACGTCTCGCCATGATACAGTATCGTATCTGTATAAAGACATGCATATATTAGTCACATTCTTATTTATTTAAAAAAATACGACGTTAGTTCGGGATATTTACTAGATGGATTACTTAATCAATATTTAAGAAATAAGTTCTGTATGTAATTTGGTCTAGTTAACAGATAGTTTTTTATATGTTTGAGTTTGCGCTTGGTCTTTCCTCATCTGATAGGAAATGATGACGAAACCTAGGATGAAATCTATTCACCATAGACTTTAAGAATACGGGGTTGTATTTCTCCGGAATACGAAAACTTTCCACTCTTTAGCAGTGTGAATTAAAAATATATATAAATAATGCGGTTGCCCGTCCAACGCAACCGGGTTAAGTAATAGTAGTCTAATATCCTCATCCCAAGAAAATTCATTCCCCGCCGTGCGCCATTAATGGACGTTATAATACGATGAATTTACGACGAAAGCAGAACATAACCGACCCTTGGTCTTAGGGTCGTCCTTCTTGGCGAGCACGATGCGCACGAGGTGCTGTATGAGGGCGTGCACGTGCGCGCAGCACCGCGCCGGGTTGGCGACCAGCTGCAGCGCGGCCGCGATGCTCGCCGACGAGCACGGGTTGATGCGCGCGCGGTCCTCCTCGCCGAACTCGCGGTCCATCTGCATCGACTCGTGCAGTCGTGCTTTCGCCCTGGACCGACACGGAGTACATAATGCAAGCAATATCTAACATTTATCTAGGAATGATTAAAGTGGCCCTCCTCCGCGAAGGCGAGGCGAGCAGGCGAGCTTCCGCCCTAGAGGGTCTTAACCATTTTTAAGGAATGATTAAACTAACTCTGCTAACCCAAAGTCCAAACGGAAGAGCCATGCCGACTCGTGCATTCAAACTTAACAGCAAATACACAATTCATATAATGTCTAACATTTACCATTCACAAGAAATCATTAAACTAACTCTGCTAAACCAAGGTCTTAACTAACTTAACGGCTCCAACACGTGATAAATGTGAACAACAAGACCAAACACAAGGATTAGTAGCTTTCATTGAATGTGAAAGCTACAAAAAATATACAAAGTAGGATCCAGGTGATTTATAATTATTTTAATTTATATATAATACTAAATTTACTTTATGGTTGTGGAGTACCAATAATAAACCGACTAACTTTCTAATGAAGAATTTCAATTACAGTTGTATTACACTTACATATTTTGCACCTTTGACGAATCACAATCATTATCGAGTAATCCATTTGTATTGGCCGACTTGACCATCTGTACTAAGATCGGTGTCAATTCCCCCTCCAAAGCTAACAGTCCTTTTGCAAAAGCCGCTGCTGTCATCTGCACACGACCCTCATCTGATGCGTATATCTTCAGGTCGTGACGGAACGTCGAATGTAGTCGCAGTAACCCGAGGCCTTGAGTACCTCCGTCACCTGGCATAAAATATATTTAAAAAATAATATTTTAAGCCAATTTTGGAAATTAAATTATGTTAGTCATTTTTGCACATGCATATATTATTAAGTAATAAATCTATACTATTAAACGTTAATACCAGTTATTAACTCACTAATTACTGATACTTAAAATCGAAAAACCTTTACATAATTGAAATTTGTGCACTGATTGAGACAAGTATATGACATCCATTAGTTTTCTAACCCAAATGAAAAGAAAGAGAACGCTTCTACATACTAATTTCCGTGATGATACTCAACTATATAAGTGATTGTTAAATTCCAATTACTTACATAAAAAAACAGTTGCCATTGTATTGTAAGAGATGTTGAACTTTTATCGAAATAAAAAATATCGTAATTACTTTATAACGTAATTATTGTTAAGAATTTAGTAGTAATAAATGTCACCAATCCTTTTCTTTAGCAGGATGTCAAAAGTGCACACTGTACAAGAATATTTAATCACTTTTATTATGTCCAATAAAAAAACAAACAAAAACAAAACAACTTCCAAATTTTGACTGCAAATAGGTAGTAGTAGGATGTAAGTTTTGTAAGCCACATAAATTATTTTGAACCTAAGCAAAATCTTACTAACGGATGGAGTGACTAAAAAATATTATATAAATAAATATATAAATCCCTGTCGTTGTTGATACCGCCATCTAGTGTCAAACTAAGTACTTAGTCTAAGGGTAACAGGCAACTGATAAGTATGTTACCAAAACACTTATTTGATTAAAATATACATAGTAAACCAACCAAACATAGACAAGAGTCGTACTCCAATTATTTATTAATATATGTTTTGTACTGGATCGAACCCGCAACCTTCAAAGAATGAGGCAGAATGCTAAGTCACTATATCACCGAAGCTGTTGTAATATACTGGTGTTCATAACAAAATTACAAGGGATATATGTTTGCATTTATTAATGGTGAATGAATAAAAAGTTTAAACAGTCGAGTGCACGCACAAATCTAACAATTATCTAATTATCATTACCACAAACAAAGGTAACAAAAGGTAACATTTTTTAAACAAATACAAATGTTATCGAAATGTGAGTGTCATCCACTTTGTGCATTTAGAATTTTAATTATCTAATCGAAGTTAATTATTTATATTATTATTAGAAGTTAACAAACACAAATGTTACGATGTCGAATTAAATTTTCATATAATTTAATGAATTAATATTGCAAGTCACATAAACAGTTTAGTTATGGATAGTCAAATATAAAAACAATGATGTGACATTTTCGGAAAATTAGATGCAATGACATAAAAAACAAATAAGCGAGCAAAGCTCTGTTTTCAGGTTTTATCAGCACAAGCTTTAGCTTAATACATATTATTAAAAATAATTGCAACCCTAAAAATGTTGGTAGATACCATGATAGTCACCGAAACACTACATAGCTAGAGCTAATGTTAATGAATAGTATGAGAGACCTGGTATATGCCGTCCCTGCCCGCCCGGGTACATACAGCGGAACATTCGGCCCAGCTCTTCCGCCTGAATGCGGCCGGCCGGCGTCAGCTCCCCGCCCCACTTGAGGATCAGCACCAGCGACGGCTCGCCTGCGCCGCCTACTGTACATCATTAAATTCAATCAACAAACCGCAAACAAAAAACAGTTGGTTAAACTTCTGAGCATACCATAAATTCACAATCATCGTGTGGCAGAGAGGGATACTCCGAGAAGTTCCCGGCACTTGTGACCCAGCAACGTACGTCGACAATCACCTTCACATCTAGTGTTTCTCTCCCTGCCCAGCCAAATCAATGGGAGCCTGCTAGTATTAGTTTAGATATACGTTCTAGTATAGAACCCAGCAGCAATTGCAGTACAAGATCTTTTAGAAGATTGTAGATATTTCGCTGGTATATCTCTGGCTCCCACTTCGACCGCATATAAATTAACCACATAGCCATTATTCAAATGTTTATAGTAAGTTTGGACTTATTTTCTTGTTTTCCTTGTAATTTCTTAATATAATCTGACCTTAAACCTGACTTAAACTTTAAATATAAAACTCAATTAATAAACTCACAAAACAAACTTATTACTTTGAATACCATCATTAAAATGTTCATTTCAATATATAAATGGACCCTTATGAAGTGCAACTTGTGCATTATCGTTATTAAAACTTATTTTAAAATTTTATGTACATCAAATGAAATCTACTAATATACAATAAAATATATAAATGTATAATACAGCATTATGTCAATGTATTATAATAATTTTATAAGCAATTTTTTGCTTCTATTCTAATATGTTACACTATAAATGATGCTACAAGTCATTCTACAATAGTTTGCGCTATAGTAAATAGCTACTAAAGTCAATGATCATGCAAATAATAAAACAAGTGTTAATCAATTAAATGCAACATTTGAAACCATCTAAATTAAAATTGGAATATGTAATTACAAAAAGATGCTATTGGAATCTTTGACGTGTGGGAAATAGACAAACAAGTTGACTAAACACACTAAAAGATGTCAACACTGTTACATTCACAGAAATGAAATAGCAGGATACACATTTCATTGCCTTTAATGGGGATAGGTGGTCTTTTAAATCTAATTTCTAAAGTAAGAAAGTAGATGTCATATTACTTTAGTACCACAAAGCGTTGGGCTATTTAGTAAGTGTTCTGTTTGCCATAAATTAACAGAAAATAGGAGTTAGTGATAACTTAAAAATTAAATCTACTATACATTACAACTATAAATTAAAAATATATAGTATAGGCATAGGAACAACATGATTCTTGAAAGATCTAATAGAACATAACCGTGGAATATATTTAGAATAAATACTACTTTTTACTTAGTTCGAATAGAGTTCTGAGGAGTTATCACAGTTTATTTATATCGTATTAAATCCCGAAATATAATAGAAAAAAAATCTGCACTAACTCTACTTTTGTTATCAAGAATATCATCTAATAAAACTGATCACCCGGCGAACCGTACTCGAATAAAATTTTATACTGACTTGGTGAATATGGTCCTTTCAAAGAGTGCGACCGGTTCATTAGACTGTATTACGTGGTACGGTACGTGAGTGGTAATGTATAGTAGAGTGGATATGGTCCCAGTGAGCAGACCGTGATCTGTGGATGCAGGTGAGTGTGCGGGGGCGGTACCGTCGTCGGAGCTGGAGCCGCGCGGGCGGCCCCTCGGCTGGTACTTCATCTGCACCTTGCGGTTGATGCCCGAGAAGTGCCCGTACCTGCATAATTATTTATTTACATAACTTCAATGCCTATAATGTCAACGTGCCGTTTAAAAAAGTAAAACGGCGGGAAAACAACAGCGTGAAGTCTCTACAACTGGTGGTGATGATTATTGGTATACAGTTTGGCATTTATAATACTAATTACAATAACCTTATAGTTCACTTCATATCTCGGTAAACGTCTATATGACATCGTACTCCAATAGGTTGTATTATAAATAAAGTGATAGAAAAATAACATTACATCTCTAAAACACTTTTAAGTTGCTCAAGCTTGCCCTGCTTCTCTTCTATTTCAGGATCGGCATGGCGCGTGTGTATATCGGCAAGCAGAGCTCGTGCGATGTCCAATATCTCTTGGAGTTGTTTCGGTTTCTTTAACTTCACGTGGCCCCGTTTGTAACCGTCATACTTTTCGAATATTTCGAAAAACCTATGGACAATTAATATTATCATAATTAATCCCGAATCCCCCTTCGCCCGGGTACTCATAACTTCGTGAAAATTATATAAATAAATAATATAAATACCTTATTTTTGCTCGTATAGATTATTTATACAAAAAACAAAATTAAAGTATTTGTCTATAATTTCAGATTAACAGCTTTTTACTAAATGCATATGAAAGAATATACAGTACTTACATCAAAAAATAAATTAAAATAATTTTGTCTGTCAGTTCTCACTAATCTCTGAAATGGTGGGGCCTATTTTGACGAGACTTTCACTATCAGATAGCAACGGATAGTTTTGGTATTTAAATTGTATTTATGTTAATAATAATAATAAAAGTTAAATTTCACGGGGACTAAATCGTGGGTATTTTATGAAACTTTAACACCTCACCTTGGATGACGGACTTCAACTTTCATCTTCTGTTTGGGAGTACGATCCCCATGCCTAATGACAGCCACAACGCACCGCAACTCCATCATTTTGCCGAAGGTGGTGGGCACAATGGGCGGGTCGTCAAGTTGGAAAGGCACTGACCACGGGATGTGTAACGTCGGTGCCAGCTCCCGCAGAATCATATTACCAAGTATCTTTGCACAATCGTCATAGTATTTATTTGAATTTTTTACGAATGAAAATCCATTCACGTCACACACGAACGACTTGCCGTTTGCTCTGAAAAAATAAAATCACTTTAAACACCGACCTAGAAAATAAAACTCACTCACTCTAGTAATATTTACGCAACTAAAAGATTGTTAAAAATAACTGTATAATCAAATATAGTAAGGAGAATATTCTCAATTCGAATGCTCATTACCAGTATAACATATGATCCATAGAGCATCCGTTAACAATCACATCGTACAATCCAGTCATTTTAAGTCATATTCAAGATATTTTTCTTTATTGTATATGTTTAACCTAAAATGAGATTCACTGGCAGAAGAACTCTATAAAATTCTTTATCCACCTTTAAAATAGAAGTATTCTTTTTATCTATTGTTTTTATATACACTTCTGCCACTGCACTCTGCTATTTTAAATATATAAAAGCATGTTTGTTTATCTATCACTATATATCAATTAACACAATATTTAAAACATACATATCATTTGGACTTATTTTTCATTACCTTAAGAGATCAAATCCGCAAACAGTCTGCTTAAATGCTAGACACACTTTTCTAGATATGAGTTTTTCCTGGTTGGAGAGTATGACCGGGTACCGGATCTCCTTGCCCTCGGAGTCTCGTTCCACTTTGCCGTCGAGCGCGGGACTCTTGCGCGCCTCCGCGTGAGCGTAGTCTGGTCCCACAGTGTATACTTTCACGTCTGTGCCTACAAATCACAAAGAACTTTTACCGAGGTAGACAGTAAAGAATCGTCTGCGTGGCCATTTCAGTCTATATTTCAGAATCCAAGCAGTTTGCTTTGTTTGCGATTAGGCAGTGAAATTACAGGATAACAGCCATGACGATGTGAACTTCATAGTGTTGCTCATGTATATAGACTATTACTACCTACCTACTAAAAAATAGTAGATTCATAAAGAAATGGTTATAAATAAAGTTTACTTGATACAGTCATAAAAAAAGTAATGAAATAGAACTGCGATGATCTTTAAAGCGTATGAATTAGAAAGAAACAAGTGAAAGTAAATCCATGACATATACATCTAATATATATACATAGTAAATAAGTGGATCATGGAATATGAGCACTTACCATCTGTAGGCATAAAATCTTCATAGATAAAGGAACCAGTTTTTCTAACTCGTGATTCGGGGGAATAAATGCTGCTTCGACTTCCGATCTAACATGTAGAAAGTAAATTACATTTATAATCTATTATGTAAGTAATATTTAAGTGTCTAAAAAATATTTATTGTAACTTTAACAAAAATCATCTCGTAAAGTCAAGTACTGACGGCAGCCACTTTACATCAGCTTGTTCACTTCTTCAGTTCCGTAAGAAAATCATGTAGAAATTATATTTAATAATGGTGAGGCCCTGATTGTATACCCATGTGTTGGAAACACAGTAAGAACAATAGTTTTTTATTTATAAAACCATTGGATAAAAACAACAGTTTAAGTGACGTTTTTTATAAATTTGTAAAAAACACACCCAAATCGGTTAAGTGCCTTCTTATTAGAATAGCGCGCACTAATTCACAAACAGATAATAATAATTGTTTGGGTTATTTTACAATTAAAGTCCATCAATAAAGGTTTTTTTCTGATGCACACACTCTGATAAGTTATATTTTCATTATATGCACATATGATGATAATATGTCAAGCAGGAACCGTGTAACAAGCTTAATCATAACAGTTATCAGAAAAATAAAAAAAACTCTATATTACGTATTGTAAAAAATATAGAATTAAATGTCTTTTCTTGCTCCACCATATTCAGGGATTACTAATCTAAAAATATATATAATTATTTTTGTAATAACTATTACGTCTGTTAGACGTAATGCTGTGTCAGAAAAAGACTGTCTATTTCTGAGACCTGTATATGCATGTAAATGTGGCTTTTATATTTCGAATAGCAATTATTTTAATTAGTATAGTTTGTATTTACCTTTCTAAAAAGTCGTTGACTTCCACCGCCTGCAGAAGTTGGGTAATATATATAGATATTATGATCCTCTGCAGATACTGGTTTTTCTACAAAAGGTTTATTAAAAACCACACCATTCACTTCTACATGGTCTTCAGATTCAACTAACTCATGATCTAAAACAAATAAAACAAAACAATTATATGTGTATTTTAATTTAGCAAAAATAAATATTTTTGAATCACTTATCGCTGTAATACTCACATTTTATATACAAATATAAATGAATGGTTTAAAAAATAAAATTCACTTTTATAACTATTATTATTATTATTAGTTTCATTTAAATACAAAGTAATTTAATAAATACAAGGTGAATGAAATTATGGAGAATATAGATACACTACTAAAGTTGCCTAAAAGGATAATTAACACAGTAAGATGTAGTTAAAACAACAATAAATTACATATGTCAACTAAATTGACTCAAGTTCAAACTTACATATTGCATCTGGTGCATCTCTATCTAAAACAGCATATCTTGGTATTTCTATACCTTCACTTTCTAATATAGCATATACTTTCCTACGATCCTGTAATAAAAAAAAAAGATACCCTATTAAATTAAAAATAAATAATTAGTAATATATTATTAAAAAATATATATATAATATTTAAGTTAATGCAATGGTTAGTTGGAACACAACACAAACAATGATATAAAAACAGAAGATATTTTAATATACAACACACCTGTATGTCATACTGCATGTGAAGATTGTTTATAACATAAGGCTTCCTTAATTTCTCATATTGAATAGCTTTGTCTAATGGGAAGCCTTTAGAGTGAAATGAAATTAGACAATCACATATTGGCCACTCTTCCACAGGTTTCTACAATAAAAATAAATATGTCAATCAGAATATTCCATTAGATTGTATAGTGAAGATTTACCATTCTGAATACTATGAAAGTAATGATAAGCACATGAAAAGTGTAAATGTGTACTATTACACATTTACTCCCTGAGACAAACAAAGCAATGTGTATAAGCATATTTAATGGAAGCATAGCATACATTATTGCTTGCAACATTTATAAACCATTCAGTGGATCATAATGTACTTATGAAGATCAGGTTTTGTTAGTTTTACAAAAATGTATAAATTTGTAAATTTGTGAAACAAAATAATTAATTAAACTAAATACACTACATTCAGACTTATAAAATGAACTCTAATCTAATATAAATGAGAATGTTGGCTGTTAATAAAACTGTCTAAATGGCCTTTATTTTTATGCTTAATATCTACAACAAAAACAATTTATATATGTACTTTCTATAATAAACTGAAAAAAAAAAGATAAGTGTTTAGATCATTCCATACATATATTAGGATATATTTAATCTTCTCACCAATTTATAAATTTGTGAATGGGAATTTAATATAGCTTAGGTAATATATAAAAATTATAAATAATCAATTTATGTGAGTTCTAATTTATTTTGTTCCACTGAGGTTAGATATTTGAGAGAACCTGAAGGATAACCTCCTCAGGGAAGACAAGCATCTTTATATACTCGAATTCATCAAGTCTGGTTAGGATTTCCTTCATAGGCTTCGACTGCGACTTCTTGGCCATGGCGCATACGCCAACCACAACTTTCTTGCCCCCACCATCGTAATGGGGATCTAGTGTGTCACACAGCTCCAATTCGCCCTGACAAATAATATATATATATATATATTTAGTATCATAAATCTTTAAATATGAATAATTTAGTGAACATTCTAATTTACATGTCATATATTAATAGGGAAATATAATAACATCCTTTGTGGATGTTACCTATATGTATGATGTTAAATAACAATATAAAAACAAGTAAGAATATAATGTTGACACTCTTTTTCATTGTCATGTTATCATAGAAGCTAACTAGTGGAACAAATGCATAAACCTTGTATCAAATGACAGCAATGTACCCAACAGTGTATGGGCATGGTATTTGTTGTTATCCAAAGATTATATAATATTATTAATTTATTTATTTATAATGAAAATATAGATAATAATTTTATTATATATTAATTTAATTCAATAATGAATGTATAAAACACTGACATAGGTGTCATGCCTGTAAAAATTAACACCATAGTAATTTATATAATTATAATACAGCTAAAAGTTATAGATATTGAACTTATATAATCAATTATAAGTTATATTTGTGTATATCTCACATCAGGTAAACAATCATCACAATAACAAAACTCATCATCACTCTGCTCCTTCTTTTTATTATTTCTCCATCTTTTCAAGCGCCACCAGTCTTTAAGCCACTGCCACTCCATTGACACACACTATCAACTGTTACTTTAACTGCTATTAAAAAAAAATCTGATAAGAATAATGAACAACCTTGCTATCATTGGTTAATAGTTCCAATCACATACTTGATAACTAAGATAAACATGACATGAATTAACATATTACATTACCTGACTTGGCATTGTAAGAACAACACTTGTAGCTATAAATAATCTTCATATAACGGTGCATATATAAAAAGTGTAAACAACACAGGCTATCAGCGTGTCATAGCTATTGTATAGAGTTGCTTATTTGTGGTTTATTAAGTCGCCCATTATATATTGCCAGTTTTACTTTGCAAATAAGATAAGCGCATAACTGTAATATTCACTCATTGTGATTGCAAGGTAATATTTAGATTAACAATGACAATTAGGGCCAGGAAATAATATATTCTTAAACTGAATACACCAATAGTGAAGACAGTAGTTCATATATATTATTATTAAAGTAGATATTTTACTTTCAAATAAATAACGTTTGTTAGATTAAAAGATATTTGTCAAATAAACATACCGGTGACCTTATTGCGACAAGGTTCCCGTCTTCGCCGACGTAAAATTGCGGTTGACGGGCTTGCCGTAATCCTTGATAGCCATGCTCTAACTCAGTGTATGACATTACATTACCTACTTAAGTCTAGGTTTTGTTATTATGCAAAATTGTTTGTTATTAGCACCTATTTTTTCTGCAATATTTGTAAATTTTACTAAACCTAATGAATATTGAACTTAGTCATAACAAGTTATAAATGCAATGAATCTAAAAACAAAACAAACAAAATCCAATAAAATACGTTTAATACAGATTATAAATATAACAGAATATATTGCCAGATACCAAGGCCAGAAATCGGCCAGGTTAAGTCGCAAATTTTATGTCAACCAGCCTAAAATCGCTCTTCCTTCCTTCCGAACACTTCGTTCTAGTCATAGATAAGATAATATACTATACTTGAAATAGTTCCAGTATCGTAGTTACAAGTCATAGGGATACAAATGTGATATTAAAATTAAAAAAAAAAATTAATTTGGTATAAGGCTATCTTTAAACTTTTATAAAAAAATTAATTTTCTATTTCTAAAAAATATCCTTCTATTAAAATTTCCGACAAGCATAAATGCCTAAAGATAAGGAGAATGAAATTATTTCTCCTAGATACAAAGACAGACGACAGTATTTTTCGCAGTGAGTACTGACTACTATTGTTGAATATGAATAAAATGATGTTTCCTTATTTGCCCTCTGTATAAATAAAATCCCACTAACTATAACTGGATCTCTGGACTATACGCAACATTCATTCTATGATTTCGTTACGTCTTTATAATAAATTGCATGTACTACGTCGAACTTATTACTAGTTTTGAGAGAATCAAAAGTCTCAAATCATTTAGTACTAAATGTATTTTGACTACGGATACATTTTAAGATAAATATAGACCGCAGATTAGTTTAGGAAAGATCAGTAAAATATGCAAACAGATATAATAGTAATTTATTTTGAGTGACATTAAAAATCGTAAGTGTAGGTATATTATTTTTATATTATGAATTTGAGACTGACCAGTAGGGTACTTCACCTATTTATCAGATGGTAGAAACCAAAGAATATACTACTCAAGGGGTAGAAACTAATAATACACACAAACTATTTAACTGAAAGGGCGGGAAACGTTAAACTTGACGGCGCGTTTTTTCTTTTGATTAAATTTAATACTTATTATTAATTATTTAGTGATTATTTAGTGTGATATTGTATTTAGTTATTTAATATCTATTATTTAATTTGTTTATTGTAGTTTGTATATAATTAGCTGTTTTGTTGATAAGTTTTTCGTTTTTTCATTTATATGGATGATCCCCCCGGCTCGGGGGATTCGTCCCTCCGGCTTCTAACTATGTTACAATTTCATGAAAATCGGGTATGGAAACCGATACGTCTTGTTCAAGCCGGTCAATAAAACGCAGCCGGTTACAAAAATTTTGTAAAAATTGTAACAAACGGAGAAGAAAAAATTCTCAGATAAAATTACAGATTGCCACTGTACAGATGACACAAATGATGAATAACAAAATCCATCCATTGAAATACAAAATCCTCTCCCGGAAGTAATTTCCACTCCACAATGTGTAAATTTAGATCCCCCTCATCTATCGACATCAAGAAACAAATGAAATTAATAATATTTCTCAACCAGTAGGAAGGAAAATGTATGAACCCACAGATCATTCTCCATACTTAGTTCATATAGTAAGGCAAGAAAAGTCTCCAAATGACGGTACTACACTTCACTCTGTGACATTTGGTAAATTCCTCAAAAAAACAGTATTTTTAAAACATTATTAATGGAAGTGTAAAACGCATTGGACGAAATAAAATTGCATTATCTTTCTCAGTTTGCCATGATGCTAATACATTTATTAACCACTACAGTTTAAATGATCACATATTACAGGATTTTATAACAACATTTAATATTACACGTATGGGTCTGATACGAGATACATACGAAATTACAAAATTGTAGTTAATGGATGCCGCACCTGGAAACCTTCTGAGACAGTAGTAGCAGTTACTACCAAACAGAATATTCCTGTGTTATAATGCATTACCAGTAGAATTATACACCTATCCAACTATACAATGTTACAATTGCTATCGGTATAGTCACACAAAAATTCAATGCAGGTCAAAGCCACGTTGTTTTAAATGCGGTCAAAACTATACAGGCGAAACATGTGATGTTGAAGATGCTTTTTCTGTCTATGTTCAGGAAACCATTTTTCTACTAGCAAATTTTGTCCAGAATTCAACAGACAAAAGCAAATAAAGTTATATATGGCTGAAAATTGTATCTCATATGCTGAGGCCTCAAAATTGCACCCTGCTGTTACAAAGCCTTTTGTTGAAGTCCTTTCCACACCATCCAGCACTATAAAAAATATACCTGTAAATAATGATATTGCTTCTAAACAATCTTATAATAAAACCGTATTCTTAAAACCTATCTCCTCGTCCATCTTATGCTGGGTATGACAAAATTGCCCATGAGAATATTATAAAAGATTTTAATAATTAATAATTCCCCTTCTAATGACTGTGCACTTTTATGACTTATACTATATGTATATGACTTATATAATACTTATATATATAATAGAGTCACTCTTCTCATTAGAAATTCAATTTCCTTCGTCCATTGTTTGCCTATTAGCTAGTCCTAGTCCTATAATATATAAATCTCTTGCATCTTTTATTTTCCGTAATAACACAATCACTAATTCCGAGTATATATCAAAAGTCCAGTTTCCTGTTTTTAGTGGCATAATAGGCAACACTAGCCTCTTGCCAAAGAAAAAAAAAGCTATTTAATTAGAAATATATTTATTATAAATAACTTGTCTGGCTTGACGAATATAATTTACACATTCCACAGTCGGCATTAATACGAAACACCGGCGATTTTTATTATTAAAATAATATAATTAAAGCGACATAACAATTGTGGCCCCATTGCCAGCAAACTATCATGTTAAGTTGACCACCACGCGACCCCCTTCCAATCATCTTCGGTTAACTATTTTATAGTAGACTAAGGACAGCAGTATTTATTGATCGTTACTTATAACATAATTTACTTTAAATGTAGTTTATTAATATGTAAATGACTGCAATTGTTTTTCATCGATATCGATAATATTGGATAAAAGTTATGTAACATCATATAAAAGTTATTTTTTTAAGCTGTACCTTGCTATTATCTGTTACCCTTTTGGTATATTATATTTACTTCACTTTGTTTGACTGTCACTTATGTCCTCATGTTATTAAAATTTCTTATACGTCAGTCCTCCTGAGTAGTATATTCTTGTCAGTTCGTGCTACTTGCACTCTCAGTACTTTAATTTACTGTACTTGGGAATGTCAGCCTCTTTTAATAGTTTTTGATGTGTAGTGGACAGTACCGAAAACTTAGTCTGTTATTTTTTCCATGTTTTATATTGATACTTCATAACAATACATTATTGTGATTTCTGCCTTCCACTTAGTATTTTCTCAGTGTATATTATTATAATTAAAAACATTTACTCGATCTATTTCTGACTATATTGCATTATTGGAACAAAAATTATCAATTGAATTATTAGACTTTTTCGCTGATGTTCTATATGTAAAAATACAAAATATGACTCAAGAAAATAGAACACAATATAATTCTTTTCATACATTCATGTCATCATCATCCTTTTGGGATTCTATACAGATCATGATTACCAAACCTAACGTTATTAACAAGAGGTTGTGGGGTTGTAAATTAATATTTACATGCCATTGTAAGCCCATTGCTTCTGAATGGAAGTTACCACTAAAATGTTATGTATTTAATGGTAATGAAGCAGATGCTGATTACTATAAAATGGAAGTACTGAAAGAATTAGGTGTAGTTATGTGTGTTGATTATGAAAATACCTCTAATAAAAATTTATCAATGATACTTTTGGAACTACTGCCAAAAAATTACACCGGAAATCATGCATACCAAATTATTTGTTTAAATAAATATGAGAACTCTGTCACATTCTACAATGTAACACCAATAGAAAATAACCAAAATATATGTCCAGAGTTTACTTTTTCACTGCAATTAATAAATTCTGAAGTTGTATTAAATTGTATATGTGGTAAGTTTTACTACTGTATTTTATATAGAAACAAAATTTCACTGTATTTTCAGAGCTAAATATGACATAATACTGAAATAGATTTTGTACATAGTTGTCTGTGTGGATGGATTAAATAGATTGTGCTTTGGTTTAGAGGGTAAAATATGAGGGGTACCATAGGTGTCATGATCTGTAGCTGTGGAGCTGTATATAGGTCACTATTGGACCTTTCCATTAGATGAACCATCAGCTTGTTCACCATTTCATTTACTTAGAACATATGTGTTTTTGTATTTATGTATAATAATAATATGAATGGTAGATAGTGTACTGACACACTTTACAATCTATAATATAATCTAATATGAGATATTGTTTCAGATAATACATCAAAATCATATCAGTGGCTTCTAAACACTGTTTTACCGCAGTTTTTGAAATGGGGTCAAAAATCATCATACAAATCACAGAATTTTTGTAATGAAACTTTGGCATTAGTATCTAAAGATAAATATTATAAAAAATATAATGAACTGAAATTAAAATATGGCAAGGAAATGGTTAAGGTAAAGTTATCTATGACTTGACATGACATATTTATAATATTTCCATTGTTAATTTCTTTTTCAAATTTATATTTGTTTCAGATTTGGCCAGAGTGCACTGACCCATCCAAGTTTGTATATGAAGATGTTGCTATAGCCACTTACATATTGCTACTTTGGGAAGATGCAGAGCAATGCAATTCAGAAAAACCTACATTTATTGATTTGGGTTGTGGTAATGGCTTATTAGTTTACATTTTGACTAAAGAAGGATACCATGGAACTGGTATTGATATACGAAAAAGACAAATATGGGATATGTATACAGATATTCAATTAGAAGTAAGTTAAGTAAAATGTAAAATAAAGCTTCTAAGTAAATAAAACATGAAATCTAAAGTATTTCAATCTTTTTTAGGAAAGAACTATTGTACCTTCAGATTCCAACTTGTTTCCGAACACACACTGGATAATTGGAAATCATTCTGATGAACTGACTCCATGGATTCCGGTTATAGCAGCTAGAAGTTCATACAAGTGTAACTTTTTTCTACTGCCTTGTTGTGCATATAATTTTGATGGTAGCAAATATCAAAGGCAAAATTCATCGAAAAGTCAGTATACAGAGTATTTAGAGTATATTAGAGGCTTGAGTGAGGAATGCGGATTTAAAATTAATATGGACAGGCTTAAAATACCAAGTACAAAAAGAATCTGTTTAATAGGTACAGATAGAATATATAGTCCAGAAGACTATCATAAGCATTGTAAATTAATACAAAATTTAATTAATCAGAAAATCTCAGCACCTGTATCAGAAGAAAATGGAAATAAATGGTTGAAAGACTTCAAACCTAGAGAACAAATAGAAAGAGTAAGGAATTGTACGCAAATTGACAAATCTGTTATAGATTTTGTTGTAAATTGTATTACCACTTATCTTCTCAAGGAAGCAAATTTAAAAAATGGTTGGTATCCTGGCAAATTAGTTGATTTAAATGAATTAGTTGCAATTTTACCTCCAGACAAACTAAAACACATGAAATCAGAATGTGGTGGAATTCAGACATTATTAAAAAATAATCACCATATTTTTAAAGTACAAAATGGTAAGGTTCAATTTAGGTATCCAAAAACAATAGAGGAATTGAATTGTACTATGAAGGGTAAAAAACAGAAACCATCCAATGTTAGAATACAGAAGAGGCCATGTTGGTTTTATGATAATCATCCACAAGGCTGTCCTCTGCCAGATAGCAACTGCAGTTTTCTACATAGTGTTAAAAAGGAGGATATTCAAAATAAAAATAGTTAATGACATTTTTTTTATTGGCAACAATTATACATATACCAGACTCCTGAAAAAAAAACTATAAATGATCAGCAATGACCAATACCCCCTTAAAGTAATTAAATGAATATACCATATAACCAAACTAAATAATTAAAGATGTTACTAACTTAATTATTCGAAACTAGGTGTTACTAGCAAATTGTCTTTTTTTATAAATAAAATATAGCCAGACCTAAGATATGTCTATCTTTAGATCAAAGTCATTAATATTTAGTTCTGAAAAGGTAATTGACAGAGAGAAACGCTCATTTATAACATTAATATGGATTTTTACATCTTACATTGAGAACATTAGGAAATGGCATTGCATCAATATTTTTAGATATCTTTTTCTATTTAAATTAATTTTTACACTAGTTTTACATACTATAACAGTCAGATTACAATTCATATTTTTATTGGAATGAAAATAAATATGAAAAATATAATTTATAATATCATTTGCTATTTAATCAAATAAAACCTTAAGAGTAAAAATGACTTCATATAGCTTCAAAATTATATGCAAATATTATTAGTTGCTGAATAACTGTTGTAACTTAACACATTGCAAGTAATTACATTTCTTTCTTGAGATTATTTTTTAAATAAGAAAATTAGGTCATTTCATACTTATATCAAATTACACTTTTATATACTATACATACATGTATATTGGAAATACCTCTATAATTATTCTGTTCCAAAGAATTTATTGAGTTCAATTAGATTTCGTTCATCAACTAATTTTGCAACTTCATGCTCACCCATAAAGGAACAAACCATCCTTAGTGTTGTCCAGATTGTTGATGAACTGGTATCTATGTTTGTTGACTCTGAATGCATATTCTTTGATTTATATTGTTGATTTAATGCTACCAGGAAATGTTCTGCTGCCTGTCTATGAGCTCCTAAGTTCATACAAGTTATACCCACATTATATCGAGCTCTAATGAAACCTGGCTCTAAGTTCAATGCTTGCTGATAGGCATCAACTGCTTCTTCTGATTTTTCACTATTAGCTAATGTTGCTCCAAGTCTGTTCCACAATTTAGGGTCTTCATTAGCTATCATCAAAGCAGATTTAAAACAATCTACAGCTTTATCATGTTCATGGGTGATATTAAACACCACTCCTAATGCATTTTGAACATCAGGGTCAATTTGAGATGGATTTAATTGGGCTGCTTTTATATACAATGATTTCACATGGGTTTCTAAAGATTTTAAATCCAGTTTTTTTGGGTCAATATCATGAGGGAATAAATCATTATATTTTGGGCTAGCTTTTAACCAGTCCAACAATGACATAAATGCAAATTTAGGCATGTTTTCGTTTGTATAAGCTGCAGCCAAAGTAATGTAAGCTTCCAACTGCCTTGGATCTATTTCCAAGGATTTTTTCAATGCTGTAATTGCAGCAGGGTCTTGTTCATTTTCAGCTTGTGTACTCCCTAATAAAAACCAAGCTTCAGCAGAATCAGGAGTCTGTTGGGCTGCAGCTTCAAAACACAAGACCGCACCAGGAATATCACCCATTTTTAATTTTTCTTTACCAATATCAAGAGCACTTTTATTCTCTAGCATTATATTCCCTTCAGTAAAGCTATATTCTTGTGCAATGCCATTAGCTTCTTCTGTATTCCAGTAATCTCCAACATCACTTAATTTGGCCCATTCATCTTTATACTTTTCTTGCATTTCATCTAAAATTTCATCTTTACTCAATTTTCTTTGATCACTATCCACTGTTTCACCTAAATTCAATTCTCCTGCACTTAGTTTTTTCATAAATGACATAAACTGATTATAAGCTAATTCATCATCCTCTTTAACACCATCCACATATTCTTGAGCTTTCGCACGAACATCATTATCTGTAGCAGTGGCCACATCTTCTTCATTCATATATTCAATTTTAACATTACTAATAGGTTTAGACTGCATTAAGGGTTGCTGCATATGAAAAGGTCTAAACAGGGGTTGTTGTGGCATGAAAGATGTTGAAGGTCCTGGTAACCAAGACATATTTACTTGGGGACCAATAGCCTGCATTTGACTATTTGTTGGAATCGGTGCACTTTTGATAATACCCTTATCCACTTCATGGATATTATTAAGCAATGAATTCATGTTAAATGTTTGGGGAATATTAGGATTTTGTCCCATAAACTCATGGACAAACATATCAGCTTGCGTAAGCGGTTGGGCGATTGATGCATCTCTACTCACAATATTTGATAACTGAACAAGCGAATTGTTTCCACCACAGTCACCTCCAACTAGTTTATTTATGGACATTTTTATCAAAACTAAAAACAACAAATATTAAATGTTCTTGAAGCAGCAATGGAATAAAATTCAAGTAAAGACCTTAGATTTCAACAATAATGTATTTCACACTAATTAATTATTTATCTTTTCACTACGGTTCGATAATTTATGTACATTATCACTATTTAATAATCAGAAAGTTCAAAGATCGTTCAAAACAGTGGTAAATAGTTTAAGTACAGTTCAACTTTGATTTATTTTGATTAAATATTTGGGTGTCAGCTGTCAGAGTCGATTATAGGTATGTGAACAAATATCGATGTTAGACGGTAAACGATGATCGAATACATCAATAGATGTATTCTATGTTCTATAATAGTGTTGACATTAACATTTTCATGAAAATCTATTAAAGGAACAAAATCAAAGAGGGATCATCTACTTTCTTTGAACTATGGACTATTCATTCGTCAATTTCCGATCAGAAAACCAAGTCTCCTGGTTTTCCAAAAATCTATTTACAAGCTTTTTTTTTTTGTACTACTCTAATGCTGTTGGCCGTAGCTGGCCTTTACAGCTTCACCGGATGTTATGGGGCGAGTGCAGATGGCACTCCAAACCCGCGGAAGGACTTATGGAACGGCTGAAGGCCAACTCCTGCCCGACGGATACGACTTTAGTCTGAGGGCACCACTAGGGGTTCGAACCTCGGCTCAGACCGTCGTAATTTCGATCCCCGTTTGAATTGGACGGGGGATCGATCGGAGGGGTATTTACAAGCCTATTCCCAAATTATCATTGGCAAATTCACTCACGTGCCAAGACATTGTAAGGAAAAAATCCCATGGGTGTCATATCAGTGTCAGTTCAAACTACATAATATTAACATCAATGTCATTTCGGAACAAAAAACTATTCTAGTGCACAGATTAGATTTTAATGTAGTTTTTCTAGTTTGATTTTAAGGTTATGTAATTTAAATTATTATTATTTATGGCCCAGCAAGTCAAATATTTACCTTTATAATACGTATTAAACCAATTACTATGTCAGAAACGGATAATAATAATGTTTCTGAAGAAGTTACATCGGCTAATGAAAGTTCAATTAAGACTGCTAGTACAGAAATTAACTTGGAAGACAAATGGCTGGTTTGTATATTTATTAATGGTATAACAAAATAAATATTTTTGGGGGCGTCCTTTAATGCAGTTTACTTACCTAAATTCATGACCGCCTATACTTTAATCGAATAGACTTAGTCGTAGGGACGACAAAAGATGTGACGGTATGTCTAGTTTTTTACTCATATCTCTTATTAATTGTGTACTCAAATAGATAGTTACATTGCCGTAAGTTAAAATTATCTATTTGCTCCATAGCACTACTATAGATGAATACTTAAGCCTGCATTAATTATGATTTTCATTAGGATTTAGGAATTAGTCAATGTCAACTACATATACTTATTATTTCCAGATAAGAGAATGTGATCTGTATAAAGACGAATATAAAGAATGCACAAGTTTCAGAGGTCGATTCCAGCAATATTTTGTATATGGTGAACCTATAGATTGTAACCAATGGAAGAAAGACTATGACAACTGTTGTAAGTGGGAAGATAGTAAAGATATAAAGGCTGCTGTGAGTATATTATTTTTTTGTGCCAATAACATACAATGTAACCATTATAGTGCAGGTTTACCCTTTTGCTTGCCTGTTGAGCATGGTGCTTTATTTCAGAAATAGTTAAATGTATTTATTTCAAATTTAAAACTATCAAGGTTTAAGTTCAATCATAGTAGAAATTAAACATTTATAAACACAAAATCATAAACCTCACAAATCAAATATGAAATAGGAAACATTTTAAATAGTGATATTAAATTGCCCAGATCATATAAAAAAGGTTCATTTGTACATTTTTAAATTTGTTTATATATCCTTCTTTAACATATAAATTTTTAATTTATGTTGGAAAATATAAAAAACACTTACTAAGTATCTCCTCAAACATACTGATAATAACATGTAAAATAATTTAGTTAATAAGCAATGAAATCTTAGTAATGTTTTTGAGAAATCATTTTAAATTTATTAATCGGTTCCATTTTTATAACCATATTTGGTCTGAATTTATAGAAATCTTAATTAATTGCATGTGAAGCATTTCTTTATATATTATTAAAAAAACACAACAATAGCTAAAGATTTAAAAAATCATTACAAGCTCACGTAACCAACTACCATATTCTTTAAAACTTTACCTAAGATATTCAATGTGTTAATTTGTCTGAGGATTTCAACTGATACAATCATTCATAGTTATGCTCAAGTTAGAGACTTACTTCATTAATTATTTCCTCCCGGTTAAAAACTTCTAATATGGTTAAGGAAGCAGTGTACTAAGCTTCATAAAGTTTATATTGAATATAAATATAATTATTATATATAATACAATTTTACCCTTAAAATTATTCACTATACTACAGCCAGCTACCTATTTTTTATCATTAATGATAAGGTTTAAGTAATCATCGCAGCCCGGAAGACGTCCACTGCTGGACATAGGCCTCCCCCAAAGATTTAAGTAACTATGATTAAAATTTAACAGTAATTTGAACTAGGAGGAAATTACTTAATTTTTTTACATGTTTATTACTACTGCTCAACCTAGCTTCGGAACCGCAGCTGACTGAAAGTCAGCTAAGCTAACTAAGCTTCATAACACAACTATTTTAACCATCTTAGGGTTTTATATTTGGAGGAAATTCCCTGGCTTGTGTACTATAAAATGTTACTATAGCTGAGGTTTTGACTTATTGTTACAGGAAGCCCTGATCAATAGTGAAAAGGCGCGTCGGTTAGAACGATTAAAAGCACATTATAGAAACAATACATGGAAAAAACGTGAATCGCCACCAACAGATTGGAATAAACCGCTGCCTGAGTGGATGGTGAAGAGAGATGAAAACACATACCTAGCCCAAAAATCAAAAGAAATCAGAGAAGGAAAAATTGAAGAAGATAGTAGCTTCTGTTCAATTATATAACATAAGTAACATTAGTCTAATTAGCAAAATTAATATAGGTACTTAACAAATTCTAATTTATTTGATTATTATTCCTTTCCAAAGCACTTATATCATTGTACACATTATATAAATGGGATATTTACCATAATAATATTATTTATGAGCACCTGATATTTTGACCCTGTTATTTGACACATGACCAGGACATTTGTAATATAATATACAATTGTAAACAATGGTAAAAAAAGAAACAATGCCTTTATATAAATTACAAATACTATCATAGAAAGTGAGTAAAATAATCGTATCATAGAATTATCTTATATTATTACATAGCATTAAAGTCACTGTCGCTATCTGTCCATCCCTATGTATGCTTAAATCTTTAAAACTACTAGATATAATAAGAATAAAATTATTTAAAAGAGCAACACACAAGTTTCTTGCTCGTTCTCCTTGTGATGAGACAGCTTTCCGAATGAGCGGTAGATTAAAAAAAAATGTGATGACTATTCAAAAGTGCGTCAATCTAAGTTTATGAGTGATTTATATAATACATGTATACCCGTGCGAAGCCGGGATGAGTTGCTAGTATATAATGAAATCGTAAATGAATAGCGTAATAAATATTTATTGTGTAGACACAACTCGACCCGTCGTTGGACCCAAGGCCCTGAGTTTGAGTCTGGTTGATACCAAAATAATTGAATATCAATTTATATCCCAGACTGACCTGTGACGATGGAACCACAAATATATAACCAAATTAATTACTGAGATGACATAGGTCTTTTGTAACTTTTGGTTGAATTATACTCTGTTTGAGACAATCTGAACATTTTAAATGTTGCGTCCACCACTACGTTGATAGTTCCCAATGCTTGTGACCACAGAACAAAGTAATTTTTTTTTGTTCTGTGCCTGTGATCAGGAATGAAAGCTGTGACTTTGTACTTAACTTTGACTTTTTACGATATTTTGAAATTAACCGACAAACGTAAATAATGCATTAACAAATTATAGGTATATATTAAACTCGTCCTAAATATGATATGAAAATGTGTGTAGTATTTTCCGAAATTAGCACATAATATATGGTGCAGAAATGCGCCACAGTACCTATACTACGATTTATACTAGATATTTCCGAGATTACTTCGGATTTTTATAATAAAAGAGATATAAGTAACAGATGTCTGTTCATGTAATATAATCAATAGTCGCGTCAGATTTTAGTAAGATCCGTTCAGGCGTTAGTGACATGGTAACAAATAAACAGACAAATTTTAATATTTATAATATTAGTTGTTTACTTAATGATTACAAATACTTATTTATTGCATATTGACTACAAAACAACGATTATTGTAGACGAGTAAAAATAAATGATAATAATGACCCAACAACTGACTCCTTCGTTATCTACCAGATAAGCCAGTCTTTGCTTTTATTTAACTTTAATTGTTAACAAATAAGATAACACTCACATTTACTTCATAACTGTATACATAGTTTGTTGGTTATTCGTATAAAAGCTAAAGAGATAGCAGGTCTGATGAGCCGCATAGTGTTTGAGAGATTATTTTTACGGTTAAACGTACCCATGGCTCGAAACTCTTCTACTGCCTTCCTCATCGAGGATCCTAAGTACACGTTCTTAAGGGAGTTGGGATTGGATAAAAAGAATGTTGGTGTATTCAACGGTAATTGGAAAGCTAACGGACAAGTAAGTATATATACTGGCTGTAATATTGATATATTATAGTGACGGCCTCAGTAGTCTTGCGGTTTAGCACACCGCTTTACCTCCGACGGCAGCGGTTCGATTCATCGCAACATTTGTATTCATAAGTATGATTGTTTGTATCGGTCTAGGTGTTTTCTATGTATATTACGTATGTATTTATAAAAAAAATATAAGTATTTATATCAGTTGTCTAGTACCCATAACAACAAGCTCTGCTTACCGTCGGACTAGGGTTACTTATTATTATTATTATAGTACCTAGTTTAGCATTTTAATCCTATTCTCATGAACAGTCGTACCATGTTCCATAGGTCCTTCTCTACAATAGAAACTATTTTTGCAACTATTTCTTTAATAGGTGTGTATTTTTTAGATAATCCAGTCATTTAGTCCAGCTCACGGCAAAGTTATAGCCGAAGTTCAAGCGGCAAATGCTAACGACTACGAGGAATGTGCTGTCGCGGCCCAGGCAGCCTGGCACTCGTGGGCAGAGTTGCCACCGCCAGCGAGAGGTGAAATTGTCAGGCAAATAGGAGACGCTCTTAGGGAGAAATTGCAGCAGTTGGGACAGCTCGTCTCATTAGAAATGGGTATGAGACAATGTTAAATATATTATTATATTAGATACATGTTACATAGGAAGTTATATTTTTTTACAGAAATTCTAGTAGGTAAATAAAGGTAAGTTAAAATATAGTTTCTTTTAAAAAATGAGACATATGACTCCCATCATCGGTTTTCTTAATTAGAATATTAAATACCGAAAAAATTGCTCTAACTGTTCCTTATATTTCATCTTTTTAACATAATTGTCAAGTCTTATTTATATATAATTTGAATGAGAAAAATATTATTAGAGGATTATAATGCTTATACGATTTCTTATTTCACATCCATCAGGTAAAATTCTACCGGAGGCCATAGGCGAAGTGGTGGAATATATTCATGTTTGTGATCTGGCTCTTGGTCTATCTCGAACGTTGCCCGGCACTATATTCCCATCAGAGCGACCTGGTCATGTGCTTCTAGAGAAGTGGAACCCGCTCGGTTTGATCGGCATTATATCAGCTTTCAATTTCCCGGTCGCTGTGTATGGTTGGAATAGCGCTATTGCAATGGTATGTATCTATATCATATCCACAAACTATATCTATAGAGATCCTCCGAATATGGCAGCAAAATTTTTTGTTATATCCAATTAACCAACCCAATCTACCTATTTTTCCTGTTCTGTGTAAGTTTTTGCATTCATTGTGCTTGTGATGAGTCTACGTTCCGAATGAGTGGTAGAAACTAAATGTGACCATTGAAAAGTGATTAAGTATATTAAGTTAATTTAAATAAAGATTATTTATGTTTTTACTATAAAGTATACGTTCAATACATAGGCGATTAAACTATGTTATCAATCAATTCTAAGCGATTGGAAATTTTATCTGAATATATATATTAAAAAATTCCAACCTAGAGGTTATAAAGGTATAACGTACCTAGACCATCTTATACACATTCCTACAGATATTTAGATGTTTTTGTTATCACGAGTAGGGTGACTATGCCTTAATGATACAACAAAATTCTTTATTTTATTAATAGAGAAAAAAAACTTTAAAGAGTAATTTCTATTTTGTACTAACGATATGCGGATGCTATCCTTATTTGAATTTGAACAGTTCAGGTTTAAATTCAAATAATTGGGACTTGGTCTTGCAAAATTGTAGACTCTAATCTGTTTTACACGAGTTTTTGTTAATAACGCTGTTAGCGTTTATAATTATTTTATTTAAATAAGAAGTGTCGAATATTAATATTTATGTATGAATAAAAATTTATGATGATGAAATATGACAACCGCCCGAGATACCTACGGAATATTACTAGCGCCATTGAATTATAGGATGTGGACGAAATCGTGTTACTTAGTTAGCCCTTTTGACGAAACCTGGAGTTGACCACGTGGATAACAACCTGACAAGATACATTGCTAGTAATGGTGTCAATTGTGCCTATTATTAACAATCCTTTCCTCCTCTTTTTGTCATTTTTTTCTTATGAATGATAATGGAATGTTATACTCGCCTACGCTATCGGTTTACGCTAGCGGGGCACCAGTTAAGGATGACAAGATGAACATAAGGTCAAGTCAGTTAGTCCGTCGAGGGAGAACCACGCGGAGGGTTATTAGTCGACATTACTAACAATCCCCTTCCCACCTCTTTTTGTTATTTGTAGGTATGTGGGGACGTCAGTATATGGAAGCCTTCGGATACAACACCACTAACGGCTATAGCGGTCACGAAGATAGTGGAAAGTGTGTTGCGGAAGAATAACATACCTGGTGCGATCGCTTCATTGTGCGTCGGTGGTAAAGATATCGGGCAGCAACTTGTTAAAGACGACAGAGTGAAGCTGGTGTCCTTCACCGGCAGCACTGCCGTGGGGCAGCAGGTATACATACTAGTTGTCGAAATTCATTCAACATTTACTAAGACAAGACAAATAATGTAAAAGACAAACAATATTAATTTATTCTCAATTTAACAAGACTTTATCAATAAATACAAGAATATCTATGCGTGTGTCTATCAAATACATAGTAGTGTGTATATCTAATATTTTTATTATTCATTTGATGTATCTAAGTATTTTTTACGCATAATTAAAAAAAAATCTGCAATAATCGAGGGTTCCAACCAAATAATATATTTTTGAACGACTAGGCCATTCTGTATACTGTACGACTGTACCTACCTTTTCTTTCTAGGTCGGTGTTGAAGTACAGAAACGCTTCGGTCGCCACCTATTGGAACTTGGTGGCAATAATGCCATAATTGTGAATTCTGATGCAAATTTGGACTTACTGCTAAATGCTGCTCTCTTTGCTTGTGCTGGGACAGCCGGTCAGCGCTGTACGACCACCAGACGTCTGCTTATACATAAGCAAGTTAGTAGCCTCTGCATTATAACACATTGTGGCAGGGTGGGGCGCTTGCTTCACCTGTAAGGTACCTAAGCAAACCTAAAAAAATAAATTATCTAAGTATCAAGTACGATACTTAATATCTGTTAGAAAATTCCTATTCAAGAGTCTTCCTTCCTTACAAAATTATACCAAGATCCAAGTCAGATGTCTTATATCATATAGCTGCAGCCTACTTTTGAATTTTTTTAAGTAGTTATGTGCTTAATTAGGATTTAAGAAAAGATACGTGTTCGCATAATCCGCTTATATTAGCATTCCGAAGAGAAATGTGTAGTTTTATTTTTTTTATTCTTATTTAATGTTTGTAGGTGTTCAGTCAAGTAGTATCTAGACTTAAAACCGCATACGCAGGTGTGGTAAGCAAAATCGGGGATCCATTGCTCTCGGAGACTCTGATTGGACCTCTGCACACGCCAACTGCGTTGGAAGCATACAAAAAAACTGTGGCAGAAGCAATCAAACAAGGAGGAAAAATAGAGTTTGGAGGAAAGGTAATGTAAAAATTATAAATTAAGGATTTTTTAATAGATTTGACATAGGATGACCCCCGGAATTTATCTCTAGATATGTTTCCATATTGAGTTTATAATTTTAGATCATAGAGCGCGAAGGCTACTTTGTAGAGCCGACTATCGTCACAGGCCTACCTCACGATTCACCGTTAGTGAAGAACGAATGCTTCGCGCCCATTGTCTACTGCATCGAAATACCAGATTTAGAAACTGGAATAAAGTATAATAACGAAGTTGAACAGGGACTATCATCAAGTTTGTTCACAGAAAATTTGGGTGATGTTTTCAAGGTAAATACAAAATTACTATAAATAATAATGGATCATTTATTGATAAAGGCGACACTCATGTTAACGGCCCGCCTGATACTACATTTATATTGCCTATATCATGTTCAATAGTTTTCTGTTCACATTTGGAATATAGTTTCGTTTTGAGTAAATATAGGTATTGAATATTATATCACTATGATGGCGTTACAGCTAACTAGCATATATACATTATTCGTTTTCTCCTATAAGTTTTATTTAATGCAGAATATACAACTGGATTGCAATCAATTTAATATATTATGAAACCGGCCTTTAATACTTAATATAGAAATTTGTACAAAAACAACACGGGGGGTAATACTTATCTTATTCAATCTTATCTTTATCAAATGTGCAAAAATAATCTTTTAAATCAGTGCAGATAACATTTAACATAAAGGTAAACCGACAAGTCGCGCTAGTCTTCACATACTATTAGTTCACTTTGGTTTACGCACATTTGTGTACACGTTTAGTACTATATATTATATATATAAACCTTCCTCTGGAATCACTCCATCTAGTAAAAAACCGCTACAAAATCAGTTGCGTAGTTTTAAAGATTTAAGCATACATAGGGACAGACAGCGACAGCGATTTTACTTTATACTATGTACATGTCGTGTTACATAAAACGTGAAGCTATGTCTGTTGGTAAAGTTACATTACAAGAGTATTCCTAATGTCTATACATTTTTATTCGCAGTGGATTGGCCCTCATGGGTCCGACTGCGGAATCGTGAATGTGAATATTCCAACGAATGGGGCGGAGGTGGGTGGTGCGTTCGGTGGTGAGAAAGCAACCGGTGGAGGTCGTGAGTGTGGCTCCGACTCCTGGAAGAACTACATGCGCCGTTCCACCGTCACTATTAACTACTCCGGAGCTATTAAACTTGCGCAAAACATCAAATTTGGCGATGATTAGATTTAAAATTATAGGAGAACACTCAAGATACTACTTTATAAGTAGTCATCGTAAACTTCTTATAGATTTTGGTTTGAGGATATCATTTAGTAATTAAGCAAAGGTCAAGACTGATTGTGATTTATAATAAAATTACCAATATGTAAAATAAAACTATTTCAATTATTAAATGTAGTATTAATCATCATCACATCACATCATATTTGCTGTAAATAGGCAGTAATATTTTTTTTCTTGATGTCAAGTAATATTTTAAATTTTCTGTTCATTGATATATAATTTTAAAAAGTTGGTATGAATAACAAATATTACTACTATAATATAGTGCATTTGTCAAGAGTTAGGATGATGTATTCTCCACAAATCGACAGCAATATCTTTAGAGTGTTGTCGGTGAAACTTATAAGTAGCAGGCAGGTCATAACGCAGTTCAGCAATTACATTTCCTTCCACTCCCCACTCTTTAATTTTTTTCTTAATGTGTGATCTGAAAGATAAATAAATTATGGCTGATTTAATAACCGGAATAAATTTGTATAATAATAATAATAAACATGTTTATTATAGCATCAGTGGCACATTTGTTAGTAACAATTTTTCTTATATAATAATATTATTGTATAGACAATAGTTACAAGTTGTTAGATTTTTGCCTAAAAGTGCACCAACAAAGTGTTGTATGAGTATATTGGGGTATCAAATTTGTTCATCACACATTGATGAACAAATTTGATCTCTGGCATCAATCTAAATTAATCAGACTATATTTTGATTGAAACCAGTGAAAAACACATGTGCAATACATAATCAATTTGAAGTTCTATTGTGACATCCATAATAGTATAGCAAGTAGTGTTTGTTAGTAAATGTTCTCTTCTGGCTAAGAGGAAATCTATAATATGCAATATATATATACATATTAGATATAGTTTGGAAGCCTAGTGTAGACTGTTCTGGTTCCAACTACAATATCTTAAAATTCTCTAAATTAATGATCTTTCTAAGATTGAGAAATATTATTACTTTGAGGATGTCTTGAATAACAAATTCGAAAAACCTTTACATTCAAAAGCTAGTAGCTACACTTTTATTTTATAAAGAAAAATAAAATAAACCTTGTTGAAGATTTATGTAATGAGTAAACACTGTCACTGCAAAGTTGTAGTCCTTTATGGAGAAATTTCATATCAATTCCAGCATTCCTTTTTGTACCAAAGGGTGGATTCATTAGTACTGTGTCAAAGTAGTTATCTAGTCTGAAATATAAATAATTGATTGATTAGTAGAAGTAATTAAATGAATGGTGAGAATACTATTAATTTATTCCCTAAAAAATTAAGTGTACCTGCAAAATTTGGACTCTAAAAAATCACATTGTACTGCATCAACATTAGTTATTTCCATTACATCAGCATTGTAGTGAAACACTTCTAGTGCATCAGAGTCAATATCAATGGCAGTAACAGTTGCAGCTTCCATCAATGCAGCTCCAACTGCTAATGATCCAGGCCCACAACCAGCATCTAGGACTAATTTGTCTGTAATACTTTCAAACTGTGTCTAAAAACAATTAAAAATATGAATTGAAAGGAATTCAAACCAAAAACTACTACTATTTTATTAAAGATTATAACCTTTTCTTTTTTTTAATTTCTTGATACTTACATGTTTGTCTTATGACAGACAAATTCTATGAAAACTATATATAGATCCATAATAATAATATAAAATATCTTAACAACTGTTGTCTCGTCTATATGTTGTCCTAAGCATAGTCAACGGTTAATATGATGTTATCTTAGCCATATTTCACTGGCTGTATCAATGTATTCAATCAATGTCAAAAGGATAGCTTCTCTCATCTCCTTTATTTTATTATATTAGTTTCTTATTACAGGAGAGTCAGTCTAAGATATAAATTGCTAAAAAGTATTATTTTTTTGGGTTTGCTAGATTTGTATTTACACACATTTTGCATTAATTGGGGTAGTGACCACTAGGTCACACCATTCTCGGCAAGTAAATTACAAGTATATAAATAAAAATAATAATAACTGAGCTCAAGATAAGACAGAGATGAGTCAGTTCATGATCACTTCATACCTTTATTTACCATAAAATTATGTCTGTTAAAATCCATTTACTATATTTATAACAGAGATAATAATATCATTATTACCTGTATAGTATATATAGCTATTGCAGCAATATGGGGTGGAGTCTCATACTGCTCTAATTCAACTTTTGGTTCAACAAACCCTTTCAGATCTTGCAAGTGGCTCTGCAGAGTCTTTAGTTTCATTGGAGCCGACATCTTACTACTCTCTTATAATTTATTTGTTATCAAACCTGGGTAGAACAGGTAAAATTTGGTTTCCAAAAGATGAGTCTTGTGAGACAAAATAACCACAAGATGTAGCATTCGCGTGCTGCAATGCCGCTCTGTGGCTTGTATTCACTATATTAGCTTCAGGCAACTGTGGAAAACCCTAAAACAAATAAGTCATAAATTCTAAATTATCCGCTGTTTTTTTTTTGTATTATCATTCCACCTAGTACTGTGCCTCCTTTTCTCTATCTATAAAATTGTCGAACATAATAGAGAAATTATAGATTGTAAATATTGGAAAGCAATTATGACAAATATCAAAATAAAGTTATAAGGTACTATTTTAATAGAATTTAAATTTGTAAATGTAACCTAAGGTCTCAGGACAAACGCGAAAAAATTAGAACTATTTTCACTCACGGCTGTAGCAGATACTGGTGGAATAGAGCACATGGGTAGCTGGCTCACAGGGTTCGGTTGAGTGAGTGTTAAGGACGTAGCGGTCAGAGGGGCTACAGCTCCTTGCTTCAATAACATTTGCTTTTTCAGTTGCAATTCCTCCAAAATTTTTCTATTTGTCAATTCTAAGATGAAAATAAAATATTACACTCATGAATTATGTTTTGTATTTATGTACTTTTCTAAAATATCCTGATAGTCCACGAACCTCGTTGAGCATTAGGCTGTGGAAACGCCATCTAATTAGTAATTTTAAATAAAAGTATTTTGATACAAGGAATATAAAAATTAAATAAAATATTTTATGTGAATAAATCCTTGATTTATAAAGGCCTTGGTTTTTAAAAGTATTTTTTATTCAGTTAAAATAGAAACAATGAACATTAAAATCAAAGTTCATAATGCACAGACTAACGCGAGTCACATTCACAGTTACAGCAAATAAACTAATCAATGTCATAAACTACCAAAGACAATGGCTGTATGGGTTGAGTCCTTTTGCCCCTGTCTGAGATGGGAAAAACCGAACCAAAAATATATTCGTCAGTCGTCAGTATAAAGCAAGGAATATAATACTCTAAAGAGGTCAGTATGGATCAAGTATGGATGGATAATAATTGTTACTCTTTCACGCAAAAACTACTGAACAGATTTTGATGAAACTTTATAGCAATGTGCTTATACTTTAGAATAATATATGGGCCGTAAATATCACGCGTATCATTAAAACAATCTGAAAGGTTTTGATGTCAGCTAAGTAAATTAAATTAAACACAATCATGGGGTCTTAATCGGGGTCGTAAACCACTCACGCTGTCTAAAATAATAAAAACAAATATATAAAAGCATTTATTTTAAAACAATGTAGGTAATAATATACTTTCTGATTCTTGGCAAAACAGTCTCACATAAGCAAGTCAACATTTGGCCTCTCTTAAGAATAAACATAAGACTAACATGCGCTGCCATTATTCACAAATTATCAAACTGAAATATCAGATAAATAATCATAAAAAGGACACAAGATAACATTATTTAATGTGTCTACATTGCAGATAGCATTGCATCTTTGTTGAGCAATTTTAGATTAATTTGTTTATAAGTAAATTATTCTAAATAAAAGGGAATAATTAATAACATTACTACAATTGACTCACAATATATCAGTGATATATAAAAGACCATCTAGTGTATGTACCTAATTAACAGTTTTCACAGACGCAGACATTACAGTCCACAATGGGTTTGTGGTATGATATTGATAAAATTTGAATAAATGCACAACAAAAATAGATAAATTTCAGTTGCCCTTGTCTTTTATCGTTTTATAAAAATATTTATATAACATTTTAGAAATAATTATAACAGATTTTATATAAACAATTTGGAATAGTATTGCACAAGCTCAAAGCTAAATTAGTATGTGCACTTTCATAATAATAAATATTATTTAATAATAACAAATCAACACAACTGCCTTAGTGCTAGATTTTTATGACTCATTTCCTAACTTATTTTTACTTATTGAATGTTAGCAAATGTAAGTATTTCAGATAAACTAATTTTAGTGCGAGGTTTTATTAGTAAATTTAGATAAATAATTCGGGATAAATAATATACAAGAAATATAAATTAATGCCAAGTCACTACCCATAAAAACGTATTATAGTAATACATATATGTATAAAACTCATAGGATAGTCAATTTATGTTTTATTAACTTGGCATCACCTGGTTTTATAAAGCAAAATTATGTATTGCTTGTATAAATACAAATATGGAAGTGAAAATAGTATGTACATGAGATCAAATTTTGCATTCTGCTTACATTTGCTTGACCTCAAGCAGTAATGCTAAACTAAACACAATGTGGTTGATTTAAAATATTTTACAATGGAATAATGTAAATGTACCGGAATTACTTAATTTAGATTATTAATAACCTATTATTTTATGTTTACACAGGTATATAATTATTTACTTAATTAAAACAACCACATCATGTGACACCTTCACCAAGTGTTGATTTGTCCGATATTATTTTCACAGCACAGGAACAAACACATTCTGGACTAAATAAAATCTGAAAAATGATAACAACATTTCTTTTAAGGACTAGCACGTAATTTTGGCACAACTCTGTGCCCACATAGAGCACAGTGGCATCGATGTTGTTCTTTTTATCTATATTTTATATAATTCCGCTTAGTGAAAATTAACACATATATATATCGGGTTTCCAAAAAGATATCTCAACAGACACCAGGAACAACGTCTTACATTTTTAACAACATTAGCAAGCAAAGAAACTAAGCAACTTTTAATCATATTTGTGCCCAATGTGTCATGTTCGATGTATTATTTTATAATTTATTTATGAAACCCTATTTGACCGATAGATCATCACTGTATATGGACAGCTGCCATTACAATCATAAAATGCAAAATAATGTAGATTAAGATTTAGTAAAAAAAATTATAGCAAACAATAAATATTGAGTAAATAAATTCTCTTGTTCCATTGCTCTTTTCAGTGCTATAAATCTATAGAGCAGAGTGTAAAAACAACAGCATATATTGCAAATTAAAATATAATATTTTGTAAATTAATTAATATTAATATAAATATTACCCTGTTGCAAAGCGGGTACTACTACTAAAATTTACACCACATTTATAATTATATAATATTCAACAAATTAATATGTAATATTAATAAAACGCATATTGGATAATATGTATCAAAAATAAATGTAGGATAGAAAAGGTGTGGCATGTCGTGGCAGTACAAACTTTAGGTTTGCTCTGCGTGTTTACTTTGGAGAATAGAAGAGGGCGTTTATTTTTACACCCTGCCGTAGTGAGTATTTTACTCCAACAACACTCTTAGATCTGAACAACAATACATTACCTAACACTTTCCCTGTATAAATATATTATAGTCTTGTAAAAGAAACCTTGAAACCTCATAGGTCATTAACACTACGTGAGAAATTACACAAGAGCATTAGGATACATCATATTGCTACGAGTTAACTTATATCATTTGGCACTAAATTAACATATTGCATCTCGAGCATTCGTCACAAAGTATTCATATTATCTTTTGAAAATTTATTTAAATATACATTTATATTATTCACCTAATTATTAATTTCTATTGGGCCAAAATTTAATATTTCATATGATTTATCAAAGAAACACCCATTACATCATAACGATTGAGCAATATGGCCACTCCCGTTCGATTTTTATTACCTATTGTAGAAACAACTGTCGGGAATGACATGTTATTGAATAATAAACGAAAACTATTAAACAACACGCTTTTTCGGCAAGTAAAATTTGGCAAAATTGAGCATTTAGACTTTTGATTGGCATTATAAAACATTAATAATGTTTCACTATGTAGCACTGTGTGACTACTCAAATATTCTAGTTCTGGTAACTGTAACTTATTCGTAGGTACACCAACGCTTCACACGAGATGACGTGACCGCGATATACTTAATTACATGTGCACCAAGTGTATTCAACATGTGCACAGATCACGGAAACAAGGAAATATGCGTTTCGGGCGCCGCCGCCGCCAGTTGCGATCGTGATCCTGCCAGTTCACTAACAACCGAATTTATTAACCTTTATACACATAACGAATACAATTTTCACCTCAATTACATTTGACCTCAGAAGCTCGCTTTTAGCATTACCCTTAAGTCTTACTCACTATACAAAAATCGTATAAAACCTCCATACCAATAAATTCCTGCCATACAAATGCTCTCCATTGGAACGTATAATAAATACGTATATATACAAAATCACAATTTTTACCATCACATATCGCACAAGGCATTTTTATTCCACATATTGACTTGGTGGATGTAGCTGGTAGATACACGCTACTAGCGCGTCAGACCACACCCCCAGCATATCAGCTACCCACATCATATTCCTGGTTCCTATGATCTGATATTCTATTTGATATATTTTAAGATACACATAAAAAATGATATGACATTTTTATTGTGAGACGTTATAATTATTGATAACAAGGATTTAATTATCGTTCAAAAGAACTCGATATATATGACTGTGGACTCTTCAAATTATTTTTATTTAAATTTACTAACTACATTTTATAACAACTTGGTTAAAATATTATTTAAAAATTAAAAATCATCTTTATCAAATAATAGTTATTGCTTTTTCTGATATGATATAATACATCCGTGCACTGTGTGTAGGGCTGCTTGTCACCAAAACCGACGAACCACGTACGGCGCGCGGCCACGTGCGCTGCGCCACGTGTGCGGCGCGCGATACGGGCACGTACTGAAATGGATGGTGAACGCCAACGGATGACTGTTACTAACTACCACTTACACTCATACAGATTATACTGTACAATTGATATTAATTACGTAATAACTTCTTAAATGTATATTTTAAAAATATGACTGCTTTTATCCATCTTGATCACAGCTCACCGAAAACTTTACTATTATCCAAACCTGACACTCCAAAATAAATTCTCATTTACTCCTATAAAACGAAAATGACTATAATATCTCTATGTTAGTTCTAAAAATTATGCCATTTTGATAATATATTTACTTTGCAATTGCAACGGTCCCTCGTACAGCACTTAAATGCTTCATATACAAATTTTAACGTAACAATGAAAATGACTCTTTTTATAAAATAAAGGAAGCAATAAAAATGACTATAATCCACGAATAATTTAGAAATCAAGCGGCAGTGTTCGCGAAAATTCGTGCAATAGAACCTAACTACAAAACATGTCTTAGGAACCTGATAAATTATTGCTAGAGCTTCGGGCACGACTCCACTCCCCCCGCTTACGAACGACAATGCATCCCCAGCGCGGCCGGCGGACACATAACGAGATAAAATCTTATCAGTAGCCAATAGAAAAATATCACCTAAATAAATATGATTATATTACACGGGCGACCCGCCGCCGTCGCCCGCCGGCGTCGCGGCGCTAACAAAATATAAATATGGGCAGCTCCGGCGGCCGGCGGCCGGCGATGAGTATCGTTACATTTTCTCTTTTTTGGTAAAAAATAACAAGATTATGAAATTGATATGCAACAGGCGCGGCGCTACAGCGACCGCAGCGGCATCACTGCGCCTCGCCCTCCGCCTCGGGCCGCTCCTGCGGCTCGCCCGGCGCGCCCGGCCCGCCCGCCCCGCCCGGATCCCGAGCCGGCCCGCCGCCGCCGCCCGCTGGTTTCGCTTCGCTGTCGACAACACCAACAACAAATATAACAATCGCCCATATGTAACGTGTTAATATATACATTTAGCTTCTGCCCCAGACTGTTCACGTGATCGAAAGAAACGCTAAACATAGACAAATTAGGTCTATGTTTTTCTAATGGTCCACCTGACTTACTGTGGACGGCCGTGATAAGCCTAATGATGTACAGCAGTTATTAAATATATATATTTTTTAATAACTACAGTATGTCACCATTCTTACAGGTAAATTCACCGAGTGAATAAGTATGGATTCATATTGGAATACAGCTTGCAAATGAAAGTGGTAACAGTTATTTAGAATACTTAGATTGAAAATTGATCTAGGTAGGTAGGTAACTCTGAAAAAGGGCGAGTATAATAGATCCACGTAAGTCGCAGTGCTACAGATCCAAGCACCTGATTTTAGCCCAAACCCCCCAATAAAATAAATTGGTTGACAAAACAAAGCAAGTTACGTACAAGTTGGAATATGAAGGCCGTGTGCTGCCGCTCGGGGCGTCGTCGCATGGCGGCGGCCGCGCCGCTGCACTCAGCAGGTAGTTGGTCGACTCACTGAAACAATTCGAAAGCCTACTTCAAATTGTATTACTGCCTCGAGTAGTCCGACACGACTTTGTAGAAATCAAAGCGGCTCGTTGCTGAACTTATATTTCTACTGAATTGATATCCTTCAATTCTTTTTCAAGATAATTATTTTTAGAATCAAAGAAGAGACTATTATTGACCCACAATGCGAATACAGTACGGATCGGCGTTGAAGTAAGGAATATAATAATATTTGAAGAGAAGGGTTTTTCTCAGATTCTCGAAACATACATACCCTTGATCTTTTCAAGCAGGAATTTTAATTAGAATGTTGTACTCAATAATTTTATGCGTGTAAAAATTATGGTGATAATTATAGTTGATAGCTTACTTTCATATATAAACAGATAAAGGCTATTAAAATATGACTTCAATAAAAATCTGATTTAACTGACTTTCTGAAGTTAATGAGTAGAAATTGTACGCAGTATATCACCGTCGCCGTACTTTGATAACATTAAAATCTGTGCCGAATCGGCAAAGATATCGCATACACAAAAACATACAGTGCAAATAAGAATAGAGATTTCTTATATTTATAGTTGGTTGAAAAATTTATTACAGAACCTTTATTGTCACTTGGTTAGTTTAAAATTATATGCTCCAAAAAGGGTCTGACGGTATTTAATGCTTTACACTTCATTACGAATGAGAATTAATTACTAGTCTTGGTAATTACTAGTTCTTACTAATATTATTTGTGAAAGATTGTTGGAACTTTGGATATTATATATATGATATTATATATAGGTTTTGTAAGACGATGATAAAAATTAACATCAATAATATTACGACATACTTACATTATTACTTGTTCTTATAAAACCTATAAGTGCGAGTGATTATGTAATATGTTTCGCTATGCTCACACGTAATAATTAATAATAATTTTAAAACTTTGATTAGGACTCTATATAGCTTCCAAATAAGTCTTTAAAAGAGGGTTTTTTTTAAGTTATTCTTGCAAAATTAAATATATTTGATGCTTCCGAATCAACGGCAAATTTTTAGTTACAGGGACAGTGGATTCAAGTCAGATTTGCACTTATTTCAATCTACTATCCTTATAACTAAAAGTTATGCGTACAATGTTATGTTTCGAGACTTTAGTAACGTTGTCTGGGTATCTCTACGTACATATTTAGGTTGAAATGAAATTACAGAACAAGTTGTCATGACATCTTAGTAATCTGGAATTGTAAAGGCATGAGTAGTATCACGGCCGTAATATGATACCGTGATGTCATGTTATATACAGGCGACATTTATCACTTACCATCAGGTAAGCAGGTCGTCAGTTTGTTTGATATTCTAATTACACTTTCAATAATGTTACTAGACATTAGATATTATTATGAAACATAAAAAACTACTTATACAATTTCATAATTTTTTCTACACTTTAAAAAATGTATAAACTTGTGGCCCGACACCTAGTTATATCTACATATATTTTTATAAAAATATATTCCATTTCATATAATAATAAGTGGACATAAATAACTGTCTACTTGTACCTTGAACGTTAATATTTATATACCATGACCTTAACAAAATTTAATCAGAATTTTGTACTCAACTTGACCTCTACGAATGCGATAATAACTTGATTATGGTTATAATTATAGTTAATAGCTTGTTTTCGTACTTAGATAAAGACAATTAAATCTAGACTGATCAATAAAAAAATCGATTTAATTACATTTCTGAAAGTACGGGCATTCAGAGACTGAGTCAGATTAGGATGCTACTTTAAAAACATGGTATGGACGAAAAGACTATTTTTAAAGAAGGTAAAACCCCCGAAATATTTAGTAGCAATTAAATTCATACTTTTAAAGTATAAGAAACAATCTAAAATTGATTTTAATTTCAACTCGGACGTTTTTTAACAGTTTGTTAGTTTGGTAATTTTGTGTGCGTTACCTACAAGATATCTACAATAAAATAGATTGGATTCTGATTAATAATAATAATAATAATAATTCAAGACAATTCATTCTACTACATCTAATTTCACGCAATGCTTGTTTTATGAACACTAGACAACTGATAGAAATACTTAAATATATATAAAGTCTAGGTGTTTTCTATGTATATTGTATATGTATTACAAATATGAAACTATAACGTAACTCCTCCTATTTCCAAATTTTCCAAAACTAATGTAGATATTCATACTTAAATACAAATTTCTTTTAAACTGCACAGGCTTACTATCCTCTTAATTCTATAAAGAAATGCTAGCTCGCCAGCAATCCCTTTTTCTGGCACAAAATATAGCTTATTTAATAATAATGACGTACTTAGTTTTGATCACAACTACGACATAACCATGGGTTAATGTACATAAATATACAAGACCCCTCGCACGTATACCCTGTCTAGAGGTCGCGTGAATCAACTGATAATATTTTGTATTCATTGTACAGTGTCCTAAGTTCTAAGCGACGCGGGGACATCCAGTGGCTACTGGACTTACGGAATGGTGATAAACATGGCATGCATGGTGGCTCTGATAACCTTTAGTTCTTGTTTACGTAATTTGTGTCATGTGTCAGATAGTACTTAATGTTGTTTTTGAATTGTTCCAATATGGGAATTTACACATTGTCAATATTTGTTGTAAGATTTAATATTCATGTATTAATATTAATTGTATTTTATATTATTTTTTTAATTTTCCTTTACTATGTTTATGTAATATGTAAATGTAAAATATTTTCTTTTCCATTGCTTTTTTCAGTAACCCCGTTATAATTTTGTTAGGCACATCATCTTTTCACACGTCCCATACATCTCTTTTTAGGCATTTCTCTTTTTGTCTATAACGGCTTTGGCGCCATGTATTTAATACAAAAAAATATTTTCCCTTTTTTGTTCCCTTCATTTAACTAGCAGAGCCCGGGTAAGTAAATAGTGTCGGAAAAATATATATTAACATTAGTACGAAAAATATTTGCGTAGATAATAAAAATTATCAACAATAACGTAGGTAAATAGGTCAGTACGAAACTATTATCATTTAATGAGAATTTTATTTTAGGAAACAAAAGGAATCGCATATTTTTTTGAGAAGTATAATTGAGTTTGTTGGGTTCCAGAAAACGGGGCACTCTGGACTTTGCTCTTTCGTTGGAATGTATACAACTCAAGCAAATTGTACTTTATCTTGATAGTTGTATTACTGCTTTAAGGTCTTATATTGTAAGTGACGTAACGATAATCATACTAATATTATAATGTATAAAAATGAGTTTGTTTGTGACCTCTTAGTGTCGTAATGGTTCAATCACTTATCACTATATTTGGCATAAGTAGACGTAATGTTAGGAACGAACAATAATAGGCTATAGTTTTTATGGCGGACAAAGAGGACAAGACAGAAAGAGAGAGAAATTAATAAATAAACATGCAATATAGTACAGTCAGTATAACATTCTTTTATAAAAGGATTGGGATCAAGTACAGGATTCTCTCGAACCATCAGGCGGACTGCATACTTATTTGTACTAAGAGCTTGTGTTATGGCTACTAGACAACTGATAGAATACTTAGATACACATTTTTTGTAAATACATACATCATATACATATAAAATACCCAGACCGATACAAACATGAATACGAATCTTTGTGCCGGTGGAAACGAACCCGCGATCATCGGAAACAAAGAGGTGTGCTAAACGACTAGAGCACCGAGGCCGTCGAGACGGTATGAGTGTGTCACCTGGCGGTCCTCATGCGGAGCGCGGCGCAGTTCTCCTTGCACTTGTAGGCGAGCACCTGCTTGATGCGGCTGACCTCGACGTCGGGGAAGTGCCGGCTGACGTAGGAGATGAGCGCGTGCACGCGGCGGCGGTCGAGCGGCGGCTTGGTGGGGCGCGCCTCCTGGCCGGCGCGCGACCAGCGCTGCCCCGTCACCGAGCACGTGGCCAGCTCCATCGGCGAGAACAGCGCCGCCGCCAGCCCGCGCGTCACTTTCCGGTAGTCGCCCCACTTCACGCCGCGCAGCAGCTCTTCGCGGATCTCCACACCCTCCCCCAGTTTTATCTGCACATCATATTTTATTGCTAATTAATTATACGATACGTTACAATATACAGGGACTGCCCTTAAAAAAATTCCAAACGACTGTTAAATTATATTTACTGAGCAATGCTCGTTTAGTGAGTAATAAGACTCACTAAACGATTATTTGGTATAGCATAAGGACACAATATATATATACTAGCTGTGCCCGCGGTTTCGATCGCTTGAAATTCATAGCTATTATTCTGATGTACAAGCCATATTACTGTAAAGTTTCATCAAAATCCGTTCAGTTTTTGCGTGAAAGAGTCACAATCATCCATCTGTACTCTCAAAGTTTCGTGTTTATAATATTAATAATAAGATTTATGTATAATATAATACATAGACGAAAGTTTGCCAACCGTTTTTGTGCCATGCCTACTTACCTTTTTCTTCAATGAATCACGAATCACTTTTCTTAAGGAGCAAAGGATGATCAGGAAAATAATTTTGCTTCAGTAACATTTAATTTAGTACTGGTTGAAGACCGAGGCTATCGTAGATATTAAGATCTAAAAAGTCTACACATAAACCAAATTGTTTTATACGGTTTATTTTAATAAAGTCCTTTAACTATAAACTTTTACATATTTATAATATTATGAATGATTTATTGAGCAAATGTATAAAATCAGTACTAACCAATCGAGGCGCGGCTGCGCTCCCTCGCTCGTTTTCCCGCTTCAGTACGAAGGGTAGCGCGCTCCGGTGCTGTTCCAACCACACCGCATCAGGAACGGGCCGGTTCCGACGTCCGTCCCACCGACCCGGTATTGCTATAAAAGGTACAAATTCCATGTCCATAACATCACACGTGAACAAAAATATGATTAAAAAACCATGTGAATATCCCACCTGGCACAGACGTTACGCCTATAGATTGTCGATATATCTAATACGAAAAAATATATATACAAGAAAAAAGGGGACGATATACTCGATTTAAGATTACTATATAGCATATTAATTTAACAGTATCTATATGTAACTTTCTTTCAACTGCATGTAAAATTGTGAAAATATTTACTGCAGGAACAAATTTTCTATGCACACATGCCATGCTAATACTGCATGAATCTGGAACCTTGCATACACGCACTATTTAAAATCAATATGTAAAACGTTTGAACAACTAATATTATCTACTAAATAAAAAAATTATATATAATTAAAACACTTTCATGTTTCTATATTATTACTAAACTCGAGAATCGCAACTCACGGCTGTATAATATAATGCACTTGCCAGTTCTAATTATTAGCAAGAATGTATTAACAATGAAAAAATGTGCAAACGTTTTAAATGCCATACGAAATTGCCAAATTTTAATTTAAAAAATAAATAAATATAACAATTATTAAACTAAAAATGTGTTTTTGCAATACTTTATTTTTTATATTTAGTAAAAAATTACATTGATTTATGTACAAAGATTCAAAATCCTAATATGTTGCACGAAATAATGCAGTAATAAATTATATTCAACATTTCATTTATGGACCTTATATGAGATAAAACATAACGCTGGATGGGAACGTGTACTTAGATGATACTTTATAAATGAGTTCAAAGCGTTATCGAATTCTATATTGTATTGAGAAATTGCATGTAACAAGAGTAAACAATAATTAAACATTTTCAAACAATACGACAAGATTGAGATCTGTATAACCATAAACAAGTACAGCATAAAGTGATTGCGAGGCTAATATGTTTAATAAATTAAATAGACCAAAAAAATTGCGCTTAGTTAATTACTACATTAACAATAGTGGCCAATAGAATATGTTTCGAGTAAATTCAAATAATGTAATATTAAACCATTATGAAATGCTTCCGAATATTATTTTGTTTAAATTTACATTACTATCATACTGATAAAATTTCTAAGTTCATAAAATCCTATATAAATTCAGCAAGTAAGTGTCAAGAGATTCAATTTTTATCTATACAATAATTTTATTTTCGTTACAAACTTTACAATAACGAAGCTGCTTCTTAACTTATTAAGGGGACTAAAATTATTTCGAAGAAATTCTCAAGTGCTCCTTTAAATTACGTTTACTAATAAGTAGCGAGTGATCAATTATTGCATTTAAGTTTCATTGGAAGTTTTTACTTCAAAACAGTACAAAGTAAATGCGATAGTTTAATTTAGAGATCAAATAAATCAAATTGAGATCACATAGTATTAAAATATTACAAATCTACATATTAATTTTAAAATAAAAAAAAATAAATATTGTAATTCACAACCCTAATCATACTTTCAATGACAAGTCCCATCTAAATGCTTTTGTTACAAAATGACTAGATGTGTTTTTTTCATGGCAAATATTGTATATAAATCTATAAAATAAAACGACTTCAACGATCGACTCATCAAAAACTAATGTCTTAAGGTAAGACCGCAGCGACAAAATATAAAAACAAGTAACTGACTGGTCAATCATTACAGACTCTACAAAATTTATCACGGCCCTGTCATCTGCAAAGATTAGCGATTTGTTCATTTGTTAAACTTTGTCGCTGCGGTGACATACGACTCTTAAAGTAATGGAAAATAATAACACAGTCTCGATTATTATCTAAGTACCTCCCTATGTGAAATGACAACCAGTTTTGTGTCACTGCATGTAGGGACCTAGAGACTATGGCAAGTGTATAACGTTCAATGATAACATTTAATAACTAATGTTATGTATTAAATATACGAATTTGAAGACATTTAATATTATTCATTACATCTGAGATTTTGTACAAACTATGAACCGGGAGCCGTCCAATCACTCAACAATATAACACCGTGTAAAGATAAAGCTATTGTGTATAAAAATATCACTATTGTAGTTCACCGCCAACTTACATCTCATCTAAGTTACATAACTTGGCGCATTCGACAAATGAAACGGACTCTTTCAGTCATTTCTATCGCGCGTTGTCGTACAAAAAAATTATACTCTATTATGAAAATACAGTTTCATTATTTAACTCTAGGTGCGCGAACGAAAGTACTGAACAACATATGGATATAGTGTATATGTATGTATAACATGTAACCAGTAAATAATCTATATTATATAAAATCAGCACCGGTCGCAACAAATGCTTTAACAACAATCAGTCTATTGTCAAAATTAAGGTTTATTCGTTCCCCAACGAGGCTCTCTTAGTCATATATCACAATCCATAAGTAAATGACTAAGCATTATTGCTCGCACTACTTTCAATTCTGACTAAGCCTTGGATTTACCCTATTGTTACATGTCATTTTCCCCATAAGTGACGAAAATGGTTAACTGTAATATAAAATGTGTAAACAATGTGTGTTCGGTTTGCTGAAACTGTAACGTTGAAATGCAATATTACTATTAATATGAATATTTAAGCGTATTATTAACCACAGCGTTATATACACACAGCTATTTAATCACTGCAAGAACGGTTAACGATACGATATTTCATATAAATGTTCATTATACATTAGGCATGTACGTGTTGTATAATTAATGAACTAAGAAAACCTCATTAAAGTAACGAATATCTGGCACTCGGTATATTTATCGAAAGGCACGCAATAAGCGGAGAGGTGTGACGGCAGATAGGCCCCCGGCGACACTCCGATCACAGACTAGATAAATCTATAGACAGTCTTCATTTCGACGTTGTAAGACATTTCAACGTCGTCGAACGTGGAGATACAACTGCTGTAAACATCGCCGAAAAAAAAGAACAATAGACGCGCATGAAGGCCACAATAACGCAAATTCTATACCAGTGTCTCCTTGTGGGGTCCACCCCTTATCAATTAATAGTAAATAGTAATGAAAAGGCGACAACAGCGTTGTACGTCCTCGCCGATAGCGATCCTCTAGGACGAGTAGGAGAGAGCGCGTGAATCGCTTTCGACTACTGTTGGAAGCGCTGAGCGGGCCGCAGCGCGGGCAAAGGCGGCGGCGGCGGCTTATGGTGTGGCGCCGGGTGCTGCGCCAGCGTGTGTCGCCGCAGGTACAGCGGAGTCTTGAAGCTGCGCCCGCAGGTGGTACACGCGACCGGCTGTGCCTCGTGGATCAGCCGCACGTGCTGCCGCAGGTTGGACGCGTTGCTGTACCGCCGCCCGCACACAGCGCACCGGACGCCGCCGCCCGCGCCCGCTCCCGCTCCCGCTCCCGCACCCACGCCCGCACCCGCGCCGCTCGCTGCCAACAACACCACGTTCGCACTGCGCCGCCCGACCGTGACCGCCCGGGCCGAGCTCGCGGCGTGTCGCCCACACCGGTAGTATCGTTCGCCGGAAGGTGGCCATATTCAAATGCTTTGTATGACTAAACCTGATCTTTCAGATATCATGCGTTTTATACTGAGCCTCTTTCGCAAAGTGGAGTTGTAGACATTACTACTTTTTTTGGATCAGGACATTTTGAACGTAACTCCCCTGATTTAAAATTTCATTCTAGTTTAAGCATTTGAATGGCAGGGAGGAAACATGCGCACATATCAGATGCTGCGGGAACCACGTTCCGACGGACAACTAGGATCGGGGTGGACCACAGCGCCGGAGCTAACGCCGCTGACGCGGTCACGGGGCGGGTCGGCTGCGCGTCGCCACGACACCCGCGCTCCTAGCCACCAGACTAGATTCAATACCGTGCGCGCTCTCTTCTACTTCCAATTTGTTTCATAAAATATGCTAAAGAGAAAAAGGTTCGCCGGGGGCGCGGCTGTCCGAGTCGACGTGTGCGTGTGATAATGACGTGATAGTGATATACACAAAAAACAGGTATATATAATGATATTTACCTTCTGTGTTTTCTTCCCGAAGATCTGCACTTATCCCTGTCATGAGATCTATATTACCTGTTGACAAAAATACTGTAAGAATCTATAGCAAATGAAAAAATCTCTATGGTAAGTAGTATTATACAAACCTTGCAAAGCGGCGAAGGGATTAGCCAATGCATTATTCTCATAGTACAATGGAGGAAAACTGGAGCGCTCTTCATCACTGCCTTCTTGTTCAACGACTTCCATTTTTGGTTCCAACAGATCAGATGCATTGAAATCTTGTAATTTCTCCCCTCTTTCGGAGTCTCCTGGATCCATTAGAATATCACTCTCTTCATTTTTCACTTCAGCTTCGAGATCAGTTTTAACCCTTAAGGAAGGGTAGCATGTTTCGCTATAGTCATCATTATTAGGCCTCATTTGACTAGAAGTTTGAAATGGAGCTTCATCATTGAGATTGTTTCTGGCAACATCGGGAGAATTTCTTGTGGAACGACGGCTGGCACTCTTATCATGGTCGTCAGCTGAGGTCGATTCGACGTTTTGGCTTGCGACTTTGGAGGAGGAGGTAGAATGTGACGGCTTTGCGCTGAGCAAATTACGTAATTGGGAAGGAGGAGATTTACGATTCGCTTTCTGTAAGACAATAATAAAAAATCATGAATGTGATAATGAGGGTTACATAGTGGCATTGACTATGCTTGGATGATATTTACTTTGTCGTTGTGTTGTGAGCAGTCCGTGAGGCCTCTAATTTGAAGAGCATCTGCAGTGCGTAGGAAGGCGCTGAGCTGCGCTTGAGCGATGTTAACTTGCCCGACGTACATAAACTGAAGGAGTGCACGCACGTGCGACACCTCACAGTCGCGCATGAATATTATAGGGTGAGGGCATGGGTTGTTCTGAAATTATGCAACTTATTTAAAAATGTGAAATTTCATTATGCACTTTACCAATTACTCTTTGTCGTGTTTTATCTAGTTTATTATCAATAGTTCAATGAATCTAATGGTTATTCCGTAAGCAAACGTCGACTGAAGAGGTCACACGAGTAAACAACTGAACGGGTTTTAATAAAAATTGATACAAAGATAAATTGTATCACAAGTAAACAAAAACTTCAGCTGCATTTCCGTACAAAAAAGTAGACTAAGTTGCGGTAGCATCTACTTTATAATTTAACTTAAATACAAATAAAATAACTTAAATGCTTTTATACGCTTTCAATTATAAATTCATAAATTGATGAGATAAAGTAAGTTACATATAAAAATAAGATTAGTGGTCAACGGTGTGACGACTCGCGGGCATCATCATCGCAAACATCAACCACAAAAATGAAATACCTATTCTATTCTATTCTATTAATCTAACTAATCTAAATGTCTAAATGTACGCCATAACGGTACAGATGCTTAGAAATAGTCTAACCTGGAAATTATTTAACATAACTGGTTGTAATACCTACGTCCATCTAACACTCATATGCCGTACATTAGTTTTTTAATATATGTAACGAGATCATATGAAACCACATATAATCGTTGATTGTGATATTTGTACATTTCTCAATATATACAAATATCACATTCATTATTACGTTTAAATATTTCGTTATATCTTCTGTAACTACATAAAAAAGATATACTATATGACAATACCTACTATTTGGGATATTTCATCCACTTAATAGAACCCAATACATACTGTTTATCAGTATTTTTTGTCTGTTTATATGTTTGTATGTGCGCGTTAAAATCACAACTGTCATTTTGTTAATGTATATCGAGGTAAGTTTAAATCAAAATGTCGTCTACGGCACATTGACCAGTTTTGCTACATTTTGCAATACAGCTCCGCTCCTATTGGTTGTAGCGTGATGTTTCAATTTCATTCCTATATCAATGGTAGCCCATTCCAATTCGAAAATAATTGTTAGAATCGGTTGCATAGATCCAAAGATAACCTGTACAATGTCACTAATTTTACCTCTTTATAAAATTAATGCAGATTAGAATGTGCTTAGTACATTTTAAATTAAATTTAGGAAGCAGTAATAGATGCAGCAGAAACGAAGGATCCAAATAAATGTCAAAACATATTGAAGCAGGTCTATTAAGTATATAATTCTTAGTCACTACCTCTTTATTCTTACAAATACAATGAAATGTACTGATACGTGAAACTTGAATTTTATTACCTATGTCCTTATCTACGCTATAGTATATATAACATAGTATATACCTATGTATATGTATTTTGCACGAATATTGTGTAATATAACCACTATCACCCACCATGTATCCTAAAGTGGTGGATTAAGAAAAACTGAAAAGCTTCGGTTTTTGTTTGTCAGTATTATTACATACATTTCTTTTCAGAAAATTCGAAGTTAAAGAGGCATCAGAAGAGATAATATTTATTTTGCATTATCATCATAAACTGCTGTGGTATGGGAACTTTTTATAAAGAATGTAAAAATAGCTCCTAGTTCTATTATAATTTGGTAAAAAATATCCAAAGTGCTAGTTTCTAAACATTATGATTTTGCAGGGACAGACGGACAAAACCGCTCCATGAGGGTTCGTTTCACTGTTTGGCTTGGAATCTTAAATTAAATGACCATTATGTTTCTTTCAACATAAATTGTTTTGTTCGAGTAAGGTACTTATTTGAACAAAACAATCAAAAAACTTATGCGAAGACCAATGTTATCGGGCAAAGATTAGAAAAAAATATCTACTATCTATGTAATACATACTTCACTTTAACATAAGAATTACCTACATAATAGCTAAGCAATATAAAAAACAAAAATATCTGTTACTATATATGATTGTGAAATGTGTTAATTTACCTACGTAATTTCGACTAGAGATGTTGGATTTAATGCAAACTTTATAAAAAGACTTGCCCCGTCTGACCTATTAATGCGGAACATAATTAGTACTACAGTATAGTAATACAGTCTATTGTGGAGTCCAGTAACAATATCAAATCAATTTCTGTACTATTCTTTTAAAACTTGTGTTCGATTGGCTCATTGTTTCTCACCAATCGAACGTCGTCGTCGGCACGTGTCGTCCGACTCTTATCCGAAATGTACGGGGACTCTTACGAAGATAACAGGTTGGCGCAAGCAGAACGGCAGTAAACACTATCTATAGTAAAAATAATTATCAAAATATGTTCGAATGATGTACCGAAGATATTGATTCTATTTGGCTGAGATATCGATTCCATTTCTAAGGACTAAGATGTTGTGTCTTGTACTTTCACCACCATCTCTCACCCTACAAACTGGTAAAAAGCATGCAAAGGAAACAGACCAAATGTGCTATATTTTATACGGGCGCCATGTGACTTCGTGTGCATGGAAATTAAGTTTTTTTTATTAATATAATAATATAAGAGAATATATAGGGATCCGTCAAAATCGGTCCAGCCATTTCAGAGATTAGCATGAACAAACAGAAAAAAAAAATTATGTAAGTACCATACATACTTTCATATTCATTTAGTGAAAACTGTTAAATGATGTACTTATATATCACTTCTATTTTATTTATTTGAATAGATATAGATGTATTACATGAGGTAGACTTTGCAGAAAGTTGTCTGTGTGAATTGCTACCTCATATATTGCTACAATTTCAACTGCAACAGATCTTACTTTGTATTCTCTTATTTTGCACCTTAAAGTGTAGTTTGAATGGAAAAGTTGAATGGAAAAAAAAAACAAAAATTGGAAACTACAATTTACTCTTTACGAATAGGAACAGAGGGTACCACTAACCTTATATGATAATGCATTGTTTGTGGTGTTATTTATGCAATAATATGTATCTATCTGTTTGTATCTATGTATGTACTATGTGGATAGTAAGCTAGTTTGACTTTCCAATTAAAAAAATATTGAAATCCAAAATGTTTAAGTACCCCTAAATATTGTTTGGTGTAATGAAACTATTAAAAACATCACAAACAGTAAAATGAAATGAAATTTATTTGCATATTATATAGTTAGATATTCGGTAATATGTCCAGGTAATAATAAATGCCAATAGACAACTGTTTAATTCCCAATTTATAGGCATGCAAATTTTGAGTATATTAAAATTAAATACTACGACCTAGGATAATGTAACCAGACATTATCCTAGAAAACAAATGTAATAAAGTAATGTAAATATACATTGTTATATTTATGTATAAATGTTACCATTTAACTTAAATTACAATATAATATATTTTTACAAACTAACTGTATCCCATAGCACTGCTCACATGAATTGCAGATTAATTCAGTTGGTTTCTATATAGATCAAGGAATTTTTAAAATGTGCATAATATTCATTTTGTATTATTACTTTAGATGACTAAATAAGTGATGAGCTAAATTAAAAGGATTACATTTTATATATAGGATACAATTTAGAAAATATATTTTTTTATTATCAATTATTATTAAATAATTGATGAATATATATTGTAAGATATAGATATTATTCGGTGAGTAGTAAGTGTTCATGGGTAATAGATATAATAAGATAAGATGATTATTTTATCAGTATGTTCCAATGTTTTGTCTATCCTTTATGTATCAACTAAGTAACTAGTAATCATGTATTTTTATTATCCTTAACTTTACTAGAATTTTTAAGACAGTGACCCACAATTTTATTATGTTGGTTATGTGCAAAATCAATACCAATATAATATATGATATGGATTTATATTTTTTAAAGTAATGAGACACAAATTAACAGATATATGTTACAGTTTTTTATCAACCATTAAAAAAGAGAAATAGGATAAATATATATCTAGTAAAAGTACCATTCCTTGAAATTAATCACCAAAGATATGATAAGTCAGTAATAACTGTTAGTTGATAATAACATGTAAATATTATAAGAAATATGTTTAATTAGGTAAAAAACCTAATATAAAAATACATATATTTTTTATATTTGCTTAAAGGCATCTCTTGTCTATAGACATGATTAATATTGCAATGAGACAACCAGTAAAATGAAAGAACCAATTTCAGATATATTTAGAATACTAAATGTTGATTGGAATTGCAGTTGAGAAAAGATTAGAAATAAAACTTAAATGATAGATTAATGAAAATAATATTCCTAAAACCCTATATAAATGTTGCATCTGTTTACAAGGTGACATTGGTGTCAATGACATTGTAAAGAGTATAAAAGCATGAATATCATTTGTATTGGATATATATTATGAAAAAGTACTAGAACTATTACTGAGATTCTCGGTATTACCAGTGCATAAGTCATTTTGCTAATCATAGTGCAAAAAGAGTTACATATTATATTTGTTTATTTATTTAAGTATATAAAAAATAATATTGAGGAGAAATATAAATTTCCCAAATCTAAATTTATAGACCAGTCTGAATTTTGTTATTGATTTCTTGCATATTTCCATTCCAGACAAAAAGACCTATACAATAATTCCTTTTTTCAACTGACAGTTCTAATCCACCGGTTGAATCTGTATAATGTCTACCAGTCCAGGTCAAGTTTTATTTAAATATATACTAATGTACTCTTAGAAATAACATTTATTTGAATACAATTAAATTTTTCTTAAAGGCTAAAATTTCATAAGCATAACATGTTGTGTTAAAATTTGTATATAATGTTGGGAAAATTATTAAAAATAGATGTCAGTATAAGAGAAGTGACACCCATCATAATAAAAGTAAATGGTCCAGATTTTGGAAATATTTTGAAGTTGTGGCACTAGTCTAGTAAACCACATTGCACAAAAATTTTGTAAATGTGTTCATAACACCTTTGATGCTCTAATTTTACAGAAATAATTCACTTTGTTAAATAAATACCAACAATCTATAAATCCAATGGTAATATTGTATTAATTAGAAATCGCAATACCGAATTTTAAAGTAGGTACAAATAAATGAAATCATGAGTACTTAACCGGAACGCGAGACATGGCATTTGTAAGTAGATCAAGTGTTTTATACATAACAACTTTCACTAGAGTCATTGTAATGGTGACACATCAAACTATAGGGAGTGAAAGATGAACTTACTTTAAACAATTCCTTGAAATACGGACTACAAGCCGAAAGAACCACTTTGTGGGCTTCTAGCCTGTGTCCCTCGCATGCCAGGGTGACATCCACAAAGTCCTCATCATCGCGTAGTGCCTCGAATTGAGAAGTTATATTTGCTTGAAAATTGTTCCATCTCAAACAGAATTGCTGGTCGCCACCCAGTTCTGAACCTTCCATTACTTATAGACATAACTTGATATCCCTGCTCATTTAATTGGTTGATAAGAATAGTTAATTATTGAAAATAAATATATCACAGAAACTTGCAATTTCAGTCGCCGTCTGGCCGAAAATCTTTTATGAAAGAAAACAATCAATAAAATCTCGTACCAATATACGAAAAATAAAAGCTTTTTTAATTTGTCATTTTGATGAGTACATTCACTTCGACGTTCCTTTACACGCTAACAAAAAGTATGTAATCACTCCGTTTTGTGCTGCGGTACATAGAGTTTCGATACGCTCCGCAAGTACAACTGCAACTTTAATATGTACACATGTTACACTAAATTTAACCGAACTATCTAAGATATATTTAGAAAGCAAAATATAACTTAAATAAGCCATTCAATGTTGTACTAATAAATGTTCTTTATGCAACATTACCTAGAAGTTTATTTACCTATACACCGTTACTTTTAGGTAGATTTTCAATTACTATAAAAAATATATAGTTAAATTGTTACTGAGACTGGCTATCTTAAAATTACAACCACATCATCACACCGTTACTTTACGAAGACTGTTGGATATACAGAAAACAATAGACAAGTTACCCCGATAGAGGACGCCATTGTATTATGATGTAAAGGGCGAAAATGATGATAATGAAAGTGAAGACTAGTCTGCGTTAAAGGTATAAGACCGAGGACGATAAAAATGTAACCAATTGCGGTAATACAATGACGGTATACATTACCTGCACATGAATGGTAGATGATAGGTCGTGAATAAAATTAGTTTAATTTACTTCATCTATCATGATTATTTTCTTATAAATGAATCGTAATGGTTTTTAGGAGGACTCATGTAGAGATAATTTGGCGAGAAAAATTGCTAACAATAAATCACTACTACCCATCAGAGTACCTTTCCATGATAATTACATGTGGGTAATTATAATATATAAGACTATAATTTCAAACACAGTAGTCAGAGACAATAATAATTGACTTGATGAATGCTTGTGGTACAGTATCCGCAGACATGATTACATTTTGTTGAGAATATTTAAATACAAAAAGACAGGCTTAAATGAAAGAAAGAAAATAAAGAGGTTTTGTTGAGGTTTATAAAATAGAAAATCAACACTTAAGACCTTAGCAAATACATTAGTAATTTACAATTTTCTAAATTAGTCTAATGTACTAATGAGTATACACATAATATTTATAAGATACTGTAGTATTTCTTAAACATATGGGATGTGTGTGTGATGTGTTTGAGGAACAAAAATTCACACATTAGTATTTAAAGAAAATTAAAAGTATTAAAATTTTATTCAATTGTAACATTTACTTTGGCAGAAAATAATCAGGTTACAAATGATGGTAGTTCAGTCCTTATAAAGTCTGTTCTCCTTCTACCATTTCTTTTAAATTTAACAACTCAAACTGTCCGCTTCCTTTTGTTTCAGTTCTAATCATTTCATCCAAAGTTCTAAAATTCCCAGGATCAATTAAGCAAATGATATTGGCTGTTCCAGAATCCCAAGTCTCCTCTTCAACACTCATAGCCAATTTTACAACTTTATCTTTTGTTTTTCTTGCTTCTTTTCCAGTCAATAAAATTCTTACTCTCATTTGTGCTCTTTCCAGAGGTATTTCCTTTTTCAAAAGCTGTATTACATCTAAAGCCTGTTGCTTAGCACTTTTATTCACATTGACAGAAAAATGTACATCTTTCATAGCTTTTTCTATAATTGATACAGGATAAGGTCTTTTTGTTTCAGGATTTACGCATTTGTCAGCGACCGTTGTAGCAATATCTTTCATTAAGGATTCAATTTGTGAATGTCTCTCCTTATCTGAAACCTGAAGTTCCCCTTTCTCTAATATCTCTTTGCATATTTCTGTTGAGTCATCTTTCCCAAATATTTTTACTAAATCTTCTTTTTTAGCTACTTGGCCTTTGGAGACATTTGAAAATACTGTATGTGTTTGTAATACTTCATCAATATCCTGTTCCCTAAAAAATTTAGATGATTAGGTAAATTAAAATTTGGTCTCGATATCAGTTCATTTGCAATTAAATTAAAGGGTAAAAGAGCAAAAAAAGACATAACCTAAAACAATGTTATTCAAAAATAGTTTCTATAAATTAAATTGTAATAATAATCATCAACATTATTATAACATTACTTAAAAAGCACCAATAGACAAATTTTTGAATATAGGTATGTGGCATTACTAGTGTAGAGTAATATGTGATGTAGAAATGGGTATATTGAATCTGGCACAATATTAAAGCAAAATAATTAATTCAGGCACGGTATAGGTAAGAGAAATACTTGCAATTTATTTCTCCATGATAACACTTTATTTCTATAGCAGGCTATTTCAAACCTCTTTCCACTCTTTTTTAAACGAACTATTGCGACGTTGGTTAAACGTATTTGATTAGTTGGTGTAAATATTTTAGACATTTTTCTTTACTACATTTAATAAGTATGTACAAATAGTATTTATATAGTTGTAAACTAAATTAGCACTCTAAAAGTATATATTATTTAAAAATAAGATGTTGATAAATTAAGGATTAAAATGAACACAAATATTGACAATTTGACAGCCTGCAGATTAGACAGATTTAATAATATTCTAGGACCAAGTATCATCATTTTGTATATAGCACAGACGACAGAGACTGGTTCAACTTTTTTTTTAATATTCAGGAATCGTTAATTGATTTATAAGTGCAGTCAGTACGCTTTTTTTTTCATTGTAAAAATACGCTTTTTTATTCGCCAACGTTCTATGCCTAAGTTATAAAACAAATAAGATAATATTACATAGTTATAGGCAATTTAAGCATCATTAATATGATGCCTAGAATGTAAAAGTTTTAATTTTAATCTTTTTTTAATTAAAGATAAGCCATATTATTGCTATATGGAATAACTTGTAATCTGTGATATGCAATTTATTTATAAATCATTGTATATTTTTACCTCTGGGCATCATTCCGTTTATGTCCACACGTTTTCCTGAAATTTTAAGTAAATGTCGAATATTTATGGTAAAAACAAATAAACAAAAAAGCTTATTTTAATCATACTTATTGCAAGACGTTTAACGATATTTAAGCCTGTTTTGACGTCTTTATTTATACTATAAATGGTAATTGGTAACACTGTTTCTGTGTGTCAGACTCAACACGTCGTGTATTTCTTGTATAATTTTGGCCGTCATTTTGTTATATTTTACTATTTTGTCGGTGATTTTATGTGATTAATCATAAAAATGGCGAAGTTAGTCGATATATACAACAGCGAGAAAGATCCTGTGATCAAAAGAAGACAATTACCGTTAATAATTTATGAGAATCTTACTGTAAGTGGCATTTTCTGTACTTTGACATTACCTCAAACGTAGATTTAATCAGAGCTGAAAATAATAAAAATAATAATTTAATAATCTATAAATTACAGTTTTTTAGTACTGATAAAAGGTGAAAGTTTTCATTGGTGTCCATTATTATTTATGTAGTATATAAGGCGCTAAGATTCATTGATTTTTGAAAACCAGTGACGTTTTTCAATTGACCTTATTTTTAAGAATATAATATCTTTGTTGATGATATATTCTATTTATTTTACAGATGATTATGGATTTGAACACAGTAGGTCTAATATGCGACAACTCTCAAGTAAAAGGTCGGGAGTACGAGGAGTTCGTGCGAAAATACAGAATCCTCACGACAGACGAACTGAAAGCTGCCCTTAGAGTCGATGCTTCCGATATATTCAATGTATTAAACCAAAGCATTCCTTGTGTTGGCTGTCGAAGAAGGTTTGTGTTTGTTTTACAAATTCATATTTACTCAATATGAAGTACCAAACCTGTATAGAATCATATAAGAAATCTGAATTAATAATTTATTTTTACTTGCAGTGTGGAACGTCTTTTTTATCAATTATGTAAATCAGGGCACCCTACAGTGGATCCATTAGTTCTTACACCAGATGAAATAATGACTATAAGAGAAGATAAAATTGTACATCCACAATCATTAGCTACTTTATTGAATGGTCACAGGTAAGAAATATACCTCATTGCATGAAAATTTATTACTATAGTCTGTTTTTTTTAACTCTGAGACAAAATTGACATTACCTTTTAACATAAAAGGAAAACAATTGTTGGTTTGTAGTTTAATACCCTAAAAATTACTACAATATAAAATGAATTTATATTGTTTCATTAAAAGATAATATTCAAATATTAGGTGTGTACATATATTTTAAAACTGTATTGTTTAAACTTCATAGAAAATTTTAAAACTAATCATCTAAAGGAAAAAGTTACAATTTAACTAATCAATATAGTAGGTACAGCAGGTGTCAGGACTCCATGTCAACTGGTAACTTTGTGTCGTCAAGATTAAAAAAAAGGAGTATATGCATAAATATGATATTGAAGTAAATGTTACTTTATACCTTCATCTGTATTTTTTGAGGTAAAAATGGCTGATGTTAAATGTGAATTGTATATAGGTTACCACTATAATACTAAAGTGTATGTTTGATGTACAAATCCCTCATCACCATCCTTCTACCATCAACCCCTTTATTTTTATCAGGGATGTTAGGGAGCTCCGTAACTGTAACTGAAACTATTCAGAAAAAAAAAATCATATCTGCATCTGTATCCCTGATTTTTATATGACCACCAAAATATTCACTACAAATATTTATAGGTCATAATAATGTTTGCTAGCTCAGCTAGTATTGCTATCTAGCGTTTATTAAGAATGGTGTTTAGAAAGTTGAAAATAATATTTAAATATACCTCATATAATTTGCTATCTTAGAGAGTTAGTCAATATCGATTTTATCGTTCATTTTGCTATTTACTCAAGTTCTTTCATTTTATATCCATATAAATAAGGTTGACAAAATACACCTTGTATTTGTGGCAACTTTGAAGATATACAATACTGTGCTGTTATTAAAACTAAAGGGGTATGCAAAAATTCTGTAAATCAGTGAAATCAATTAGGTAACATAACTGGTAACTTACCTTAGTTACTATAATGTGTATATAGAAGTATTGGTAATTTCATACATGTGTAAAATAACCAGCCTAAAAAGGTGTATGGTACACAACATGAAAGGACAATTTAATACAATTATTCTATAAGTTAGTGAACATATTCAGTTTTATTGAGTATTCACTTTAAATGCATAACAGTGCATGTGAATAACAGAATGAGGATAGGCAGCAGGGTCTATTGCCACTTTCTGAAATTTATTAATTGTAATAGTGAGATTTTTATTTTCTGTCATTATATCCCCAACATCTGTGGTGATGGAGAATATTGTAATGAAATGTCAGTGAAATTATATGCAACATTTAATTTCAGCACGGGCATTGAATGTCTTATAGAGAATCAACCACGATGGAAAAAGTCTCAGCGATGCACATTACACTCGCTAGAAGCGGGTACGGCTAGAGGGTGGGGCAGTTGGGGGGGGACAGGGGCAAATGGCACTGGAGGATCGGGGCCGACGACAGGGGCGGCCACTTGCGGGTGGGGTTGGGGGGCCTGGGGCTGGGGAGGGCGCGCAGCCTGGCGGGCAGCGTGGGATGCTATGCGCTCATCTGCGAGAGATCATGTAACACTCGTACATTTCAATACTCTCCACGACACTCTAACAAACTATCTTCGCAAACATCGCTTCTGTACAGACTGTAAAACTAAGGTATGATCCATTTATCCTATGGTATCCCATCTATCCTTTTTAGTAAAAATTTGTAGTTCTATGTATATTTTGATCCTCAAGTGTATGTATAAACTACTTTTTAAATTTGAAAATAAACTGTTATACAGGATTTTATTAAAATGTCCTTACCATGTTATTGAGACCTAAAATTAAATATTACAGGTGTTACGAGCTTATCATTTATTAGTTGATGAAAAAGAACCACAGAAGGAAAAAGGATATGTTGGGGCACTGTACAGTGGTATCAAAAGATGTTTGTTAGACAAACATTTACATCTGCAAGCAAAAACCAGTTATATAGAACGACTTATAGAAAAAGCTGAACCTGAACTTCTTGGAAATCATAGGGAAAGACATGCAAAAACACTGGAAATTGCACAAGAAGAAGTAAGTACCAGTCAAATGTACCTTAAATAAAGGAAGAAGCAAATGAGTTCAAATTACCTATTTTCACGACAAGGAAAAACCAATAAAAGGATTTTTTTACAAGTGAAAAACTGTCCTAAAAATTTGTTCATATTATACTAATTTATATTTAAATGTAGTACAATAGTACTTATAGTACAATATCCAACCCTTATACTGACAGAGTTACATATACATACATCAGAAACTACTAATGCCTTAAATATGATATTTTGGGATACATGAGAAAATATTTTCACTTAGAAATAGTTGCCACAAATACTGGGATACTATTCTGCTATTTTTTTCAATATTCATTATTCAGTTGAGTAGCAAATACTAATTTAAAAAAAATATAGTAATAATGTATCAAATTATGTGAAATATTTCTGTTTTAAACAACAAACAATGGACAAGTAATGCCTGTTTTGTATATAATCAATCGTATATTTAGCAAAATAACTATAGTATCTCTATTTATCACCTTTCTTTTAATACATTGAGGAATACTGGCCTGTAAGCCAGCAACAGATTTTGAAGACTAGTATTTCTATCTTTTCTTATAATTTCCTCCTAAATTTCCTATATCTTGAAAAAAAATAACCAACTAGGTGGTGTATTGTGTATACAAAAACATGAATATTTCAAAAACATTCGGCAATTTTCTCTCTTTATTACAGGTATTGATATGCCTTGGGATTTGCATTTATGAACGACTCCAACGGATTTCACTACGACTACGCGAGGAGGAAGGCACCTGTCAAACTTTGGCAGCAGTAGCTGTTGAAGCTCTATATCGAAAGTTTGAAACGGCTGTTGAACACAAAAGTGGAGTGTCAAAATTGCAACTACTTTATGAAGAAATAACGCAGGAAGAACTCTCTAGGCAACAAAGGAAAGAACAAAAGAAACTAAAGCGACGCAAGAAGAAGGAGAGGCAGGCTGTCGAGAGTAAATGCAAGGTTAGAAAAACTACTACTAACAATAATCTGTTTATTGCTTTGAATTTTTTCTTTTCAAAATGAGTGCATGCTGCAATTATTGACATACTGTAATACATATATAACGATAATGTAACACAAAGAAATACTTAAGAAAAAGGTTATATATTAATTCATTGTTTTGTTTTAACAGGAAGCAGATTCTGAGGAACCAGAAGAAAAGTGCCAATGTGAAGAGTGTTTGTTAGAAGAAAGAGACACACCAACCGACCTAGTTTCACCACGGGATTACAGTCAATGTTATGAAGCTACGGGCGACGCTTGTCAATCTTGTCAAGATGATTCAACAAAAAGACTGTCGCCAAAAAAAACTGGTAAAAAACGTACAAAAAATGGTAATCTATCACCCAATGAGCATTCACAAGACTGTGGTTACTCTTCCGGAAACAATGGTGGTTGCTGTGAGACTATATCAGGTTCGTCTTCCCTTATGAGCACTCCGGAGGGTTCAGAGGTAGCTTGTTCTGAGGGTTGCTGTAACCATGAAAGAGGAGACTGCATAGATATGGCCAAAAATGACAAAAATTCATGTACTGGCTTTACACTTTCTCTACAAGAAATGTTAATGGTAAGTTAGTATCTTTGAATTTTCATCTTAAATTTACAATGTCATATCAGCACACAGCATTATCATAGACTATTTGCCTTAGACACCACTGTTTCATAGTATTTATTATATTATTAATGAACTGATTGGTCTATTGACTGTAGTTACAGTCAATAGACCAATCAGGCCATGATGACCAATCAGCTTCTGTTTGTCAACAAATTATAAAAATGAAACTGTGTTGCATTAAACCAACCTTACACACTCTATACATGGAAATAGAAATAATCTTTATTCAAATTAACAGAATACATATACAAGGTTGGAGGTTGGGCAACTTATTGCCGGTTAGCACCAAAATTACGCTTGCGCATACCCTACTCCTTCCTATCCTTGATAATGCTGATATCTGCTATCTGGACCACACCAAAGACCAATTAAACTAACTTGAGCGTCTTCAAAATTTCTGCATCAGGTTTATATTTAGACTTCGCAAATATGACCACATTTCACATTATCGTTCACAGCTCAAGTGGCTCCCTGTTCGCCTTCGCCGTGACTGGCATATACTCTCCCTTCTTTACTCCATTCTTTTTAATCCTGTTACTCCTAACTATCTTAAAGAAAGATTTTCATTTCTCGGACAGGCACAAAACCATGGCTTTCGTAGTGCATCAAACCTCCTCATTAAAACTCCTTCACATAGTTTTTCATTCTACCGTAAATCCTTCCCAATCCATGCTGTTCGCCTTTAGAATTCTCTACCTTACTCCATTCGTAGCATACAATAACTACCTATTTTTAAGTGCTCGGTTAAATCCCATTACCTCTCCACTTAAATCTCCCTGTATTCCTTCTTGCTATGTGTCTTGTTCCTTTGTATATAACATTGTCGTTTTGTACTTGCGTTTCTGTGTATTTATATATGTATGATATACATACATTACATTTTATATATAGTATATATATATTGTATGTTAGTTTCTAATATCTATTGGTATTATTATCCTATCCCTATTATTACCTTTATATATTTATATATTCTTCCATGCTATTCATGCGCCACCTACCACTTATGTTGTATTTTCTCTACCTAAAGGTTGTCTGGAAGAGATTGCTTCTTGCGATAAGACTGCCTTTTATACTTCCATATCTCTTTTCTGTATAATTCTTATGTATTAATTCTATTGGTGCAATAAAGAGTTTATAAATAAATAAATATACACATAATTTATTAGCATTTAAATATGATTCAGTATATTATGGCATTGGAGTCACATTTTTGGCTTGTTGTTCTTTATGATTTCTAAAAATAGCTTATTCATTACTACTAACTACTCGCCCCGGCTTCGCCTTGGTGTACATGTATTATATATATAAACCTTCCTCTAGACTTACTCTTTCTATAAAAACCTGCTTCAAAATCCGTTGCGTAGCTTTAAAGATTCAAGCATTCATAGGGAGGGACAGACAGTGACTTTGTTTTGAATGATTATATTGATTGTTAAAGTCAGTTTTCTAAATATGGTTCTCACAATTGGGTTAGGGTGTTGTAGCTTAGTACTAGATACTCTTATAAAGTAGTCAGTACTTGATCATTGCATTATACTACCTATATAAGAGTTTCTATGTAAGAAAATCTGTAAGTTGAACTTGGAGACTAGTGAGAATTTTTGTCTTTATTCCTAGCATTGTACAAAGGTAATGAATGTACAATAAATATTGAATTTTAATAAGAACTACATAATTATATATTAGTTTTATTTTGTATGAAAAATATTTTACAGGATACATGTGCGTCAGATGAAGAACAAGATACCAGTTATATTCCAATAGAAGATGTTTTGGAATTTAAATCTCGTAGAAATATAACAGAGAAAAGGCAAGAACTGCGGCGAAACTTGAGACAAAAATTTGCGCAGTTATGTGTTACTACACCGTTGCACATTGCGCAGCCACAGGACAAGCAAGCCGCTTGATTCCAGCTACCATATTGCTCCCATGTCCTGTCCGAAATTCAGATGATTTTATCAATTATTTAGTCATTTCTCTACAAAATGACATGAATATATCAGCTTCATGGTCAATATGTAGATGTACAATATCTTGTAATATGTGTGTCAATAATATTCACAGATTCTGAAATGGTTAGTTTCGTAATTCTCTGGTAGCCAAAAGACAGTAGTTATTATTTAAATATAGATAAACAGAAATTAAGTTCTTATTTGTTGTACTCAGGATTCCCCATAATCAAATTAATTAGAAAGAGAGTAACATGTGACTTTATTAAAAACATTGTTTGAAACAACATTTATTTAAAACTACTCCGAATCGATAACAGTAATAGTTTCTAAAATGTAGTAATGTGGCCACATGACAACTACGCCATAAGGAATCCGGTTTGTTTTCTTTCATTAGAAACTGATTTAAAGTTTTAAATGACAGAATGAAATATAAATGTTTATTTCACAATTTTTTACATTCCACATTATTGTGACAACTAGATTATTAGTTGGTGAAATTAATTTTGATAATATTCTACATTAATAATAATTGTCAGGTTTTTCAAATTTGTGAGATTTTTATCATTCATTTGCATATTAATACCATGAAATCACAAAACCTATATTATTGTAGGGCCGGATCATTAGATTGTTACCTCTTTATTATTTATAAATATATGTATAATATATTGTGATAATATAAAATGCTTGTCACTTTCGTAGTTATGATAATTTATTTCAAAATATTTTAAATAATTATTTGTTACCTGTGAATTATTACAAGAGATTGTATTTACTTACATAGTAATAGAAAAAACAAATTTGTTTAAATTCAATGGGCTTTATGGATATTTTTTAAACTATACTTTTCAGTCATTGATTATATTTTTTGTAAAATCATGTTTATGATCCAATACTTAAAACTTTAAATAAAGTGCAAGTTTGATTTACCTAAATAATGAAAATCGACTGGATGGTCCCAGCATTTAAAATATATTTACTATTAAATTGTTAGAGAGCTTAGTAATGAAATATGTAAAGTAGCATTTTTTGATGAAATTATTTTATTTTCAATGCTTTATGTGACTCAATATTATGTGGTACATGATGGATAAATTATTGCTTGTTACAAAATGAAATGCTTCAAGTCCTTGAGGTTTGTCATTGTTATTGAAGTTGGAAAACATTTGTAACTCAGTTTAAAATATACTATTATAATACTTTTACTACTATTTTAATTATAGAAAAGATTTTCCTTTAATTAGTAGTTCCTAGTTTTAGTAGCTAGTTTTTTAGGTAGCTATTTTAAAATTAAGATATATTAGGCTAATTTAAAAAAGCATAGCAAACTAGCTTAATTACCTGAACCTGGTAACCATCGTCTATATACAAAAACAACACTACAGACAATATAATCATCTGACTACCACAGCAGTTTTGCCATTCTTGAGGATTAAAACATCATCTCTTATTCTGTAATTTCACTACCTATATTGGCACTCTATAACCAAAACAGCTTACGAAGCAAGCTGAGATATATACAAAAGAGTAGAAATTGAATATTGTTTGTACTCTATGTATATATGTTTGTAGGTCTGTTACAGACACTTATGGTAAGTCAAATCTACATTTAGTTCTGAAAGTAGCTAGAATTAAGAACTGACATGATTCTCTCCTCAAGTACTTCACTCTCTTTAGATAGATTTTTAGATAGTTTATTTCAAAGGAGCAAATATTCCAAGTAAATAGACCATTCAAGGTAGCAGCTACTCCTTTCGTATTTACTGTAAAAACATGTGGTAGTAAGTCAAAGTTGACAAAATGTTTGACAAATTATTATTTTATTTCCTGTGCCCATTCTATTTTAACACAAATTATATTTGTTTTCACCTTTTAAACATATTAATATTTATATATTATTAATTCACCTATATTAAATTACTGGGGCCACAATAAATAGGCCATGTCATAAAATTTGTTGATACCAAATTATAGCAAACCTACTCTTAATCAACTGATTTGTGCGATACAAAGTGATGCATTTGTACCACCAAATCCAAATGAATTCTTCAAAGCAATTCTTTTATCAGCCAGCCATTTTTTTGATTCAAGTACATAATACAAATCATCCACAGGATCATCTAAATTCAATGTAGGTGGTAATATCCCATAATAACATGCCAAGATAGTAAAAACAGCTTCCAAATTGCCAGCAGCACCCAGTAAATGGCCATGAGCACCTTTTGTGGATGATATATTTATTTTTAAACTATGTTCTTTAAATAGAGCCTTTATTGCAGTTGACTCAATCCCATCTCCAATAGGTGTAGATGTAGCATGAGCATTGATGTAGGTGATTTGATCATTTCTAATATTACTGTCTCTTATTGCTCTGGTCATTGATAAAACAGCTCCACTACCATCTTCTCTTGGAGTGGTTATATGAGAAGCATCTCCAGATAAACCATATCCTAAAATTTCAGCATACATTTTGGCATTTCTTTGAAGAGCATGTTCATATTCTTCTAAAATTAAAACAGCTGCTCCTTCTCCCATAACAAAACCATCTCGTTTCTTATCAAATGGCCTTGATGATTTTGTTGGTTCATTATTAAATGATGTACTTAAGGCCCTCAAACGACAGAAGCCTGCTATGGCAAGAGGACTTATACAGGATTCTGCTCCACCACACACCATAACATTAGCATCACCATTCCTAATAAATCGAAATGCATCACCAACAGAGTGAGCACCAGTTGCACATGCTGTTGAAACAGAATGATTAGGACCCCGGAAACCATATTTGATACTTATATGTCCAGCAGCCATATTTGGTAATATTCTTGGAACAAAAAATGGACTAACTTTATTGTACCCTAGTTTTAGTGCTTCATTTGTATCACAAACATCTTTAAGATCAATCATTCCCATGCCTAATGCTACACCTGTATTCTCTTTGTCAACATCACTGTCAGGACACCATTTTGCATCTGATAATGCTTCTGAGGTTGCTAGTAAAGCCAGACATGTTGCAGGTGCCATTGATTTTAGGTTTGCTCTGGATAATGCTTTACCTACTTCATTGTCTTCTTGTATGGGTATTACTCCAGCTACTCTGCATGGTAATCTAGAATACTCCTCACTTTCTAGAGCAACTATTCCACAACGACCTTTCAAAAGGTTGTTCCATGCAAATTTAGTACCTGTGCCAAGCGGGCTTACTACTCCTAATCCAGTAACAACTACTCTTCTCTTTGGAAATTGACTAAAATTTCTTGTTTGGTAGGTTTGCTTAATACTTAGTAACAATTTGGTTAACTTCATTTTTTATCGAATTAAAATAACGGTTAAAATAACAACATTACTTTTTTAATATCGATAAATTTTTCTGTTTTTTAATACACTTTTTCTCAAATATCTCACTTTGTCTCCAATATCTGACATTGATATGAAAAAGGAATCTTCCCCGTATTTTTCCTTTTTCTAGACGTGAGTAGGGACAGTATCTTCTTTGACTGGATTAAATAATATACATAATTCCTTAATCCACATATGCGTATACTATACAGTGCTAGAAAAATGAAAAGTTTTAAAATGGGATATTGGTGTTTGTTTTGACTCTACTTTGATTTGACTCAAAGCATATACTAAGAGATTTGACTACTTTTGACTTTCAGTACACAGATCAAGAAGACAAATATATGTTTTTGATTGTCATTACTTTCAACGTCAGACAGCGACTTCACAGATTAGAATATCTATCTAGGGATGGACATTTTGTGCAAAAGCGATTATTTGAATTCTTTTTGTAATCATTATTGTTAAGAACTATTTAGCTTGTGTAAAGAAAACAATATATTTATTAATAAAATTCTTACTCTGAACTGAATAAAAAGACTGCAAGTTTAACTAAAGTGTATATACATATATATATACACATAATTATTATATTTTACCGTTCAAAATTATAATTATCCTGTCTCTAATTTTGGAAATTCATTATTAATATTAATAGTATATTGGTACTTGGTGCTGTACTGCCCAATAAATGTAATAGATTAATTAGAAATCGACTTTTGTCGAAATTAATCAATTTCTCCAAAATCTATATATTTCATCCCTAATGCCTATTAATGAGTGACAGACAGCTGTTCTCCGTTTGTTGTTATCCAAGTGACTGTATTATTTTATATATTCATATCTAGTTAAGTATTTTAGATCCTATTTGTGTTTGTGTTGTATTATACAAAATCCTTAGAGTTGTATAGTTTGTAGTACTCTTCACATCACATTCAAATATATGAACACTAGATGTCCGTAGTATACTTCAGGCAGAATACTAAATAAAAACATTTACCTCTATAAGAAAGTATTAGACAACTATGATTAAATTTATACATATCCTAAAAAAAATAATCCCATTTCTGTTAGTTGTATTGTCAATTACTTATCGTGATCGCTTAGGATTTTTATTTTATAACTTCTTTACCTCTAACGTTCCGGATATTAATGTATATACGGTTGAACAACTAGCATTGTATAATGGCATTAGTAAGAATAAAATTTATTTATCAATCATAGGATCTGTTTTCGATGTCACCACAGGTACGAAACATTACGGTCAAGAAAGCCCATACCACTATTTTGTAGGTAAATTACATTTTTTATTCTACTTATTATGTTTGCCTTTTGTTAAAAAAAAATTGTATCCTGCTTTGTTGCATTTCCTTGTAATAAATGCAATGTTTTAAAATTTATTTAAGGCGCTTGCCATTCGTATATATGTATAAAATAATGTATAATATATTACACATTATTGTTTTCAGTATTAGTACATATATACTAATATTCAAAACTATACATTTTATGTATTAAGTGTCATTGTCTTTCATATAAAAATGATATTTAATTATTTCATCATATTGCTATTTTATAAATATATTTAATGATGTATTTGTAAATTTGTTTTCCATTTAGGAAAAGATGGTTCAAGAGCATTTGTCACTGGAGATTTTAAAGATGAGAGTTTATATAAAGATCACATATTAGACTTGCCTTGCAATGATTTGTTAACTTTAAAGAACTGGAAAGATACATTAAGAGATAAATATAAAGAAGTTGGTAAGTTATTAAAGTGAAGTAATGTAGTGTATGAGGTTATAAAGGACCTACGTCATACATATGGTAATATGCATAACAAACAAAGGTGCTGAGTTATGTATGTACATAATTCAATGCAATGGAATATCAATAATTTTGTTTATGAATATCTAGTTTACTCTACTAGTATAGTTGTATTATTGTATAAGTGGAATCTGTCAGAAGAGAAAGAAGGGCTATTATATACATTAGTGATGGTTAGTAGCTCCATTACTAGCAATGTACCCTATCAGCTCAAACTGAAGGCAGTCCCCTCTGTAAAGTATTGTAATGGGAATCCACTTTTCATCCCATGGTCATAGATATATTCACAAAAAAAGTTGTCTAGTTCCCATAATACAAGCTCTGTCTAGCTTAGGACAAGACAGCACTGTATGAATTGTCCTGGGTTACATTATAATCACTATGGTACTGCTACAAAAAACTACCACCATCCCATCATCATATAAAAAATAAACTGGTATTGTTTATGGAATAATTGCACTGAAATTGCTACTTTAGCATACTTACAAAAACAGGATCTTACATTTCATTTGTTGGTATGATACAACTTCTCAATTGGCTTAATTAATTACAGGTGTTTTAATTGGTAGATACTATGATGTGAATGGAAGAGAAACAGAATATATGAAAATGTTCTATGTAGAAACAGAAAAGTGTATAATCGAGAAGGATTTAGCTAAAAAAGAAGAATTAAAGTTTCCACCATGTAATATTGAATGGAGCCCAGATGCAGGCACTAAAGTCTGGTGCACTAAAACCAGGTGAATATAAATAAATATATTGTATTACTAGTGCCCAGTTAGGTGGGATAGGTTTTTTGCAAATTAAAATATAAACCCTTCTATATTGATATCATCTATAAAACTGTAGTACAAAATTTTTGATCAATTTCCACAGCATACATGATATTGATATTCTTCAGGGATAATGTAGCTTTCTAATGGTCCTGTAGTCTAAGAGACTTCAACGTGAACATACAAATCCTTCCTCATATTATTTTCAGTTCCTCTTTGTAATAAGAATGTGGATCATCTCAGTAATTACATAAGTAATGTTTATCTCTAACAGTGCTTTTTTTTTAGTGGAGGAGTGAAAAGAAATTGGGTAGGAGTGCCGCGCCAGCTCTACACACCAGGACAGGACATGCCTCGCTGCACATGTGTGAACATTGAAGACATTGATAATTCTGCAGCTATGTTCAAAGAATATGATAATTGTCCTATCACTTCTACTTCTTGTATTATAAAAAGTAATTAGATAATGTAAAATTATATTAAGATAAGCAGATGTGATACATCATAAAAAGTAACATTGAATCTCAAGCTGAACCTCTTTCAACAAGAATGGTAAATTGAATAAGCGTAAGTAATATATTCAGAGAGATTATGTAAATTAATGTTTATTATTCCTATTTTGTGACTTTCTAAATTTAAATGGTTGTACATATTTTTTATATGAATTTGTTTTTATGCTTATGTGGATACTACTAGATTTATTTGAATATAGTTTATATATACAATTTAATATTCTGATATCACAGATGTATAAATTATGATAATGATATCATTAATTTTCCATACAAATCATATTCTTAATAAATGCAAATACTTTTGATGTAAATTGGTGTTTAGAAACAGCTGCTGCTGCTTTGGTGTGTAAATAACTGATGAATATATAGCCTATATGAAGACCTATTTATATGTAGAGATTAAATTGTGTTTTGAAATATTTATTTTTTAATAATTTTTTACTCTAATATCATATAAACTGACTCTATGCCCTGTGGCCCTTAAATTGAATTTTTACTAAATAAGACTTCATTTTGTACTAACACTATTCTAACCAATTCTTATAATTTTTAGTTTATTTCAGTTTTTAAACTTTATATTGCTTATACAAAAGAATTTAAAGAAATGTTTAAACTGTTTATTAAATATAAATAAGTATGACATTTAAATTTGTAAATGTCACATTGTCACCATTCAAGGGGTAAAATAAAATACCAGATAAAAGTTTTTATGGAAATTCGTCAGTAAAAAATTCTGTCGTAAGGGTTATTCTGTCAATAGTTTTTTCTATTATTATATTAATACAGAACAATAGGCATGAGTTCAACTTGCAAATAATGATGTGAAATAATGGAATATACTCTATGTGTTATGTGATAAAATGTAAGATATTAATTAGATACAATGTAGGTACCACATTATTAGATTTTATTAATAAAGTAATGTTCGAACTTTTCCCAGGTTGAGCAATATTTAATAACTGTGTATTTATAAAAATACACCTATTTGTAATAATTGGTCATACAATATTCTGTAAACATATTGCTAAAGTATGGTTAAACTTATAACAAAATCAGTGGTAATTATAACTTGGTTTAAAGAAGTGTAGACAGAGACTGTGAAATATAGCTGTTAAACTTAATGACTTTTTATTAAATATATGTGATATGTAATTGTACCCTTAAATTTGGCAGATATCCAAACTATTTGTGTAATATCTAAAAGACATCATAGATTGATTGATTGAGACATCATCTTGACTATTTACATGGGTAAAGCATAATATCTTGGACAAAACTAAGGAAAGGATTAATTTGGGAGGCTATTGAATTTGGGAATTTAAATGTAGTCTTCACTATAACGAAAATAGTAAATCACAAATAGATTACTTGCAATAATAGTAACCTATATCTACAGTAACAGTAATCCTGTTGTTTTTACTAGATTTATTCATTGAATGAGTTATGAATATCAGAAACTATATCAGAGAGATAATGTTGTGTTAGATTGCACGATGTATTTGAAAGAACATGTTTTAAAAAACAGCACTGTAGCAGTAACGAAACATGAATGTATTTATTCCAACCATGATTACTACTATATAAAGACAGTTCACACAGGTTTATCAGTATTTATTACTTTTGTTTCAGTTTGTACTGCTTCATCTAACTCTAGACACTCTATGGTTTCTAAAAATACTTGCATAGGTATTTTCTTCCTATTTAGGAATGATTTGTTTCCAAGTAGTTTTTTTATTTTAGCTCTGCGTTTTTTTATTTTATCTTTAGTATACTCAGTTCCCAGCTGGAATGTTAACAGTCGTTTCACTTTTCTTCCTCCAATTAATGTCTCATTATTACTATTATCAGTCTTAGGTTCTTCATAAATTGTTTCTAGCGTTTGTGATAAAGCATTCACCTTTCTATTTAAATATAGTGCTTCAATTTGTTTGGGATTGGCATTTTCAGTTAAACGTTTTCGAGGTTTCATACTAACTCTACGATTAGTTCGTTTAGTTATTTCAGGCGCCAAAGATTTTCTCTTCCTCAATACTCGTGGTAATTCTAGTGTGTCAAGTTTGTCTGGTACAGAATTTATATTTGTTTCATCTTCTTCCATTATATCTAGATGCGCCATTTTATTTGGTAGTTCAGCATCAACTCTGCAAGTTGTAAAATGTGTTGTGTTCGTTATGTAATAAATAAAGACAAAATTAATTTAAATAAATAAAATAAAACTTACCTGAATGGTTCCATGCTTATTACACAAAGTAAAAGTCATCTGTTTTTAAGTATTAGTATTATATTAGTTACTAGTATTATACAATATTAAAATGTGGACTGTTTTTAATAAATTGTTTGTAGATTTATTCCATTTGAAGTGTTATACAAGAAAACAAACGATAAGACATTAAAGAAGTTTAAACTATAGAAAATTAAACGGCACAAAGGCGAGACATGAACGATAAAGGAACCGGCAATGAAACGAATCAACGAACGTCGCAGGGTTGCCAGATGCTCGCAGGTACAAGTTGTCAGATTAAACACACATCGCATATTTTTTATAATTCTAGTGATTACTTTCTCAGCGAGGACAACTTCTTACATTGTATGTTCTTATATATAAATATAGAAAAAAAAAACAATGATTAACTGCCTCGCATTCAAGTCAACTCGTTTAGCCATTATTACATCGCCTTACTTTCGAAGGACCCGAGTTCGATTCCTCGCCCGGTACGAACTACAGACATTTGTATTTATTGTTGAAATATATGCGTTGTGTGTATTTTCCTGAGATATTATTATTATCACTACGGAGAATATAATTTTATACAACCTAAAACAATGGCTATCAAAAGTTTTGTTTGTCTGAGCTTTTGTGTGCGAAACGGGAGAACTTGGGGAGAATTCAACGTCAAGCCGAAACGCGGTGACAGGATTAGTTGTAACCATCATGAGAAAATTTAGAAATATCATAAAAAATGTATCCTATGCAAAACTTCCAGTAACTCGATTTTTCCAAATCCATTTTACTAATTTTCATTTCATAATGGTTACAATCAATCCTGTCACTAGTCCTGTTCTAGTTACGGCTTGACTATGAATTGTGGGACACACTGTATAGTTAAACAACCTGTATTTAATAAATTGTGATTAAATAACACGTTCTAAATCAGTCAAACCTGTTAAGCCTGCTTGGCAGCTCAATTATGTGAGATACAGGATAAAATAAGCAGTAAAATTTCAGGACGAGAAGTTTGGCATCTTATCCTCTGGAATGGTAACGGATGAGTGGTATCACAGATACCATATGATAATTTAGTGTCCGTAGTTTTATTCACAAATATAGGCGTCGGTCGGTTAGCATTTACCATCAGGTAAGCCTTAAGAATGTTTGCCATTCCAATTATATAATAAAATTAGTTGTACCCGCGACTTCATCCGCGTGGATTTTAATTTTATTTTTCTAACATGAAAGTACCCTAAGTTACTTCTTATTACATTCAGCCATTTCAGAGATTAGCCGGACCAAACAGACAGACAAAAATTGTAAAAAAATGTTAATTTGGTATATGTACCATGTAACAGTTATTTCAATATTACAAACAGACACTCCAATTTTATTTATATGTATAGATGTATTTACAGTACGCTAACGACTATAAAGACCCTAAATTAAAATGACCAGTTCATTTGTCACTGAAGGAAAAGATAAAACTACCATACTTAATAGTGTACTACCATTACCATACACATTAAAACCTGCCTACTGAAATGTATATAATGAAGCAGCAGATATGTTCCGTTGTACCTATAAAAAATTGTCTTACGCATGGGAGTAACAAATAAAACAATTCTCGTTTTATAACGATTTATTGTACAAAACAATAATACATTAAAATGTACAGGTATGTTTAAATTTTTGGACTCAATTGCGTCCCAAACACTGGACAAAATGTACCCTTCCTTTTATAGACACCATATTGCTCGTCGAGGCGTCAGCACTAATAGATACAGACTTGACTCTAGATAAGCAAACTAGATTGAAGAGAATAAAAATAACAATAAATTAATAAAATGTGCTGTCAACTTAAGTACACAACGTCTATCGCACTGCTTATGTCGACGGGCACCATGTAGTCTTTAATTAGAACAACGTAATTTAACAATGATTAAACCTCCTAAGCATACTGTAGTATATACACATTATGAACAGCGTCCTCTCTGATGAACTAACGCAGGTGAGCAGCGGACGGGGCAAGGCCCCGCCGCATGCCGCCGCGACGACCGCCTCGCTCGCGCCATCACGTTCGCTCCATTCACACCTGGCCGCTGCACTGGCATTGCTCTGACCTAGTCCTAGCCTTACGTGATCACACGCGGCGCGATTTCACTTTAGCACATCTATAAGCCAATGGGTTACTTTGTCGGGAGACGAGAGCGGTAGAAGTAGCAGAGAGAAGCGGATGAGGAACTATGAATCGGTGGCGTTTACCACTTGTCAACGACCACCTCGTTCACTGTAAAATAACGAGAGAGTTAGTGTTGTGTGCACTCGAGCGTGGCCTCAGACCGAACTTACGAGGTTTTAGGCAGAGATCACAACCGTGTTGTAGTTACTTAAATGTGTAGTTTCACTGCGGGATCACAACAAACAATGAGTGTTCATGGAATATGTGCGTGCAGTGGCGCTGCGACGGTGTCTCGGCGCTTACAGGTTCCACGTCGGCTTGGCTGGGGGCAGACAACACCACGTTAGTGCATGCGGGAGGGGTAGGTGCATAGCCACAGGGCTGTTCCTGCCGTGGCAAGGGTGAGGGTAGAATTAAAAAGTTTTGCAAATATTCTTCCATTTGTATAGGGAAAGTAGTTTGTATAGAGCACACTCTAGGTTAACTTTGATTAATCCATTTTTTATACTGAATATTGTTTCTCCAATTTTTAAAGCTTGCAAAACTTTCAACCAGTTTTAAAGTTGGTTAGAGGGAGACATTCAAAACATACAGTATATTATATTTATTAAATGTGTAAATTAGAGACTCGTTCTGATGGTCTCTATTCAAAACGTGGAGGGCGTATTTTATAATAAGTGCATTTATGAATGTAGTGCTTAAAACAGGATTACAAGTGGGTAGTAAAGGAGAAGAAAACCGGGCATGTATTCTCGACATTTTTAATTAATGTAAAATATGTATAAACAACTGTACATTAAAATAAGTTATTTCATAATCATAACCGTTAACGGTAGGTAAGTAGTTTGGGACAATTAACAGGTTTGAGCATGCCCTTGTTGTGCAGTGTAAAGTGTTGGCAACTGATGACTGAGGTTTGTATTCTCTGTATTTAACTTTTTCAATTATAACAATATTGCGAAATAAATTTATCATCAAAACCACACCAAACTGCACTCAAATCGCAAGCATGCATTATAGTCATGCAAGAGTTGCTTTATAATTAACTATTATGTACGTACGGACTTTGTATCATAATAACATAATATTATGGAAATTCATTAATTTTGATTCAGTTCTAATTAAATATCAACTTAAAAATAATATGTCACTAAATGCTAAGGTATTTTGATGTTTTGAAATTCGAACATATAACTAAAATAAGAAAATCCTTAAACAGTCATACAATATAATGCATTGAATATACTTATTGTTCGTACATACATCAATTATATTGCTTGGTTCAATACGAGGCTGCTTTGCAATTGATCCACATGACAGTAATAAAATTAATCTTCATGGGGTCTTATCTATGTTTCTTGATTTACTAACATCTAGGAAGCCTTGCGTGCATTCGGGTCCGCGTTTGGGGCCCGGGTGAAATGCCAGCGACAATTATTGTAAACATTTTTCGTGATGGTAGACAACAGCATGGATTCAAACCAACAAATCTTTTTCTGAGACGCAAGTTAAATCGAAGGTTAAACTGATGTTTGGTTAAAATACTTGTCGAATGCATTAATACAGTCCGACTGCGGTTTTAATTACTTATTTATTTTCAAATGTTTGTGGATTAATGAGCTATTTAATCATTAAACTTTTTTACATGTCACTTCATCATAGCGACTGGAACATATTGGTTGATTGGTATAAATATAGTTTGTGTTCCACAAATAGTACTTCATATCAATTTCCTTGATAATTGGCTTAGCGAATAAAACGAATAAGTATTAAACAAACTAAATTATGTTGATTTTTTTCTATAATATTCTTAAGTGATTTATCTAGTTCATTTGAATTAATATGAAATTGACGGAGGTTTGATATCGTTGCGAGACGCTTTATGGGACTCGATAATATCTTTATTTGAGCATTGCTGTCGTCGATTTTGCTGTCATGTAGATCCATCAGGAAGCGGCCTTAATTTGCAATAACTCTTCACAATTATTGACATTGGCTTAGTTCATATTCTTAAAAATGTAGGTAAAGGTATTTAAATTTTCATCATTTGTGTACAATGAGTAATTACAAATTATAATATTGTTAATGTAGCACATAAGAACATATATTTGTTAATGTCAGATTAAGTAGGTAACATCAACAACATGACATTTGCAGACAAATCCAAATACAGTTAAAGAAAAAGAAATGCATTAAGGAATGTTAAAAAGCAACCACAGGTGAAAGGACAGAGGAGAGACATTCCTTTCAGTAAAATATGATAGTTGTCGAGCAAAATAATCTTAACCACGTCCCTATCTATACACTTATAATAAATTATTCTAAGCTAACAATGCACATCATTATTCATAGTAGGGTATAGTTTCAAATTTGTCTGTTGTCCGCTTGGACAAGGTACTGAGCTGTGCGAGTTGAATATACTAAAACTGCTGAACAGAGTTAATTATTCCTATTATTAAAACAAATTCGTTATAAGGAGAAAACTAAACTAAAACAACATAGGTGGTAGGTACCTATTAAATAAATGAGTTAACCCAATTTTTGGTGTTCCTTGTTAGCATTTACAATGAAGGTCTTCACAGCCACTTCACTTTTAGCAAAATAGGTACAGAGTAAACATAGATAAAACTAAAATTGCTGAACCTCAATACGACTTCTTTTGTAAACGAGCTCCAAACAATTATTGTCTCGCACATATAAAATGCAAAATCACACGAGTAGGCCCGAGACCGCGTAGCGGCCTCGCTGGCTCGTCTCATATAGATATATTCCTAAGAAATACAGAAACACTACAAATTCGTAGCCAGTACGCTTCTCAAATGGCGCCCATAGTGAGCGCGATCGTAACAGGGAACGTATTCGAGCTGTTAGCACCGCCATAGTTCAATGAGCATCTGTGTTCACGGATCACTGTTTGTCACAGTCACTAGCGACGTCCTCGCTGTCCAACACCGGGTGGGTGCACTCGTGCACTAGAGGGCGTCACTTCACACACGCTGTGCGTCAGGATTAGCATTCCAAAACTGTTAGATTGATGTACTGTGGTGAGCTGAGCTCATCGTCCATACTTTTCCACAGTTGAATTCAATGCGCTACCTACATTGAACAAATAGATTATAATAAACAAAAAAATAATAGTTGAACTACAAAGTGGAGATTATGTAGGCAGCGCACAATTCGGTTGGAGGGTATTAGGTGTGAATCAAACGGGATGGTGGCACGGCACAGGGCGGGCCGGCTTATAGGGGTCCGTAGATGATGATGCCAAAGAAGACGGCCCACATGAGCACAATCCATTGCATGCCGTGGAGCCAGTCTAGCAGAGAGCGCTTCTCACCGTCGGAGATCTTGCGCGCGACGAACTTGAGCACCTCGTCGAGCAGCACCACGGGGATAGAGAACTTCATCACAGTCACCCATTCGTCGACCGATAGAGGCGTTACTTGGAATACAGTCTGCGGAAATATCCATTACAAGTGATTTCAATTTTATCATTCGTTTACTTATTACATTACTTACAAGTTGAACGCTGGTGTGTATGGATTCAAATGCATTTATATCATTATATATGTATCAATGATGATCAAATAGATTATTAATTTGTAATTTCAAGGGAGACATGCCACTTAGCGTTTGCCAGTTAGAGACACCTTTATTCAACTTTTATTTCTTCTATCTGTTCCTTCATACTCTTATCTTACATAACAAGTGTACATTCAGCAGCTTTCTCCAGTTTCGTGACCGATTTGGAACTAATAATATATTATATTATATACATAGCTATTATTCACTAGTCATATTATATACTATAGTATAATATGACTAGTAATTAATAGCTGTTTTGGTTATCACGCTGCATTATTTCTAGCTTAATGTCCTTTCAAATCATTATACATCGTTTACGGACGTGCTGAGTGTAGTTGAATACAATAATGATAACCATTGTTTCATATACAGTAGTTTACTTACCGAGAGCACCTCGACATACAGAATGACAAAGTGGAGTGTGAATGAGAGGGCCATGGAGCCGACAAGCCACAGGTTGGACCAGGGTGGCATTGTAATGAGCGACTGGTTCTCTGATAAGCTGTTCATGGCGTTCAACATCTCAATGGTGACAAGTACAGACAGAGCCATGGTCATAGGGTGAGGGTCAGTGAAGATCTTGCAGTCGATTCCCTGTAATTAAAGAAGTTGCAAAAGATTAATGGTTTGGGTACTTACTAGGAACTTCCTGGAGGCTTAATAAGGATAAAAGTTCAATAAAGAATACCCCAGTTGTTAATTATGAATTTATAATGAAGCCTGCAGTAAAATCATATAATAATTAAAATTATTCTTCTTATTGACGAAATATAACAGTGTAGTAATTACACCTAACATCAACTGGAATCGGGATTATATCACTTACTGTAACCGCTATTTGATATCAACTTACTGATTGACAATTACTAAAAATGGTTGTACCTTGAACTCATCACCGCCGCTGAGGCACTGCAGATGGTGAGTGAGTTGCCAGTATGTCATCTGAGGTCCGTAAGGAGAGTACATGAACCACCAAGAGGCAGCGCCAACAGTTGCCGCGCCGACGTATCCACCGATAGCCATATATCTGTCAACCCCCATTATTCAATATATTTGTACAAGATTATTACAAAAAAAAAAAAATGGAGGAAATACTTTGAAAGAAACGGATAAAATAACGCGATAGTTAAAATAAGTTTATTACTGGATTTTTAGATAAACTAAATCATCACGCAGGTTTCCATTAATATATTTATAGCTAGTTATTTGTTTAACCTTCAATAGACTGTTAGAATCAGAAAAAGTAGTTGAAGTTAATAATTTTATGTGTTTTGAATTATACCTGAAGAACAGCCATCCAGAAATGAGACCTTCGTCAGCCTTGCGGGGAGGTTTGTCCATGATGTCAAGATCAGGTGGGTTGAAACCGAGGGCAGTGGCTGGTAAGCCGTCAGTGACCAAGTTGACCCATAGAAGTTGGACGGGAATAAGAGCTTCAGGGAGACCCAGAGCGGCAGTCAAAAAGATGGACACGACTTCACCAATGTTGGATGAGATCAGGTAACGGATGAATTGCTTCATGTTGTTGTAGATAGCACGACCTAGTGACAAGAAAATGCAAAAATCATAAAATATACGGAAGACAGTTTTTATATGTACATTCTGTACGTAATTTTAAGGTGATCACAGAATGCATATGAAAATAATGTATTAAATAAACAAATTCACACTTTACTATTTTATCATAAATATTGAATAACCTTAAAAATCATTATAATCACAAATGATACAGAATAGACTGTAATAATTACAAACCTTCCTCAACAGCGGCGACAATAGATGAGAAGTTGTCATCAGCAAGAACCATTTCCGCGGCAGACTTAGCGACGGCAGTACCAGAGCCCATGGCGATACCGATTTCGGCCTTCTTGAGAGCAGGAGCATCGTTCACACCGTCGCCAGTCTGTAAAATTACACAACGCGTGATTATTACGAACTGAACAGATTGTGGTTATTAGCTCGGCAACGATAACTACGTCTTCCATCGTTTATAAACACAACAGAAACTAACGTAAACATCGAAGCACTGCCAGTAGTACAAAATGTAAACAGCAAATAATATAGGTAGGCGAGTAATGCTTTGATAAATTATAAAGATATTGTTTGCAAAGCCATAAATATTTTTTGGTTCAAATACAATTTATTCCTACAATGTCTAAATTATAAACAAGTTATATGTCAATATACGCATATGTAGTTTATTATTGTTACATGCTACTTTATTATAGGCCTGTATTATGTATAGAATAATACTGGCCTATAATAAATAATAAGATACAGGTCAGATCGATTTGGACGAAATATTGCATATCTGTAGTATTAATTCACATATTTTGTTGTCATCACACAAAAACGACTATAACAATAGTTGTTTGTAGTAGGTTTCATTATAGAAGAGGATACTACCGCATCGACATCAATCTTCAAATATGAACAAAATATAAGACTTATTTATATTCATAATAATTAATAATATTTTAGTACTAACCATAGCAGAGATTTCATTCATGCTTTGCAGGAATTCAACTATCTTGGACTTATGAGCAGGTTCCACACGGGAGAAGAGACGAGCCTTAGCGCAAGCACCACGTTGTTCAGCTACGGGCAGGTCGTCAAACTCACGACCGGAGTAAGATTTGCCAGTTGTATCCTCATCTTCAGTGAAGACGCCAATACGCCTGAAATATGTCATAGGTAATATTATAGATGTCTATTTCTCTAATTATTATTATTGGTAATTAAAATTAAATAAGAAAAGTTTAGTACCTGCAGATAGCCTCAGCGGTAGCCTTGTTGTCGCCAGTGATAACGATTACTCGGATGCCAGCAGCGCGACAACGGACGATTGAGTCGAATACTTCTTTACGGGGAGGGTCCAACATGCCTACGACTCCCACGAAGGTAAGGTTAACTTCATAAGTGTAGAATTTGGTAGAGTCACCAAGGTCCATTTCGTCGGGTTTCAAAGGATTGTCAGCAGTAGCCAGGGCCAAGCAACGCAATGTGTCGCGGCCAGTACCATATTGGCGGGTCAGGTCAAGAATGCGGTTCTTAAGTGTCGAGTTAAGAGGTACCTTGGTAGTACCAACGCGAGCATGGCTGCAACGCTCCAACACACCTTCAGGTGCGCCCTTAACGAACAGTTTGGGACCATTGCCAAGACGGGAAGGCTTAAGGGGTGTGCAGTAAGTGGACATAGATTTCCTGTCACGTGAGAACTCCAGTGTGAATTCTTTCTTCCACTTTGTCTCAATCTCCTGGCGCACAACAATGGCGGAAGAGCGGCGGTCAAGACCGGTTTTGGGAACATTGAAGGGATTCATTTTCTCAGCAAGCACAATGAGGGCGGTTTCAGTAGCTTCACCGACTTTTTCAAAAGCCTGTTTGAATTCGTTGAAATCAATAGCGGAGTCGTTACACATAACGCAAATGGTGCCCAATTCGTGAAGTGCGTCAAATTCAGAAGATTTAACTTTTTGTCCTTTTAGGTAAACGTCGCCAATAGGTTCATAAGTAGAGCCAGTGATTTCGAATTCCAAGAAGTTGCTGTCACCAGCTTCAATCTTCTCGAAGATGAACATACGAGAAACAGACATCTGATTGGTTGTCAAGGTGCCGGTCTTATCAGAGCAAATAACGGAGGTGCAACCAAGAGTTTCTACAGAGGGCAGTGACCTGACAATAGCGTTCTTCTTGGCCATTCTCCTGGTACCCAAAGCGAGACAAGTGGTAATTACAGCGGGCAAACCTTCAGGAATAGCAGCGACAGCCAGAGCGACGGCGATCTTGAAATAGTAGACAGCGCCCTTGATCCAGCTTCCACCGTGAGCGGGATCATTGAAATGGCCAATGTTTATAGCCCATACGGCAACGCAAATAACAGAGATTACTTTAGACAGCTGCTCACCGAACTCATCGAGTTTTTGTTGCAGGGGTGTCTTGATCTCCTCAGTCTCGGACATTTCTGTACGGATTTTACCGATGGCAGTGTTAAGTCCAGTTCCAATGACAATACCACGGGCTTTGCCGGCGGCGACGTTGGTACCAGAAAAGAGAATGTTCTTTTTGTCCTGATTGACAGCGCGGGGGTCGGGAATGGCATCGGTGTGCTTGATAACGGAAACGGACTCACCAGTCAGGATAGACTGGTCAATACGGATCGTGGTGGAGTAAATCTTAATTAGGCGGATATCGGCGGGAATTTTGTCACCGACGGACACCTCTACGATGTCACCGGGAACTATTTCTTTCGCTCGAATTTTCTGTACGCCTGACTTATCTCCTCTTATGACTTTACCCATTTCAGGTTCGTATTCCTTTAAAGCTTCGATGGCGGATTCGGCATTTCTTTCCTGCCATACTCCTACTACAGCGTTAGCAATAAGAATTAGTAAAATAACGAAGGGTTCTACAAACGCGGAGAAAGCGTCTTCATGTTCTTCAAATAAAGCTAAAACCTGCAAACGCAATACCACTAATTAATAAAATAATGACCGAGATTATATTATTAAAATCGGGATATTTTTTGACCGAAGAAATATACTTACGAAAGATATAATAGCGGCTAACAACAAAATCTTCACTAAGAGGTCATCAAATTGTTCCAGGACTAACTGCCATATACTTTTGCCTATAAGAATAAAATAAGATTTGCTTATAGTAAGGTGCCTTTCAATCTCTAATTTTCAATTACCTAAGTACCCTTTTAATCCCAAAGTTTCAATTACGTAAGTACCAAGTGTCGTAATTATGTAGGTACGTGTTTTATACCCTCGAATACAAAAACCAAAGTCGATTACGTTAGGAAACTTACAGGCGTAGCGGCCTTTTAAAAATAGATTGGTTTATATTGAAAAGAACAAAAGATATGCTCAAGTGAGTCTAGCTCTCAGTATCGAGAGAATATTAAGTAGGTCAAGTTGGTATAGGTGATAAGACATTTTCTTTTATTTTGCAAGTAAAGTGTGGCAATTTAATTTCGATGGTAATTTATTATAGGATACAGAACCGCAAATTTGTCTAAAGATAATTGTTAGAAACTTTAATAATTATTGGGATCTCAATTTAATAATGTGATTTATTCAAGGTAATTGAATTTATTAAGAAAAAAGAAAAGTAGAGATTATTGCATTTTTTACTTGGTTTAATATAAATCGTACAAACTCGTACGGATCTCTGGACTATTTACTGAACTCTATGCATGACATGTAGCAAACTTAAAATATCGTAGTTAAGAAATTTTGATTTTCATTTATGTAAATTTAATATGCATTAGAAAAAATAAAATCGTAAAAACAAAATAATACGTATAAGCTTTTATTTGTGTCGGTGCTTACCTTCTTCAGCAGGCAGTTCTGTAAAGAGGAAAGAACCATAATTAGAGATTTGATTAAAACATCAAAGGAGTACATTTAACAGACGATAAACCAGTCAGAGCAGGCATGCGATCTATCTCGGCAGTTACGATCGTACATAAATACACTACCCAGTCGAATAGGCGAGTTAGCCACAGCGTATTGGTGCGTCCGTCGCGGCGACTTTCAGCTTTACCTACATCGGTTTCTATCAATACGTTTGTATACACTAATGGGTATGAAGTGAAACGAATAAATCAACTACTTAATAAATCTCCGCACCGTTCATCACCACTCCTCGAAATATTAAATAAAGCGATAATATTTCAATTATCTTACAATTTCCATGAAAGAACAAAAATTACCGACTAGGCTAATTAAACATATCGATGGGAGAGAAGGTAAATTTTAAAATAAAACCCTACAAACAAGCGTGGTGATATTATGATATGGTCAATAAAAGTACTACGATATATATATGTAACAGAATTCTAAAATAAGAAAACAGCAGTTTTCAGAATTATTTTAAAATAATACGACTAAGTGCAAATAGCATTATCGAAGGTTTGTATTAATTTACAAACATACGAATTTAATTTGCCTATATAGACGAAAACAATTTTATTTGTTAATTTGATTTGGATTCGGTTAAAATCCTTTTTAAACTCTTTAAATTTTATTATATATATATACATATATAGACTTAACAGTCGGAGTTCAGATATAGACGCTTATGTGTTAACTTAAGGCAATAATTAGAAATGCAAATTAGATGCAGTATTTAAATGAAATATATATAATAAAGGTCAGTGTTTCGTGCGGTGAACTATGCGATCCTGCTCGATGAAATGTTCCCATTCAATAAAAAAACTATATTATCATGTAATTACCTGTATAAATTCAACTTAGTTTCTATCAAATCAGCTAAGTTTACAAACAAATCCATTATCTTAATCCGTTTGTACAATCAGGAAGTTATCATAGACATCGATTATTGTAATCTTTATCTATAAATATCTACGTCGTTGTAGGTAGCAAGTTTAGTCTAGCATTGATACACAATACCATTAAATCGCGATAAGGATACAGTTTCACTAATTAAAAAAAAAAGTATGTTCCCAATTAATATATAAAATATACAGAGTTAGGAAAAAAAAGTCATGAGCCAACATAAGCGGAAGTTCTGTACATATAAAAACATGGCGACGTGAATTTAGTATAAGAAAAGGACAATTCACACTGCGCCATCTAGCCCCAAGCTAAACAGGACTTGAGTGTGTGGTACTAATAAACAGATATAAATAATTGGACTTATTTAAATTTTATACATAGTATACATTGAAAACATCAAAATCAATATATACAACCATACTCATGAATAAAAACGTTTACATTGTGCGAAAAATCAAAGCCGTGACTATCTTAAATAAATTGGTATGCTAAACCATTTAACCACAGAAGCTGTCATGCTCGTCATCAGATTATGAAAGCATACTTTAAAAATTTACATTTACAATATATATTGTATTAAAAATATCAGTATTTAGGTTTTTTGTAATAAATAATACTTTAAAGAAATACTACTTGTAACTGGATGATGTTACGGCTACCGTGTAATAGTAGATATGCCTGTCACACAGCTGTGGCGTAACGTATTCAATGACCTTACTACGTAGCTATGTACTCACTACTTTGACGTAATAAACAACGTTTACCATACACTTCGGAGTCAATTGTTCTAACCAAGTCAAGTGTCGTAGGCAGAATGTTTGACTTTAATTAATGAATCTATTGCTGATTAATGTAGTTCTTATAATAAACTTTTATGTCCTACATTTGATTCCGGCGTGACTACTGTTGCGCATATAACTTTAATTTATTATAATAATATAATTATACAAAGCCAAGGTGCTCTTTTTGTCAATCTATTAGATTATTTCTTCTAACAAAATTCATTGTCTGAGTGACAATGAATTTTGTTACGGTTTCAGCTATCATGTTGATAATTTTGAGAACATTTATATGTAGAAAATATACATATAATAATATTAGCTCTGGTACACTAAAGGTACCTACGTACGAAGCCGCTGGTGGGTTGCTAGTTTATTTTTATAGACAAGGATCAACTATCAACATTTGCTGGTGGATCGAGACTAAAATATAATAATTTGTGAAACAATATAATTTTTAAATGAAAAACGTGCATGGTGTTCATTTTTAATACAAAACTAACATACATATAATCATAGACTTAAGTAGTAGTACAATATTAGTTTGTGTTGGCGACCGACCGCCGAACTCTTTTGATATTTTTATTATTTTTAAATTTATATTTTTGAAGAGTTCTTTTTTATATGTCATGTTATTTGATATACTTCAATTTATTGTATCATTCTCTTATTGTCTTTCGTATAGTTCGCAATTGCACATATTAATATATTATATTATTGCAAACTACGTGTTTTCATCATTTAGACACCCATACAGTCCACCGATCCATTACAGTTTGAGTTCTCAATTAAAACTGTCACCAGAACTGAACGAGAATATTATGAAATAACTAGCTGATACGATTAATATTGTTTTGCCATATAAATATATTTCTGTATAGAGCCACCATTATCATCTGGGGGTATAAAAAAATAGTCTTAGATCTATTCTCAGACCTATGAAATATAAATAAAACAATCCATAAAAAAACGAGATCAATAATAATCACTGTGACACAAGTTTTTTATATATTAGAAATAAAAAACTGACGCGAATAAGTGGCTAAAATATTCTACGTCAATAAATGCTTTAGAGTTTACAGTTTACATTTCACCTACCGCATATGCCCTTTGACTCATCTCGATAGTATATAAATTAGCCAAATATAGTTTAGAGTTAGGAGTGATAAGTGTATTAGCGGCTTTGAATACAATTAAGTTTTAATAATGAGGTTTAGTTAGCCAACGTGTATTACGTTCTTACGGCTCTATTTGCGGTAGAATCTAGTAGGTAGCAACGTATCGATGAATACGTAGGCATTTGCAATTAGTTGACTTATCGACAAAGCTGTATCAGTAACACTGAATATAGACGACTGATCAACTTTACACAGAATAAAATCATAAAAGTGTGACGACGCGAAAACTGTTTCTGAGGTTTCAATAAACGGTACGGGAAATTTGGATATGAAATTTTCACAGAATGTGTTAATAAATGTAAACATAAAGAAATTTTAGTAAAAACCCCAGAGGTAAAAATCCTTAAAAACCACTTGCCATTCCTTTTAAAATACGTTTGTAATTGAAGAGTAGAATGGCGTATAAATGCTTTATTTTTATAATTTTATAATCGTCAATATATGACGTCTATATATGTAGATGAGTACGAAGTCGCGGGCATCACTAGTTAAAATAAAACCAATGACGATGCAAAACTTGCTCTGTCTGTCTTGACATCCAAGATATCCTAAAAGAGGCCTGCGTCAAACTGTGTACGTGCCTCGACTATGTATTTCATAAAACAATACACAATAATCACGTATAGTTATGAAAGTCCGGCACGTTAATGCAGTCATAAAATTTTTGCATAATTTTCATAACCGTACATATAATACAGATATGGAACATTGATTGAGAGGTTTGTTTGTTATAGCTAGTTAAAGGCGGAGTGAGACTAAAAGAACAAACTACAATTCGCTTCTGCTATGGATTCTGTATGAAGTGTATAATTTCGATACGTAAATAGGGTTTGGTTCGAGGTAAAATACTAATAATATTTAGATAGCGTACATAAAAATTGAATGGTTTTTGTCAATTTTAAAATTTATTCACGCTACCGTATTAATTGTACAATTACAACATAGAATTAGGTCTGAAACTAAAAAATGCAAAACAACATTGTTCGCGAACGTAAGCCACGACGAGAAGAGCCCCTAGAAGATATCATGTGAAATGTTATAAAAATTTAAATACTAATGTAGGATTTGGGGAGAAATTAACGTTTGGTATAAAACAACCTTTAAGTCATTGCTAACGTAACAATAGTGCTATTTACCCGCTGTATTGAGATGTTACAGGTGGCACTAGCGTCCTTGACTTCAATTGTGCCATTAGACAAGTTAGGAGGCGAATCGTTTAACCTTTAATCTATTAATGAAATTCAGGACAATTAGGATATGTTCATGGGCTTTAGGTAATATTTCTATACACATACCTATAATGACAATAGTTAAATCTACTTATTATAATCGCGTAAGTTTGTGAGTATGGATGGATGTTTGTTACCGTTTCACGCAAAAACTACTTCTTGTTAAAACTTTGTAGAAGAACAGACACGCTTTCGAGGATTCCATTCGACCTAAATTACTTTTATTCTTTCTATTAATTAATTCTTAAACACTTGTCTTTCGTTAACATATTTTTTTTAGCTAATTAGTATTTGTTATAATTAGTAATTGCAGCCACTATAATAGCTCAAATAGAACTTTTGTAATTATGATTCCAATTCCATTCAACAAATTAACCGAGTTACTTGAATATGGAAAGTGAACGATTGTGTTAACTTGTGTTGACTGTACGTCGTCGGCAGCGTGCGTAGCCGTAACACGCTAACGTAGGCCGTCTAAAATAAACCTGTGCATTTATCTGTATAGTATTTCAACATCTAGGCACTTCGCGAGCCTGCACTGTGAGCCGGCGGTAATCCCGGCGGCCATTATCTCGTCGATCCGGTTCTTACGTATTTTCTAACTAGCTCTTATCCGCAACTTCGTCTGCTTGTTTTGACACTAAAAGATGGTCTATGCCCGTCCTTGTAATACAATCCATCCTCTAAATTTCGTACAGATTTATTCAGTCGTTTAGTCGTAAAAACAACATATATAACCGTCGATTCGTATAGATTTCATAACATGGAACTATCCATATTGTAATAGACGCCTGTTGCAGATTTGGTAGAATGGTGCGAAATGTGCGGACAAGATGTTTAGGCAAGACTAACAAGTTAAATAAATTGGTCACACAGACAGCAACACATGATTAAGGATTATTTAAAACTTAATACATAGTTGTAACTCGCAGTTTTCCTGTGTTAATTTACATAAGTCACGTGTGGAGTGCTAACCAGTTTCATTAAAATCCATTACATTTCATTGGTGGAGGTTTCGAAAATTTGATACTGATTTTTTTTAATTACAACAGTTTAAAGTTTGGTATAATATGTGTTTATAGCACCTAAAAGAACTAATAAATATAATACAGGATTGTACGGAATAGACCATATTTGCAATTGAATTATGAGTGTAAACTGTGTCACTTTATCGGCTTTAAGTGCGTTGTGACTTAGGCACACCATATGTACCGTAATAAAGAATGTACCGTGTATAATTCTAGGACGTACCATAAAAGAACATTATTTTCCAAAGTTCAGTCTCAATGGTGAGTTTTTTATTTGCTCCAATTAATGCGATTTCAAAATTTGCTTGTACGGTTTTTTATGAATAAATATAAATGTATATTTGCAACGTATACATATGTATATGATACATGATCTGTATATTTATGACATCTGTCTCTCTAAAGTACACAGGTATTTTCTACATAGATTTCTATCTACATATTATCTGTCAGTTGTCTAATATCTACAGTATAGGCTCTGCTCATGTTAAGCTAAATGGTGTTGTGCGATATCGACTGTAGATCGGGTATTTATTATTTCACTAATACATATTATTTGATACTTTGCATTGTGACTGAAGCACGGGGAAAGACGTGTGGTTTACATTATCTATTCAGAACCTAAATATCTGTAGGAAGAGTTCGAGGTCGTTTAATAAACAACAGATACAAACTACGTCGGCGAAAAATTTTGCATCTGTTATAAACACGGATAGTGAAATGTAGGTAAGTTAAAATTAAAATAAGAGGGCGTGACAAAGTAAGAAAATATACTGAAGGCAATTCGTTAGAATCGATAACGAGTGATAGCTGTAGGGTCTATACTAGAAAAATTTCTAAGGTTTCATGTATATGAAGGCAATATACAAATCAGTAGACAATTTTAAATAAAATACGTAAAACAGGGGGATGTGAGTCTACCCGTTATAGAGATAATCCAATGAGAAATGTAAATGTGATGTTGAGTCCATGATGATAGAAGAGATTTTAATGATGTTGAAACTGTTAGATATTCTTTATTTGATTCAATTCTCATAACTCTATCTAAATTTAAGAGGCTTTAGAAAGTTCGACAGAATACAGGTGAGATATTACGTTAAATTGACCATTAAATCCCATCGTCAACTCTGTCTATATTTATAGTAAGGCGAACGTCAATATGCACGCATCGGCGATATTGTTACGCTTCAGGGCACGTTCCCGCCTGTGTTCGAGCGCACGCACCACTGACATGCCCTGTAGTCCGCCCTGTTCAGCGGTCACTCTCATTTGACTATAAATAAAAAACTGACGCACTAGTACACATCTCCCGTCCATCTCGGGCCAAGGGTCCAATTGGCGTTTAATGATAAAATATAAGATGAGCTGTGACCGGCAACACATAAATCAATTTGATGATTCGATGTCAATATTATTAGGCTCATTGATCGAATAATGTAAAACTAAATAATATGATCAACATTATAGATGTTATTTTATTGATTAGAGCTTTCAATTAAGATTTCTTAACAAATTTCCTTTGTACAGTGTCACAGTATCGTTAATATAATACTTTCGCATCTGTCACATTAGACGAGGATTCGATAAAAACATATCCATTAAATGAGAGGTTTTCATAAATGTAATCAAGTGTTACTGTTTTTATTACAGTTTATCTTTAACAAGATAACCACTGAATTGTGGATTTAAATTGCCTTTTCTCACTGTATATTTCAATATTTATTTTAATGATCTCGTTTAGGGTTTCTAGTATTAAACAATATAATAGTAAAATCAAGCATATATGTCAGAAACTTTAAAAATAATTAAACTACATTTTTAGTTTTATTGATAACTAGGTACTCTCTTCGGCTCCGGCTTCGCCCGAGTGTACACGTATTATATATATAAACTTTCCTCTAGAATCACTCTGTTATAAAAAAAAACGCTTCAAAATCCGTTGCGTAGTTTTAAAGATTTAAGCATACATAGGTACAGACAGCGAGAGCGACTTTATTTTATATAATGTAATGATAATACTATAATATAGCATCATATATCTATTAATAGAATATCTAGCAGTATACCAACAATTACAATAATTACTTATTTTACAATACAGTACAAAGATTTTGTTAAGATGTTCTGATTAACACAGTTTGCTGACGTATATTGTAAAAATGCCTAATTAATATATTTAATGTAACATCAGGAAAACAACCATTATGAATGAGGTAAAACAATAATTGATTGTGCGAAATGCCAATTAGCACTCACATGATGACATGACTGTTAGAAATATAATGTGTGTTTTGGAAAAACGCACATTTATTAGATTGTTAACTTGTAGGTATTACTATAGTGTGAGCAAAACAGAACTCCTATTGTGTATTCTATATTAGGCCTTTTGAGGTCAGGTTTTCAGTTGTATAATTTTCTATCAATAGCAAATAACTTCAATTATGGACATGTATATTTTCATGTGACATGTAATTCATACAGTTCACATTAGGTTTTTTATTTCTATCAAGATATTAATTATTTATTTAAAGTTAATAACTTTGTATAGACCACTATCAATTTTAAAGCTATTGTATATAAAATATAAGTAACTGTGCTGGCTCATTAGTATAAAATAAAATATACTTCAGATAATTGGGTTAAAGAAGCTTTGAAGACTACTATTCAAGTTCTCCTAATTGTTCACAACATAATATTATTAATTACTATGGAAATTAAATTATTAAGTTTATTATAGAGAGTATTTTGAAACTGTATACTCTGGATTCTATTGTTGTTATTTATTAAAATTGTATAATCAAAGTCCAAGTACAACATATTACCCTGGCGTTACTTTATTTTTAAATACAGTTGTCAACACAGGATGATTCATGGCTGATTCTATCCAACTGGCAAAGCTTCAAGTAACCCTGACTGATAGCTCAACATTCACAACTACCTAAAAGGAGTGGGTGGCAATTAAATTGCTATATGCAACAGTTTATTGATAAGTAAAATTAGAAGATCTCATTGTGTTAATAGAATCATGATTTAATTATACTATATCCATTAATGTTTTATTACATTCCTTATATTAATTCAGTTGTTCACATGGAAATATCTCAAATGTAGTAAGTAAAGTCAAATATTAATTTTTAATACACTGACAAAAACGGAGTGTTTCTAAAAAAAGTTACATTATTTGTTAAGTATTTGAAAATGGGTACAATTGGAGATTGATACATACAACATATATTTCTAAGTGTTAACAATGTTAACATTATAATTAAAGAGAAAAAATACAAGGTATTATAACTGTGTTAGAAGACAATAATAAGGAGAATAGTTAATAGTAAAACTGAAATATATTGCAAGTTACTAGCTACTAGCTTGGTAGCAAAAGATAAGAAGTGTTAATGACCTGTTGTAATAAACAAAATAATTAGAAATTTGGTTACTAGACAGCATGTCAAAAATGATGGATTAAGATGAATTTTCATTTAATATTTGCATAACACAATTTTATAAGTATCTTAGTATTCATAAGGAATAGACATTTCTTTGATATAAGATATAAGAATGTGTGAATGGGTTTAATTACCTTATCATGTTAACAAACAAGAAGACAGGCTTACAATGAAGATAGTAAATAAAAGTACTAAGTCTAACTATGGTGTGCTCAAACAATAACTTTTTATGGTTTTGTAAACTAATTTAGAAATATAAATATGAACAATTAAGTACATAAATTATATTTTAAAAAGTAGGCATCAGAAAATAAAGTACAATTTTATCATTTTAGTCAAAAATATTTAGATTCCATATTATTAAGAAGCTGACTGATGAATTTCATGTCACATAACACATGTTTTGTATTTATTATTTACATTCTCTTGATTTTAATAATTGTGTAGTTTATGTATGTAAGGTTTAAGAAAAAAGTAATGTGAAATAATTTAATCTAAAAGATGTTTATAAATTTATGTTTTAGTTATTATTACTAGTATTTTAGCCACCTGTTCTTACCATCATCTTACATTTTCTTTAGTAGTTTACAATGTAGGTGCAGCAGCTTATCTATGGTAAAGTTACTACATAAAATAAGTATTGCTCTGAATGGTTTATCTACTAAAATAATAAATAACTAAAGTAGAACTGACTTATATAAGGGTACTTACCATTTGGGCCATATTTCTCTTGGTTCCTTTTGATTTGGTCTGGACTAAGGCCTTTGTCTGGATCTGTTCCAAAATATCCTAAGACTTCATCCACGGATTTCGAGTGAGCGTCCTCCATGGTGGAATTACTACGTTGCCGTCAGTTCTAGAAGGTAAGAAGAGAATATAGGTTAGAAGTGACGAGTCATCATTTTAAGTTATAATATTTTGAGGTTATATTGTATATAGCTATACTATTAAAATCATGATTAAAGAATTGTTTTTACGTGCCAGGGTTACGCTATTTTAAAGGTATTCTATTTCATATTAAACGTCAATTATCTTCTGGAATATATAGAAATAGACACTTGTAGGTTGTAGCAATTACAAAGTTACAGATCGTGGCTAGTAGCTTTAAGTACATAAGAAATCACTGATCTATTCTTTATGACGCAGATGAAAAAAATATGTAGAACAAGTAAGTTATTTATTGGGTTAACTAGCGATTTCCTAGATCGTAAGCACCGTTTGATCACTGCACCACTCACCTAGAATTTTTTATTATACATGAGAAAAGACAGTCTCCAAATTAGTTTCACTTAATTTAGAAAGTCGGAGTCTTAGTCTATACAGTAAAATAACTAAATTTTGTACTAAGCTAATACTTTTTCTCGTAAATATCATAAACTATAAGAACACGTAACTAAATCAGCCGTCATTTTTTCGTAAACTGACGTAGAAAAAGTGTTTGCTAGTGCTGCCACCTGTGTGACACATCCTGAACTATATCAATCACATGAGAAACTTTTAAAATTATAATTCCTTAATATACACCGAATAAAATTATTTACATAACGTCCAACTTCAAAATATAATAAAATGTATCATGTATTTTTAATCCGCATATATTATGAATATATTTAATTTATTAGCACTCATAAATGTGGAGCGATGCTATAGGTTGAAATTGTACCACGTGATCCAATGCTATTTTCGTATTTTAGGCGCCTACAAATTGCGGTATTTTTAAAATTCAGAAGTTTGTTTCGCGTTATGTAACACTTTGTCACTTTTTAATATTCACTTATTATTTATAACTTAGGGCACTTAATACAACACATGAAGTTAATCCGCGCGCGAAGTATTTATGGGTGTATTATGAACTTACTGGTATATTTTTTTCGACAGCGTCGGGAAGGAAAGAAGAAATAAGAGTGGCGCGGGAGATGTTTTCCCTCCGCGCCCCGAGTAGCGACTCCCGGGCTAAGAGCGACGATTTTAGAGCGGCGCGGGCGCGGTGGAGGGACACAGACGGAGATTTCTTTAATTATTTTGGCAACAGTACTCGGTGGCACAGCCGAGTCGTTTTCCAGGGTTGCATGTCGCACGGCGGCCGTCGCCGTCCGTCCTATGATGATCTTTTTATAGCGGCCGCTGCCCGGGACGAGCTCTCAGCTCTAGGCTGGAGTACGGTAGTTTTATGCATCGATTATTAAAGAGCTTATAACAATAATTAGTTATGGCCTTTTTATGAGGTAATATTAACGATAACGAATCTAGATTAATAAAATGTTATTTCGTATAGTTTTCATGGACAGGTGCTAGGATTAATTGAGTAAACCTTGTAAGCAATGTTTTGAGCTCAAATTTTAATTAGAAAAGGACTAAGCTAACTAGCTCACAATTAAAGACTGCTTTTTAATCAATGCCTTAAACTTTAGGGCATTGATTAAAAAGCAGTCTTTAATTGTGACAAAATTAGACTGACCAAAATAATGAATATCGGTGCAGTATTGGCCAAGATAGGCACGTCACGTAAACAAAAAATACAATTGAATTTAATCTTCCGTGGACTGTAACCTCTACCTTGAAGGTGGTAGAAAAACTGATGATATTTATTAGGGGTAGATACCAAAATTATGATAACTATTTAATTTACACGGGATGACGACATGCATTTCTTCAATGGTTGACAGCATCTGTCACCAGTATGCATGAAGAGCACCACGGACATCAGGTTATCATGTAACCAATGGTGTCCCTCATGCGATAACATTCCGGAGGACTGATAGCTTCCGTGAACGTAATTTCAAACTCTTAATACATGTATGCGAGTTGTTTGTATTAGGTAAAAATGAATCCAAAAAGAGAAATATTGGTTTCTGCAGATATTCTTTTTTCTTCTTCCTAGTCTATAGTCCATAATTGTTCGCATTATACTAATATAATGCGAATAATTATAGATTCAATTTTAAATTTACTTAATTAAAATATAGCCTGTATTTTAGTTAGGTAAATTTAAAATTATCTTCTATCTTAAAAGTGATACACCTAGTAAATTATTAATCGTTAATGTTTTTCATTCGAGATCAAGAGGTAAGTAGCATCCATAACGCTTTATTTTAATATACGGGGATGCATTTTTCCACTTTTAAGTTGGATATTTCTTTGTTTATACTGTTATTTAGATAATGTTGTACTTCATAATGATAATAGTGGGCGAACCCTTTATTGTACCTACTTGTATTACTCCAGAATATTTTATACTATTAATTTATGGACAGATAGTATAATACATTTGTTATCTAGCTATGACCTAATTATTGAGATGTTGTAAACTAGATAATTAGATTTGCATTTGGAGCATGGCCGACCAATGTTATATGGTGTAGTAGTTGTTGCCAAACTACCCTGATGTGACTTTGATTAAAGTGGATGCATTTTTCATTTTGAATAACTATTGGAAGACATAGGTATGTACGTAATAAACACTATAAAGATATCTAATATACCTATACTAAGATTAAAAGAGTTTTTAAAAATGTGATACATTTATCAATATTGAAAAAATAGAACAAAATCAACATAGGGAATACTATAGACTAGGAAGAAAAATATTTCCAGAAACAACAATATGTCTCTTTTTGGAAGACAGCTCAGAACATCTTAATACGTTATATGGCGTGTATTTTTTGTGTATTGTTTATGGTCTGTTTTGAATTTTGAATATATAAACTTGGCTATTCGTGTAAGTTTATTTGGTTATTTCTTTTTATTACAGGCGATCAATATAATGCATAGATAAGCGTCGTCCAAGTACAGAAGCATTATATAGTATAGTACAATATATCATATTATTAATATTATAAACGCGAAAGTTTGTGAGTATGGATGGATGTTTGTTACTCTTTCACGTAAAAACTACTGAACGGATTTTGATGAAACTTTGCAGTAATATAGTTTATACATCAGAATAACATATAGCCTATAAATTTTACGCGGTTTAAACTGCGGGCACAGCAAGTATGAAATAATTTTATTTTTTATGTAAAACATGTACTCTTATATGTGTATAACATACGACTCTACAATTTAAGTTCGAACTCTGCTCATATCTCCGGCAAAATGCTGGAATATATCTTCTGGAATTATCTATTTTATATCTTTATAATTACAAGATAGCAAAAGTAACAAAAGATATAAGAACTATAATTCGAACTGTATTTCATTTAAAAAGAATTTAGTTACTATTCTTTTTTCAATTGTTTTCTAATGTACATTTTTATAAAGATTTAAATAAAGTAATATTTTAGAATTTGCCATTGTCGTGAAATGTTTGTTAGTATTTATGCATTCCATTTTAATATGACATACTAGTAGAGGATTCACAATAACAGTATAGAGATTTAAGAAAATATAATATCTGTTGATTTCCCTAAATAAAATCTAGAATGTAGTGTGGTGACTGGTGAGCTTAAAAAGTGAATTTACGATATCGGTCTCCCGGCGACCACGACAAAAATGTCAGCCTTGTGTCTAAAGCACTTGAAATATATTTGGGGAGTGAAAATAGAAAATCACAGGGAACAGTTGAATGCCAATGTTAACGTCTATTTCGGTAGCTGGAATAAAAGTGTGTAGATCATAACTACGTCATTCAAATTGAATGAAACGTGTTAATTAAAGTTTTTTTACAAATAATACGAACAAAGAGATTTTGTATAGAATATTAAACGACGACTAATGAAAAATTTATTATTATGAAAATAATTATGTAGGAGTAGTCCTAAACCCAAATAACGAAATGTAATAAAAAGAAACTGTTTCATGGATTATTGGGAGATATTTTAATTTCATCTGTGTGATGGTATTTTTTGACTTCTCTATATCTCTGTTTTCTCATTAAAAAAAAATTGCTTCAACATTTTTTGTAGTTTAAGGAGTCGAAACAATAAAATTTAATGCATCTATCAAGACATTAAATTTTGCTATTATTTTTTATATGTTTATCTTATTTATATATAAATGAATTTATAAATTGATAACTTAGATCTTATTTAATAAATAAAAACATGTTATCAAGATTATTTAATCTACTTGACAAATATTGTGGTATAATGGTTTGTCACTGCTTATTATGCTGAGGCAGTAGCATCCAATAGCTGGAAGTTAGAAGCTCTTACAATAGACACATTTGTGTACTACAGTAAAAAAAAATACTAGAAATACTATAGGTTACAACCTATAGTATTTCTAGTAATTTTTTTTATAAATCTTCAGTATATTTTTAATATATTCTGTAAAAAACATTAAAATATTTCTAACAGGTATTTAGTGCACTTACTATGATACTTTTGGAACTCGATGGCGCTTGTAACATATTGTAAGATGGTACTTTGTAATTCATCCAACATTACATAGCACCATCTAGGTTTATTCTAGGTATATTTACTACAACATGTTATCAAGAGATTTTTTATACTTATTATGCATTTATGCATATTTAGGATGCTTGTGCCACACATGTAGCTGTAGTTACACAGCTTTTAGGAATCTCAGTAATACATAAGTGTAGACAGTATTCATAGGTTACGGTAACTATTTACCTATAGAATTCGTGAATACCGCGTGAATTTATGCTATATCGAAAGTAAGATTTGTTTATGAGTCCATCCATCAAGAGTTATTACAGTCTCGTCTATAGTCAGTTGAAACAATTGTTAAAATAATATGATGAATAATAGGAATTTACCGAAGACTAAAAAAATAAACTGTTTTCAAATTCAATTTCGCATTTTTAAATTACACAAATGTTTCTTTCTGAATAGACTCAGCCTACGTGACGTATCTAGAAAAGGTATACCAGATATAAATACTTTAGGTAGCGGTATTAAGAATTAACATAAAAAAAGTTCTCTTAACTGAAGTATTGTTGTACAAATGTTGATTGGAAGATGTGAATGGCATGTTTTAATAATTACCCTAAATAGTTATTATTATAATAATAACCTAGGACAATTCACACTACGCTATTACCTATATCTAGACCAATATAGACAATCATGTTTATGTGTACAATGTTTGTACCGTGCAATGAATCGAACTCGCTACCATCGGAAGTAAAATGGTGTGCTAAATAGTTAGACCACTGAGGCCGTTACATTATGTAATCAATTTGATGTTCTTTAATCTAGATTAAGGTTGATGATTATTACGAAATGTTTTTCAATTGTATGCCCTATGAATACTTTAGCCACAGCCATAGGTATGTATGATAGCTATATCTAGCCAACAACTGGTTGTCTCTACTCCGATTTGCCAAAAATATGATTACGACACGATGGAATAGTATAATTCTATTTCGACTATTACCTTCGCCCGTTTATTTGTAGATGACGAATCGCCTTACGAATATACGTACAGGTCTGAGTACTTACATCTTGGTGCGTACGCCAGTTCTCGTTACATTATCTTTGGAATTTTAAAAGCATGGTTTATAAGAAATATTACGTAGGTACGCTCCTAACCTCTCATATACTTCCGCGATGTATTTAATTGACTTCTTGCCATATAATCGGGTAAGTTCATCACTGAATAGTTGTTAAAGGTGTTTGTTAGGAACTTATTCGCTATTGTGACTGAAACTGAAATCCGCGCATTAATTATGTAACAATTCGTGATTTTAGCGGATTAAAGCGGATACGAGTTCATTTGTACTGTTTTATCACAATTTTTATGTCAAGTTGGTATGTAAGTAAAAGAGCTCATCTTTTGACCATAACCTTAAAGATATTAAGTGACTGAGATCTAAGATATTTCACGCAAATTCTAATATTAGTCCATAGTAACCAGTAATTTCAAATAAAAAGTTTTCGTATACGGAATAAAAATTGCAATTAAATTCTTTAATATTACTAGACATTTCATTATACTGTGTATTGATAGATTATGTATGTATACTTATTACCAGTATTAAGAACGATGAGAGCAATATGAATACGTAATATTACCAGTTAAGTACTGATCCATATTGTTCTTATGGTATATGTGAGAGGGAATGGATACACGCCATGGAATTCGTCATCTTACAATTTACAGCACATATACCTGACGGACCGCGTGGAAATCGACTACGGGACCCTTGGTAACCACTGCGGGCCATATGTGATGAATTCATCATGATGGCTTATGATCTGACCTTATGCTCATCTTTTTATCCTTCACTGATGTTCTGCCAGCGTATATTGTTAGCGGAAGCGACCGTACAATTCCACCAAATCATTATCCATTAAAATAATCATAAGGAGCTGCTGTGTGATTTTTCAAAGGACATATTAGACACGTTAGTTGAGTATTATGGAAGTCCAGTCTGATTCAGAAAATGTCTTCTTTTATATATGCTACATAATATGATTAATATAGCGTACAATTATATAACAGAATTTTAGTTTTGTTTAGTTAACACTAAGCGTTAGGTTTTTTTATTGTACGTTATTTATAACATTTCTATGACGGAGTTTAGGTAGATCGATAATTAAGACATTCTTCGATTCAAGTATTGATTATTAAAACAATTCTCATAATATATGTGCTGTACCTACTCCTCTATTTATATATTTATACAAACTACATTAATAACTAAACCAATAAATAATAAATCGGAAACTTCATAATAATATTGTTTAATAGGCACCTGAACGACACTTAGTGTGAAGAGGCCGAGATCAAACATAATTCTACGTAAGTCGGTATAAGCGTACGCAACGAATGATATAATATTAGATATTGGTATATGAAACTAACGCATCTGTATTTCTATAATGTGTTTATAACGGCGTGTATTGACGTCAGTGAATAAGTATATTAGGTGCTTTGTTTGAATATTTGTGGTTTTCAATCTGAAATGAAGAGTATTTTTACAGCTGCCAGTGGATAACTGCACGAAATAAACAGTAATCATCATAATCCCGTCTGAAAGCGTATACACTGCAGATACTGTCCAGTTTTACTGCGTTATCTATTTGTACTTTAAATAAATATATTCTCAAGTCATTATCTATGTTATTTTATACCCGTCATCGGGGGTGACAAACAACTAAGGTCAGATATAAATTTTACAGCGACCTACTATGTAAGCACTATGCCAAGAAGCTAATTAAATCCAGGGTTTGTAGTGCAACAGTTTGCAGTGAAATAAGTCTCTTAATATAGTTTGAAACAGTAAAAAGTATAGGGTATCCAGAAGCAAGTAAGTGAAGCCTGTTATACTATTCGTGTACCTATATATTAAGGTATATAGGTACACGAATAGTGTTGCCACTATAATAAGTATAAAATATAATTTGACATATCGTAGTGAATTTAATTAATGTATCGTAAATCCTTAAAGGATCCTTACGATATGTAGTACTAATTAGTTTTGGAAATTGATTCTCAGATCACTTTCATTTCTGGCAATACTTGTTACTGTCGTACTATATACACTTATAATCATCAAACTGTACAGGCAGCTTTAACGTAACATCCAAAATATGTTAATTTGGGAAACACTAAGTCCATATTTCTTCTTGTAGTCCACACAACCGCTAATTGCGGGTAACACTGAACAGTCACAATTTGCACATCACAATCCTTTTGCGGGTAACACCGTCACATATTTAAAACAAACTTACCGTATCACTTATCACTTGGTCCCAAATTACTGGTTTGTGATATACATAAAATGTATATTTTTTGGTAAAGGTACTATCGAGTGAGGTTAGCGCGCCCCATGAGGACAGCGTAGAGAATGTGGCGCGCCGGGCGCGGGAGCAGATATTTGCCCTCTTTTATAAGCTTTGTGGTGGGCTGCGGGCTGGGTGCCAGCGACGACGCTCTCACCAACATCTACTAGCACGTCAAATACAATACAGTTAATATTTAAAATAAAATATCACCAGGTAGTAAGGTGCAAAATGTAATAAAACTATAGTCACTCGCAAGAAAATAAAATTTGTAATTTCATACAGGTGGTAAGAAAATTGACATAGCCTTTAATTTAGTTTACTGATTATCACAAGCGAATTTAATAACATTAATTGTTGATTTCTAGATCCTGTTACTAATGCCAACTATCTATATTATTAAATACAAAAAACTTTCAGTTATATTTTAAAACTACCAATAAATAGACTAAAGCACAATTATACCTAACAATATGTATAAAGACTATATTTTCATTTCATATATCTACAAACTATTCAATATTTATTGTATACTTGCTATTATCAGCAACTTTATCTGCATAAATTGACATATTTTTTGAGATACAATGCAGCCTACGTCCGATATAAACTACATACTTTCATGCTAAATTTCATAAAGATCCGTTTTTACTGTTCCATCTTATGGGGATTGTATATCCCCGTCAATGATTGTTGTTGTTTTCTTTGTTTCTTTCTATATCTATCATAGAGTAATGAATTTTAAATAGATTTCACGAAAGAAGAGGGACGTAATTTGTCTGTATTTTTTGCTTTATCCCTTTCTATGTATGTATTGTCATGTAAATTGTAGGAAAATTTAGGAAAGTGACGATAATACACACAGAAAGTTGTAGTAAAATTTTAATTTTGTTAACAAAGATTTAAACATGAACTTGAAACCGAAACTTCTTATTAATTTTTTTTTATAACATTAATAATTATAGTGTATTATCAGTGTCTTAGAATTTTGCAGCAGGGTTGTTAATCTTAAAACAATAAACCTCGTACGAAGACATAAAAAAATGTCTCGTACATTAGCTTACTTTGGCTCGTATCATCATCAAATCATAGTATTTTGACCAATTTTTATATGTAGGTCAAAATGTCGTATACAAATTTGTAATCTATACATATAAATAAAATTGGAGTGACTTATCTAATCTTATTTAAGTACTTGACATCGGTACTTGAAAGTTGCCTTGCTGTCCAGCATAGGCCTCCCCTAGAGTTCGCTATATTCCGCTAGTCTTTTCGAGATATGTCCCGCTATTTTTTTAATATCGCTTCCCATGTATGATGCTGTCTCTACAAACTTGTACTAGGACTGGTACTACTTTAAATATAAAAAAAAACGACATTTACACAATAGAAAAATATATTATAATAGTTTACATCGACAATAGAAAAATTGGAGAGATACGAAACAATTTTATTCTATAAAAATGTACGGCTCTCTCGCACATAGTAATTCTCAAGTGTTATTTATTATTTTTATATGATAACTCGACCTCATTAATAAATAGTACTGACACCATTACATAATGTGCTATATATACCACGAGAATCCAAACTATCATCATTCATCGATCATTGGAAGTAACGTCGAGTGCTGAACTGCTAGACCAGAAAGGGGGTAGATGATAAATAAAATTATGGGCATTCAATTTCAGTTTATCATAATCAGTCGACTTCACATAGTGTAAAGTGGATGACGTTTGTTTGTGTCTACCACATCAAGCCAAGCATGATAATATGTTAATTTCTAACTAAAATTATGGACCTATAGTAAATGTAAGTTATAGAATACCAAGCTAAAGGAATTATTATGTAACAGCGATAGTACAATAATGTGAGAAAAAATATAAAAATATAGATGCAAGTGAATTAGGTTGTTGAAATAATGGCGTAGCGCTACGTAGAGTATTACAATATATTTTGTGATTGCGCGACCATGCGAGAGGTTTAAAGATAAGCTACGGCGTAGCTGGACGCTGATACTGACTATAGAATTCGTAGTTGCTACAACTACTACGTGAATTTTGTAGACGAATGTGAGTAGTTTGTTTAGTTCGACGTTAACATACAAACCGTAATCATCTTGAAGTATTTTATATAATCAATTAGACTGCAGGACCCATATTAGAGTGTATTGCTTACGTGTTAGAAATAATAATATATGTATTCAGTTTATGTATTAATTTGAATACATTTGCATTAGGAGTTTCTAATATAGAGTAAACAATGATAAAAATAAAGGTCTTAAAGATTTGGTTTGAACAACGGACTTGATAGAAATAGTAAATAATAGCACAATAGTAAGATAATATGATAGTTACCTCATTTTTTATCAATAGTCGCATTTTAACTTTGTAAAACAACACGCCATTTATGTTAACTAATAAGCACTTAGAAATTTATTGTCCTCTTCATTAACGTTTACGTGATAGTCTATTATAATATCGATGATGTGTTTCTGTTTTTATCAAAATAATATAGTTTAAATTGACTATGCAATATGTAGCTCGTAATCCAACATTTGTGTAATCTTAATGAATCTTAGTTTAGTCTTAAAGTTTTTACTAAATAATCATGTATTCCAAAACAATGTTCACTGATATCGTACTAATATAAAAAGTTTAAAATATGAACAAACTGGGTTCAAATTCAGATCAAGTTTTCAGTACCAAAGAAGTTATATTCGTTAGACACATGCATTTAATTAGTTTTTTTTATTAATTAACATAGTCTTTCTCTAAAAATTTGTACAGATAAATTAAAATAAAACGATATTTTATAATTACTAAGCAAATTTAGTAATTATAAAATAGTAAATGTCATAATATAATTTAATGCCCATTTTTGTAGGGTTTCCGTGTAGCTACAGGGTATATCTAAATACAAATAAATATTGTTTCCGTAACATCGAAATGTGCGCCAATTCGCGTAGTAGTGCGTATTTATTTGGCATCATTATCAGACCATATATCTAAGAATTTGCTTGGCAACGGTATTCGACTCTGTACCGCTGGCAAGGGTCTGCTACGTCTACCAGACGCGTATTGCGCACACGTCTGTCATGATCACTATTAATCTTCATTGCAGTTAGTCAAAAAAATTTTGTATGGTTGTCATGTTATGATGGAAAATTTATTTTCGCGTTCAATAAATTGAAATTTAATTATTTGCAGTAAATCGTTTGGGAAATTTCCTATGGAGTTTTATTCATTCCGTGATATAATTGGGAACGCGCAGTCGGCCCGGGTAGCTGGGAGATGCTATTTCGGATCCTGTGATATCGAGCTACAGGAAGGCAAAATTTTTAAACCTAGCCTAAAAAGTTATTGACGTTCTATGACCAGTAAGTGCATGGATCTCTTTCCATAAAAAGAGGATTTTAACCTAATATTACTATGCTGGCTATTCGGCTTGGTATATAGTAAAATTTTCGAATTTCTCTTGAACCAAATAAAAATCTTCTTCTGTGAATAAGGTATTCAATATTAAATAATCTGTTGTCGGTTTCCTGAGCTATGTCATAGGCCCAATGACAAGATAATCCTTGAGGTTGCATTTAACACTTTTATTAGTAACTAACATTTAACTCTGTTTATTTATTTAATGATGTTATCTAGGGCCCGGGCTAGGGTCCTAAGCGCCTGCATGCAATTCGTAAATACGGAGACATAATACCAGCGCGGTTTATGTCTCCGTATTTACGAGTATATTTAAGTTACATTATTTAGTATAATGTATTAAGTATTCTATATTTTAATAAAATTATAGTATATATCCGAATCTCGCGATGGCGCCCCTTTCGACGAGGCGCCCGCATGCTCCTCATGCGTTACAGGCCTGTTTCCGCCGGCCCTGATGTTATCTACATATATTGTTGATTCCGTATAAATGCTATATATACCTATTTACATAAAAAAATTAAATGATTTGTTCTGTAGTCCGTCGTGGCAAATTCATCAAGAATTTATCACGATGATTTCCAGGGGAACCTCGCGGAGGTCAATCTTACATGGTACATTGTCAGGAATGAGGTTATTAATCCACAATACTAACTATGCCCTTCCCTCTATTTCTTATATTAGTGGTGTTGTTGTGAATTGGAACCTTGTTGTTTTCTCTTCTCGTGGCAATGTCAGGGAAACCTTTCTTAGTAGACGGTCACGTATTAATAGAACTTTAATTTCTAGAAATTTGAAATTATTAATAAAAGTTATCCCGGTCTTCACGGTAAAAGATCAATCAGTCAATTAAGATAAGTCTTTGTCTTACCTATGCATTACATTATGATAAAATTTCTAATACTATAAATTACAAAATCTGGTTTGTTGGTTTAACATTCTGTCTTAATTACGATAGTCGATATACGGACAATACAAACTATAAGTTGTTTAGAAACCATAGTATTAGTAATTTTGTTTGCGACTAGACAGCGCTGTCTGAATAAAAATAATATTACTACATAACTATATTTAGAGAAATATCGGAGATATAATATAAAGACGAATACAGAAAGATTGATTCTGTTTATATCCAATATATATTTTACTACTTATACAAGTAGTAAAATATACTTGTATACACTTATTGGGAGTGTGTTAAAAATAACATAATCTCAGATAACATAATATGGAGGTTCTAAGATAGATCTATTATTTGACGTGGAGAATATATACATAATGGTTCTCACTATAGTGATCACCGAGTGATTTACTCTTCGTGCACCTATAATAAACGTTTCAATATTTTTGAGAGGTCGAATATTTCATATTCACAAATAATCTTCATCCTTAAAATAAAATATCTTTATAGGTGAATTCTTTTCCGTTTCACATAAATATTATTAATACTTGGGATAGTTTCAAGAAATTACGATCTAAAATTAAATTACATTAACTAAATTACGTTGTTTTGTTGGCATACTTTTGTTCACTATATATTTTTTTTTAATGATATACAATATAATAAATCCTACTTATTTTATATTTTTTTAGAAGATATACAGATATATATTATTAGTTTAGGATTATTCATTCCAAACTTACTAAGTTAATATTGTGTTAA